TAGCGCTGTCTCTGAAACCCTAAACCCTAAACCCTAAACCCTAAACCCTAAACCCTAAACCCTAAACCCTAAACCCTAAACCCTAAACCCTAAACCCTAAACCACTCAAAAACCCTAAACCCTAAACCCTAAACCCTAAACCCTAAACCCTAAACCCTAAACCCTAAACCCTAAACCCTAAACCCTAAACCCTAAACCCTAAAACCCTAAACCCTAAACCCTAAACCCTAAACCCTAAACCCTAAACCCTAAACCCTAAACCCTAAACCCTAAACCCTAAACCCTAAACCCTAAACCCTAAACCCTAATTTTAATTTTTTTCGGTGGAGTTCCGGAATTCTTCTGACGATGTCGGGAGACAAAGCGTGCAAGGTGGAAACTAGCGAGATGTCAGCTTCAAAACCAATGTCGTGAATGGCTTGACCACCATACCGGAGTGGCAAAGCCATAAGTTGCTTTCCAACTTCATCCAAAAGTTGGAACTGGATCTCACCGTCACAGATTCGCGAAAAGCAACTGTGGATACTGCGTTGGACATGTTCGATTAGACCGTCCCCCAGGATCTCCTTCGAGATCAAGTGAGTCACGTAATCAAAGCGATGCTTGCAGCAGTAATCAAGCAGCGTTAGCGCGAGATGGCGAGTACCCACAGTCGTGAAATCTTTGTCAAAATCACGAGGCCCATCTTCTCCGTGATCGGCAAAGTCCGCGATGCGATCAAGTCGATGTTGATGTTTCTCGACTATTGCTAACGCCTCCTTTCGAACATACGCGGCGGTACCTACCGGGGTACCCGCTACCGTAATGCCACATTCCTTGTCTCCGGGGGACCAAGGAATGTTCTTCCAGTTTAGCCCCTCGACGGGCTCGAGGAGGCTTGCCGCGTCAGTGTCGAAACCTCCGAGACACGTCACGAACTTGACCTCGAGACCGGCCTTCGACTGAAGCTCGCGGGTGAGGATTGTGATGAACTTCTTGACTTCTTCCAAAGGTCCAGAGGCCACTCCATCATCCGCGAACCAGTTGGAAGTCACGTCTGGGAACCTGTCCCCATGTTCTTCAAAGACGGCGCTGACGATAAAGTCCAACGCAATCGAGAAAAGGGCCGTGCCGTGCGGGCAACCTTGGTTGACACCACGCGAGCACATGACACTTTTCCTTTCACCATCACTCATGAAGAAGGACAAATCTTGTGGCCCATGTGCGTAGTGCGCGCGAGCATACGAGAGGAAGGCGTCGTAACGACGAAGTTCTTTTGGGCACCGAAAGTTTTCCCGGAGAGTGCCTCGAAAAGAGGCGGTCGCTTCAACGCGTTGAAAGCATTCGTCACGTCGATCGCCGCAGACACATGCGTGGGTGCGACTTCGCGCATGATGTTCGTTGCTAGACCTAGAATGTTGGCGCCGGACGAGACGCCTACGGCAAACTGTGGGTTCCTTTTGCGCGAGGAAAGGATGCCGCCCACGAGTTTGCCCGAATCGATCATCACGTATTTGCCGTAGATACGTCGAAAGACGGACGTGATGCCAATCGGTCTGATATCGCCCTGAACCGAACTCTTCGGTTTCTGGATAGCGATGTATTTTGCCCTGGTCAGTGCTGTGAAACACTTCCCGTCCGGGTCGCGCGCGATCTCCTCAATCAGGAAAGAGAAAAAGGAGAGGAAGTGGTTCGACCCACCACTGTGTGCACGGCCCAGGAGGCTCTTAACGTGCTCGAAACAAACGCCAGCGATGTCGCTACTGGAGTTGTTTGGACAGGCAAGGATAGCGGTCGACATTTTGCTCGGATCGAAAAATACACAGTTTTTCGCATCCGCACCTTCCTCAGCGATGGTGGCTCGCGTCGCATCAGGAAACTCCCCTGCGTCCGTCGGCGTCTTTGCGACTATCTTAGCGAGCGTCTCCGGATCGCCAGGAGCAGTGCCATCGGATGTGAGGATTGCCACCGCCTTCGAAAGACCGTTCGAAGTGTGCGCCGTCTTGGCTGCAAGGCAGCGCGCCATCGCGCGTTGCGTTGGCGGCGGCGCGTCCGACGACGTGCGACGATTATGACAATCACGCTGACGTTGTGATTCCGCTTCCATGATAGCCTTGTACTCCATCAGTAAGCTCACAGTTTTCCTCTGGGCGAGGTGCATGTGAAACCTGCTGATCGCTGCCTTGTTTGCGCGTTGTATTGGTCCCGGGCGGACTTTTCGAGAAAGGAAAGCAAAGGCGCCGATTAAGGTTTCCATGAGCGAATACGCCACGTCCAACGCGATCTTACCGCATACCAGCGCGTGGAAGATCTCGCGGAAGTAGAGGTTCAACGTCACCTCCGTCTTCGGGTTGAGCTTTCGCGAGACCGAGATCCGGTTCTCGAAAGCGTTCACGTTCTCCGCGTTCGCGAAAAACGCCTCGACCCCCGCGAGGTCCTCGAGCGCGATCGTGGTGAACGGGTTGGAGATCATAGCCGGATCAGCACCAAGGCGCTTCAGACGGACGCGTAACTTGTCTTTCGCGTTCGTGGCGCTTAGCTCATCCGCGACAAGTTGCTCGAAGATCTCTTCAGGGGTGGGTTGGTCTCCGAGACCACACCCCTCGAGTTCGACGTTTTCGAGGCGGATTTCGCGCTCCGCGAGAAGCGCTAAAGCGTCGTTACCGGAGGGCACTAACACGACCTCCTCGACGTTCGCGGCGACGGTGCCCACCTCTGCGACCTCCCCACCGACGTTCGCCTCCACGTGAACGTCGGGCTCGGCTCGGACTTCCTCACCGGCGTACGCCGCCAGTCGAGCGCCGGGCTCGCCAGGCACACCTGCCGCCCCGGTCAACGCTACTGGAGCGGGGACTGGCGCAGCAGGCAACACAGGAACGGCAGCGTCATCCTCCACAGTCTCTTCGTCGGCTTCCGACCCAAATTGAACGCCAGGCTCGTCGTCCTCTCCCACAGCAACGACGGTCGCCGGCTCGGTTACCGGTTCGGGTTCCACAGCGGTGACCACGTTCGGAGGCGTGCTCGCTACGCTCAGCCTTCTACGCGCGGTCCCGGTAGTCGAAGGTGGTGGTGGTGATGTGGGCGGGTTCGGATGTGCGTGGAGGCGTCTTGGCGGAGGGAGCACCATCGGCGGCAAAATCGGGGACCGAACCACACGGGAGCGCTGAGCCCCTCTGGCCGGGATCGGTGATCGGACCACTTGCGGACGTACCTCCGGCGTGGGAGTAGCTGAAGAAAGACTACCGGCGAAGGCTACGAGCAACTCATCCGTGACGCACTCGTTCGCTAGAACGCGAACGAACTCCCTCGGCGGGAAGAGGACGGAAAGGCGCTTTCGCTCGTCGCCAGGTATGCCTGCGCACAGAAGAGAGCGCAAGACGGACTTCTTGCGCTCGGTAACCGCCGTTGTGGCGAAGCTAGGTACAAGACGCGCCAGTAGCGAAGCAGGGAAAGCCTTCTGGAGAACCGCCGTAATCTCCTGCCATGGCAGTCGCAAAGACACGCGTCGAGGAAGTTGACCGGTGCTCTCTAAGAAGAAGAAGTGTCGAAGGAGATCTAGGACAACATCGAACATTTCTTGCGAAACCATCCCTGACCCGCGAAAATTCTCCCAAGTACGGCGGAGGATGTCCCCGACCACGTCATGGGCCTCGGGCCAATGGCGGAAGCGGTGTTGGAGGTCCATGTTTATCCTCCTATTAAAGGGAGCTGTGCTAGGGGAGTTTGGAGGAAAGAAGAAGGGGACGACGGGAAGTCTCGGGGCAAGACTCGGGGAGGATGTGTGGGGTGGTGGAAGTTGTTAAGTCAGTAGAGAGAGAACGAAGAAGAGAAGAACGACGCTGAGGAGAGAGTTAAGCGCCAGAAGCGACCAAATCAAGCGGTGGAAGCGTTTCGCGCGCAACTTTTGTGCGAGGTGTCAGCGATACGAATGGGGAAACTCCTAGGGGAGTTACCACCACTGAACGCGTGCACAAAAAGTGCGATGCGAGCGCGAGAAGAGCGAAAGTTCACGGAGGGAGTGAACGACGACGAAGAAACGATGTCGGTGGAGGATGTGGTGTCGTGCGATCAAACGATCGATCGGCGTGGTGGACTCGGGAGGAGCGGGTAAAAAAACGAGCGCGCTTAAGAATCTCCAAACGGCCGGAAAACCAGCGAGTAGGGGAAACGAGGCAAAAACGGGCCAAAAACGACGCGGAAAGACTCGAACGAGAGCGGCAGGGCCGCAGAAAACGATTACCCGGTTCACTGGCCCTCCTCCCCAAGCCAGTGAGTGTTTGTTACGGCTTAAAAAAAAAGCCGTCGAGAACACGCGGTGTCTATACAAAATATATATTCGTTGCGCGTCAGAGAAGTGAAAAACCCTGCAGAACTACCCTGAAACAGTTGCAAAAATAAACTTAGACAGGTGCAAAAACTACCCTCAAAAGTACAAACTCAAAAAGCAAAAAGCAAAAATACAACCTCAAACATGATATTACAAAACCCCAAAAAGTCGCGTTTCCAACCCCAAACAGTCGCGTTTCCAACCCCAAACAGTCGCGTTTACAGCCGTAAACCGTAGTGTACCCGTTTTCCGGCCCTAACCGTAGCGTTTTTCACCCTAAACCGTCCGAGATGAACCGAGTTTTTGGTTGCAAAACTACTCCTTTGATAGGAAGGTGCCCAAGTCTAATAACCAAGTCGTGCTGATCTATATCTTGACCCCGATGACTGTACAAGAGATTGTCCCCAAGGCCCACAAGTGCACACGTGCCCCAGCTGCGCGTGGCGAAATATGGAACCCTGTTACTGTCCAGACACGGTCTCGCCTTAACGAAGCATTTTTCCTTAATCGCCCGATCCATCCTGTTTATAAAAAATTTGTAATCCGAAAGTGCAGGTCTCGGGCTCGTCCAGGCCGGAAACAGTTTTGCGTGGACTCTGTGAACAATTCTTTGTTCCGACTTGGGCTCGGGCATTTCATCGACTGAACTATTTCTTCCAAGACACTTTGAAGAAAGGTGAAGTGCGCATCGTCGAACACTACTGCCGTGCGTGTTTCCGAATACTGGCTTTGCTTTATCCTCGCAGGACTTCGGAATATGTTTTTCAAGAGGCTTGACATGAGTCGACAAGTAAGAGATAGTCTTGTGTTCTACAGCTGATCTCGCTTCGGAACCAGAGTGCCAAGGTAGAAAAAATATGATAAGTATTTTATGAGCAATATGCATGTATGCAGGTTTGATCATAGGCCTCCTTATAGGAGCGAACGACTTCTTAGGCAGCCTCGAACGAAGGATATTGACTGTCCCCATCCGTGTCACGCGCGAGAAACTCCTCGGCGTTTTCCCTGTCGTTCAAGTCGTCCTCTTCGTCCAGGCTTTTATCTACTTCCCCATCTTTGTGTGGTGTTTGATAATCGCTCATCGCCCCCACCCGCAAACTATACTAAGGTCCGCAACTTCGGGAACTTTTCGCGACTTTTGGAAAAAAAACGACGACGACGATTATAATTTGGTTTCTATTTCTTTACTTACGAGTGGAGCCGAAGGCGACTTTCGTTGATTAAGATGATTAACGGGGTAGAGGAAGTGTTGATGCTTCTTTTTACCGCGTTTAGGTACGAGTACTTGTTTTGAAGTATCGTCGTACGAGCTTGAATAGTGAGGTTATTAATTCGGGAAAAGTTTCTATTTGTCGAAAAGACAAACGACCAAAAGACGGAGGAGGCCAAACCAAAAAAAACATCTGGCGAGAAAAATGTTTTAACAAAACTGTTTAGGGTTTTGACACACTTTGTAAAATAGGTCTGGCGGTCAAATAGGCACTAAGAGTAAGGCTTTTGCACTTGTCGTCCAATCGGAGGCGTGCAACTCCGGTACATCGGTCTACTTCGCAGTTTGCCCAATCTTTTAAAACTTTCGAAAACGTGGCGCCAAACGCACCATCCCAATCCATTGCGAGCGGAACAAATCTCGCCATGCCAGCGAATTGGTGACGAACAAACCGCCAAAAAATAATAGAAGAAGAAACGTTAGCGTTTTTCTGTTCAACCTTGTCGCATTCTGGACGACATGTTTCTTCTCGTGGGTGCCAACCTTCGCAAACCATGTCCTAGAGACCGAGTGCGACGTGTGTCACGTGAACTATTATCACAAGGTATACTTATTATTATTTATTATACACATGCAATAGTATGTTTTTGATGCGCGATGATGACGACGATGATTTCCCGAGAGATTTGTTGGCGGCCGTCTCTTTGACTTTTTGCTGCACTTTGTTTTTGTGAACTACTCACCATTTGAACGCTCTCTTATCTCTTATCAAACACACACAGCACGTGTCCAGAATGGCTTGGTAACAAATGGAGGATTTGTACCCAATTGCAGAAGAAGGACCAAAATGTAGGGGACGGCAGTCAATTAAGTTAAGGATACGGTTTGAACCACAAGGCTACGGTTTGAACGCCCAGTTGGGGAGGATTTTCACACACAAAAAAAAAAAGAAAAAAAAATTTGGACGACCACCATGTCCACCCAGGTGTAAGAGTCAAAACCCTAAATACCCTAAATACAGATTACATTATTTCACAGATTGTTGTATTTCAATATCCTCACTTATTTCCACTTATTTACACACTATTTTAAGAACACACTCTCACATCTCGATTCAGGGTCTTCTCAGTGTTAGCCACGACACCGTTTTCAATTCATGACCCATAACAATGCTGCACAGTGCCAAATATTATAGACTTCGCAATTCTGTTAAGCTTTTCTGCATTGGTTGTGTATCGTTAGTGTCGCTACTCCTTTTAAGCTCCGTTTTCAACTTTAACAACACGCTGAGTAAAAGTATACAGATTGATGCTAACTTCGTAGAAATGTCTATGACTGTGCAGGAGATTCCGCTGGAAAAACTTCCGATTTCTTCCATGAAAAAAGCAATCCTGCATCTCACAGAGAACTATAAGAAAGACGAACTTTGTAAATCATGTAATAAAGTTCAGCAAAAACTTTCAGAGCGAACTATCACTGCTAATATCTTAGATGAAAAAGGTCCGAGCAACTTTTTGATTTTTGGTGTAGGATTCGACAGTATAATGTGGACTGCAATGAATCCAGGCAGAACTGTTTTCCTTGAAGATGATGAGCTTTGGGCAGAAAGAGTGAGAGAGTCTGCTCCATTCCTTGAGATTTATACAGTGAACTACTCAGTCCGTAGGAGAGAATACCCTCAAAGTTTAGAAACATTCTCAAAACAAAAGAATTGCAGTCCATCTGGCTCAACAGTAGGGTGTTTTCTCATGCTTGCTCTACCGCAAGAGCTATTGGATACGAGTTGGGATATAATCATGGTAGATGCTCCTAGTGGCGGCGGCAAAGATAATCCACCTACTCGACAAATGAGTATCTTCACATCTGCCATACTTGCACGCCGTAATAAGGCAGGTGCACATATTCTTGTTCATGACGTACACAGGGAAATTGAGGACGTGTTCTCAAATAAATTTTTATGCCCTGAAAATCTCGTGGAGGCACTTGAGCGATCTGCCAAACTGTTCTCTGGTTCACGACTTACCTTGCGTCATTATTACGTACAGCACTCTGAATCAAGTGATTTTTGTCGAAGTTAGTCTTATGTAACTCAATCATCCTCTGTTCAGATTATTCTTCCACTGACATGACGAATGAAGTTGTCTATATATTCAAACAACTCGTGCAAATTCTCGCACAATAAAACCACTATTGCCAAACTCACTTTTGCTAAACCCACAACCTTCCTCAGACCGGTCTCAAAATCACCCGAGACCGTCGCGAAAATTACCCGAGACCTGCGCGTCGTCTTTTTCTGCCCTAAACCGTCCAAAAAATAGACCGAAACCGCTAAACCGAGTGGAATGAAGAAACGATCCCGCGCCCGGAGAATCCGGTGCAAGAAGGCGACGACGGAGGATTTCAACACGGGGATGGTGAATACGTGCACTTGCACGAAAATTTAAGCTATGAGGACGGCAGTGCGAGCAACGGAGATCTCTCGAGCTCTTCTTTACGAATGAAGCAGGCATTCAAGGCGTCCCTCAAGTTAGATTCAAGCGACGGTGTATTTAAATTCGACAGATTGCAAATAGAACAAGCTCGAAGACGGGAAAGCGGGCATAAACATTTAGATGGACACAGCTGAAGTTTAGCGAACGTAAGGCTTTGTACATGATCGAAGATGTAAGGAAGAGAGTTGAAAAAATAACCAGTGGATATATATTATAAGCTAGTTACCTAGGTTTCTAGCTACGCTTGCTTATTTAAGAGCTCGTACGAGCTCTAAGGAATCGACATTATATCTTCGCCGCCCTCGAGTATATATATTCTGTGACTTTTTGTGACTCTCTTTTCTGTGACGTTGTTCTTTTCTACTGTCTGATCTGATCTGATCTGATCTGATCTGATCTGTTCGTCTGATCTGATGTGACATTTTTGACATTTTTGACATTTTTGACGCGTGTCAATTTTCAACTTTTTTTGTGACTTTTTGTGACTCAATTCCTTCGTTGTCTCACTCGACGAATGACGTTTGCTACCCAACCGACGTTCCTTATCAATTCTTGCAACTTCTCGAGTAGATTGTTTCGAGCACCATTTACGTCGCGATTAATAACCAAGCCACATATTTCGTTTTTTTTTTTTTTTTTTTTTTTTTTTTTTTTTCTTGTAGGCTTTATTTCCGCTTTTTTTTTGTTGTTTAGGGTTTTATTTATTTTTTGTCGTTTTGAATTGTACTTCCATTCAGTCACAAAATCAATACAGTTCGTCAACTGGAATTCCTAGAAGATTTCCTAGACGCACCGTGTAACCCTCAAAGAAATCTTCGAGTCTTGCTCGAAGTTTTTCGTTAATGTGCTTTAAATTTTTTTGTGGTACACACACGCTACTTTTACTAGCACGATGAAATCCTGCACCCATGCTATCTGAAGTGGTCTTCTCAATATTTCCATAACCTTTCGAAGTTTTACCAATTCTATTTGTGTTGACATTAATTTCATAATTTATCTTACTTCTATCAAACTCTTGACTCACACCAATACTTTCGAATACCCCGCGCATCACTTCCTCAGTGTTACATCTGAGTTTTGAAGCTGGGACAAAAATGAACCTCGATAAAGGGATATATGACAGCCAATTCTGCAAGAAAAGAAAATAGGATGCACTTACTATATATGAAGTTTTATCTTGTATTCTAATCATGTAAGCACACTTAACCTCATTCTTTACACTATTTATGCAATTCAGCCATGATGAAATTTCTCTCTCTATGACAAATTCATAGTCTTCAAGCTGTATACCATTTTTTCTCATCCATGCAATTACAATGCTCACAGGGTCCCTTAGAATAAAAATTAATTTGGTATTCTCGGGAGACAATTGTTGGATGTATTCAGGGGACTTTAAATGCCACAAAAGTGTTACTGTAATCTCGCCATAGAAGTTTTTCTCAGCAAATTTCTTAGTTGGAGTTCGTAGTAGGTAGCAGTCTAAATTTGGTGCATAGCAATATTTACGTCCATCTTTGCTTCTCTCCAGGTTTCGTCCTCTATTCCAAAATTTCACTTCTTTCTTCGTATTCACACATCTATGATATCCACGGGTACAAAATTTGTAGTAGTACTTGTTAGACATGATATATTCTTGCAGAGCTGACGAGCCACTGGCCGGAGGTCCCAGACCAATATACTTTGGAAAAACCCAAAGTGAATCTCTTTCACCCTTATACACTTCACTTACATACCCATTAAAAACCGATTTCGAAAGTTGGTGTTTCTTTTCCCCAAGTTGAATGAAATCTTGAGACTGTGAGCGCACCGGTGTACAAAAAATGTACAAACTATCTGCATGGACTGAACTTTGATTCACTAAATAATGACCTTTCGTATTAATACCACATGCACAAAAATTAAACTTGTCAAACCCGTCTAAGATAATAGAAGTTCTATCACTGCTTTCAAAATCTATGTTAATGCACGTGTGATTTATTTCCCATTGTCTCGATAACTTGTCTTGATGTTCTATTTCTTCACTTTTCCGAGTCCGAGTGCGAGTGTAGAGAATAGTAGTTGCGATACAGAGAACAAGAAATAAGGGAGCGTAAATTTTACCTCTGTTTAGTTTGTTAGGCAGCACTCTAAAAAAAGTTCTCTTACAATTGTCCAAACTCATTTAAGATGTAGTTATTGTGAGTTGTTATGGAGTGAACAAGTTGCTTAAAATTATTCACACACATATCCCCTGGGTGTGTCCACCCAGGTGGGTCGTCCAATTTTTTTTTTTTTTGTGAAAAGTCCTCCCCATTGGTTTAGGGTTTGGGGAGGACTTTTCACAAAATGTGCGCGTCCTTGAGAGACGATTTTCCCTTATAAATTCTTCTCATCGTTACTCAACTCAACCTAACTATCGATCAACTCCGAATTATCCGACGAAAACGAAAGCACGCGTTCCTCTATTACTGTTTGTTGCTTTGCGATTGTTCTCGCGCGCTGATTCGAATGGTATTTGCGATTTGCGCGGCGCGAGGGAAACCGCCTAGAGGAGGGGATTTCTCCGCTGCATATCTCCAGGTTCCGGAGGAAAAAGACATTTACGCTCGCGTATTTAAGGAATATAAAGACTTCAAAGGACCAGGTATCAATTATTATGGTAAAGTATTGAAGCTGAATAAGAAGTTATACGGAGCTAAGTCGAGCGGATTAGGCTGGTACGATCACCTGAGTGAGCTGTTACAACGGGGAGGATTTTCGGTCCACCCGGTAGAACCAGCTTTGTTTGTTGGTCCGATTGACGAAGACGGCGACCGGGCACTATTGATGACTGTCGTTGACGACTTCGTAGTATCATCAAGTGAGAAGGTATATCTCGAGTTAGTGAAACATTTTGAGACGAATGGGTACACTATTACCGGAAAAGGGATTACTGAACGGTTCGCGGGGTTGAATGTTGAGTGGAACGAAGAGAGCCCACACGTCGTAAAATTGGAACAGTCCGATAAACTATCGGATATTGTGGATGATTACGGAGATCAGCCGGGAGCGAAAGCACGACATACGCCAATCAACGCTGATTACAACGTAGTTCTCGACAAGGAGTACGAGCCACCGTCCGAGGAAATTAGGAAGTACAGGTCGTTACTCGGAAAACTTATGCATCCGGCGGTTGTTTCGACGCTTCCGATATCGTTTGCGACGTCTGCAAGCGCACGCGTGATGTCGCGACCGAAACCGGAGCACTACCAGCAATTATTGCAGACGGTAGGTTACTTGAAGAACCGCGATCGTAAGGAGTATACCCTTAAGTATGACTTCACCGATTGTCCGAGGGACTTTAGATTATACGCCTTTTCGGACGCATCTTTCGCGGACGGCGACAGTTCTAAGTCAACCGTCGGATTCGTTGTTTGCGCGGGAGGAGCAGCAATTCATTGGAAGTCCGGTCTCATGACGACAGTCGCGACGAGCACTGCAAGCTCTGAGCGGGACGCGGCGTTCCGATGCGGTAAAACTATCGCGTACTACACGCATATATTGGATACCGTTGGTTTCCCACAACATGCGGTACGTTTGTTTTGCGATAACAAGGCGACAATAACGGGGATGCTCAATTGTACTGTGGACAGCCAACGACGGCACGAAAGGGTCGCGACGGCGTGGCTACATGACATTTGTGTAAAGCGGAAGTACATACAGCCATTCTATGTTGAATCGAAGCACAATATCGCGGATGTGATGACGTGCCGATCACATGTTTAGACGTCGGAAAGTCATGGTGTTAGTATGTATCAGCTCTCGGATTTTTTTTATTTTTATTATTACCATTATGGGGAGAAACATAGTTCGCTAATCATACTTTAGTCGCAGGAAGGCGATCCTGGACGCACGTATGCGGGTCTGCACGTCCGCATAGTGTACCCATTCAGGGGGTGTGTGTGATTTTAGGGTAACATTTTGAGGTTTCACTAAGAGCGAAGAACCAGTTTTAGGTCCTTCGCCAGACTTTTTAACGTTTTATATCTATTAAAGAACGAATACTACTATTATCTAAAACTTGTTTAGCTTAACCAGCACCGTGACTCTAGGTTGTCACACAAAAAGAAAGGAGGAGAAGCGCCTTTTTTTCGTCTCTCTCTAAACTTCGCTACATATGGCAAAACTCACACACACACGCGTGCACACGAACGGGCGCTTTTGACGATCTGACGCGATCGTTCTCGTCTAAACATAAGCTGTGCAAATTGTAGAAAGTTTCAGCGTCAGTGAGCAACTCCAACTTGGGTATCTGATATACCTGTTTTCGCCTCCCCCTGTAAGATTGAACGTTCACGAAAGCGCCACAGCTACAAACCGGATTCGTATGTCTCGAATACGAGGCAAGCGACCGCGATATTTGTACGAGTCGAAGCGTCGTGAGTGTGCTTACTCGAGATGGGACGCTTGGTCGTAACAAAGAAGCGTAACCGCATCATTCACGCGGGTTTGTGTTGTCACAAATTACCCGCGAGATTTAACGCTTTTGAAAATATTAGAGGATGGCGAATATCAATCGTTCGCTTTCGCGGCGTCTGTGTGCGCTGTTGTTACAACTGTCTAATCTAAATGCGTGCTTCTCGCTATTTGTATATCTATGTATCCAATGCGTGCGTGCGCGCGTGCGTGTTTTTCTATTCAGGTTTGCTTCTGTGTCTGTGGAGTGAGTTATCACTGCGACGGCCACTCGTCGCCGAGTGCGCGTAAGAGAAACGACCTCCTCGCTTCGTCGTTATCGAAGCTTTCGCTTCGGACTCTTTCGTTCAGCGCTTTCGCGACTCTTCGGAGCTCGTTTTGAACAATCTTGGGATTGATGACGTCGCTTACGCGCCCGGTTGTTTGCCTCGCTTCGACTTGAGCTCGACGGAGCAAACGAGCGCCGAACTCGGCTTCGTCGCACCGCCGCAGCGCCTCGAACAAGTTCGCAAAGTTGTGAGTCGCGTTGAATCTGTTGACGTTGATTAGATTCTGTGTCTTTCTAATCTGTTTCTTTCGCTCCTCGACGTCGTGCACGCTCGCGCTCGACTTCAACAATGTCAACTTCTCCAAACGTTTTGCCACGCGCTTCTTCATGAGAGCCGAGTTTTTTCCTTCTCGCCGATTGAAGAACGTCTCTTTCGTCTCCCTCGGTTTGTCGTTTCGGTAGTTCTTCCTTATGATGCCCCGGGCTTGTTCTAAGGAGAGATGTTCGCTCACTCGAAATCGCCGCTTCTCTGCTGCCAAATTACCACCACCGCCCATCTGGTTTTCCTCCTCGTCGTCCTGTTCTAGAAACATTCGAAGGAGATGCGACAAGGCAGAGGCGGGCGTTTTTTGATCGTTATCGGCGTATCCACACTCCTCGGCCCGCTTCCCGTACCATTCGACGAACGCGTCAAAGCGCGCTTCGCTGATGTGATGGATGAAACCGTTGTTGTCCTCGCCATCTTCGCCTTCCTTCGATGTTGTTTGCTCTAGGAAGTAAAGATAGCGCAATACGTAGCGCGCGTATTGATCGACGCTGCCATCCGTCACTATCGATTCTCTCTTGCAATACTCGATGAACATTTGGAATACTCCTTTTCCTTCGTCGCTGAGTAGCCGAGCGTACGGCGTGGCGTCCCGTTTTCGTTTCCCACCTCGACGGTTGGTCGCGAATTCTTCCGTTCCTACTGCGTTCGCCTCTTCGGCCTGTTGCGTTAACGCGGCGCCTCCTGACGCGGCGCGCGTCTCCTCGTGTACCGTCGTCACCGGGGCAAGCCCCTGAGGAGGCGATGAAGTCATCCTCGAGTCACCTTCACTTTCTCGACGCGGCGTCCACTTCACAGCACGATTCTTTTAGAGAGAAGAAGAAAGAAGAAACTCCCTTCGGGAAACTTTATTCGGGAAATATTCTAATTAATTGTCGAAAAGACACACGACAAAAAGAAGGAGGATTGGCCAAACCAAAAATATCTGGCGAGAAAAATGTTTCTAAACCGGCTTGGCTGAACTTCGGCCGGGTGTGAGTCCTAAACCGGCCGCAAAAAACAGCCCGAAGGGTCGTATTTAGTACCTTCAGTCGACTTTTTAGATTGTATATCTTTGATTTTCGGGGATTTCATGAATGATTACTATTTTGGTTGCGTCTATCAAAGGTATGGCGCACGTGGTCGTGCAAACGATCGACGGCGAACAAGTTCAATGGACTTTTCCGGCGGTGTATTAACCGCTGCGTCCGGAGAATTTGATAGCGGTACGTGACAGTGACGGATTGAACGTCTGGAACGACAAAGAAGGCTTCCACGCCACGTTCAGTGTCGTTGCGACGGACGGATCGACTCGCCAAATCCAGATACGGGAGCATCCACATATCCCAGGCGTCCCATGCGTTGACATCTGTGCGGCGACGCGACGCCAGCGTAACCGCCTGGACGAGGATGTGCCAAAAGAGTTGGACGTGCCGGCGGTCGTCAACATCAATCACTCGATGGCGGGCCCGGAGAGCGCGGAGCATCAGAAGCTGCGTGATTATCAGCTTAAGCACGCGGCTCTCGGCCACCACGCGAACGGTCGAGCAGAACCCTGTAAACGAGACTCACAGCAACATCTTCGAGGAAAATCACTGAATCTGAGTCACTGACAGCATCACATCAAACAGAACTCATGGCAATAGTCAGAATGAAAGATCTTTAAAAATTACCAGAAGCAAAGTTTGATGATATTTTCAAGCAATTTTATCGAAGATATTTATACTTTAATAAGGTTTCCCTCACATATATTTTGTAGTATTAACAACATTGACATACATTTGTCTGCTTTAAGATGGTGTTTTGAAAGCATCCTAAACAGCGTGGCCCAAGTTTGTCCCACTTCATATTTCTTATACGCTGGTGATGTACATCAAACTTTTGTAGGTTGAAGTCTTGAACACTTAATGAACCCTCAAGCCGGTGAAACAGCTTGCGGTTCCCATGCAAAATACCAAGACTCTCATCATTTTTTGCAAAATCACATCGGCTATCTGAGCGAATATTCCATATACAAGGAAGAACATGTACATCATTCCTCTCAGCAAATAGGTGATTATATACATCCTGATCTCCATAAAACTTGAAACTTGTCATCGCTATCCTGATTCTACTTTGAAAATCGCTTCTTCTGATTCTTGTCAAATTCATCAGAGCTACTCCACTATTAAGGCCGTAGAGGCCATAGAATCGTTTACACCTCAGCCCATTTTTGCACTTGCACGAACCTTGCGAGCAAGGAACGTGGTTTTTTGATAGCCTTTTTCTATAATATCCCCCAGTCCCTCCGTTAGTTTCATTTGCCATGCCAAATTTTTGTAGAGGAGAGAAACAAGAAAATATGTTCCAAAGTAGCAAAGGACTTTTTAGAAACAATACATCTGTATCAACATAGATTAAAGCATCTTCATTCGTGAAGTGGGGATTTTCCGCGAAGAAAAGTCTTTGAGAGGCACACTTCCCAAACGGTACTTCCAGCTCTTTTGGGAGTTCACTAGCTGGTACTAGGCGGATTTGGACAAATTTATGATAACTGTATTTAGTAACGTGCAAAAGTAAAGGTTTCACAAGAACCTCATCTATAACTTTACTTTCGTCCCAAACTATGCTAATAAGCAAATGCGCCAGTCCTGAGGAAGGTACCATTTCTGCAATGATGGATTTTATAGTGAGTAGTGCGTCTTTCCCATATAGTGCTCTGCCACAAGCTGTAATTGCAATATGAACTTGGGATGGAGAAGTAAAAGAGAGTTCCGTACTGGAAGACTTTTTCCTCAGAAAATCCAACTCCTTTGAGGTCAAGATTAACATAGCTACGATGAAAAAAACTATGTAACCAAAGCGCCCGTTTAAGCAGGCGGCGGATAGCATACGAGTCGCCACAAAAAGAATAGAAATAATCCAAACAAAACAAAAGTTTCCTTTCCTTAAAAAGGACCAGGGTTAAAAAACAATGTTTTGAACTATCCTTATGTTTTTTACCTTACTACAGACCCTAAACACGTAAACGCAGATCTGGGTTGAGAATCATACCACACTTCTTATCTGCACTTCTTTACTCATTTACACATTCTCATTTCACACCTGGACTTTAGGGTATCTTCAGTGGGTAAGCCACGACACCATTTTCACCGGGGATACGAGTATTAACAAATAAAAATCTTTAGAATCTTTAAAATCAGATAATCAGGTGAGCAATCTTTTAATTGCACCGCACTACGAGCACCTAGAGAAAAATATATCAAGAATGCAGAAGCAGAAAGGTTGTACTTTGCTACTGAAAGCCGGTAGAAGTACCGCATATTCGAGTGTAGTACTGATAAGCTTCTTTATTTATGCTTTCCTACTGAAGTGGAAAACACTTATTGAAGAGGAAACACTATATCTGAGTTTAAATCATGATGTATTTGAGCTTATTAGGACGAGAGCTTTAGACAAAGAGTTAATTCACGGATATGACAAAGTAAAAGTTTCTGGTGGGTTTCTGTATAGAAGTCAACTTGCAATCGAAGATATTCATCTATCAACAGATGCTGAAAATTATGCAGAAAAAATATTTCGCGAAAAAGGAACTGGGTACATAGACTATCAAATGCCAGACAGTGCTTGGAGGACGGTTGATTATGGATACGTTTCTTTTCCCTCTCTACGTGATTGCAAATACCAAGGAGCTTCAGGGGAGTCAATTTTTTTGAGCTCAATGTTAGCAGCAGAAGGGTTTCGACCAAAGCTAATATCAAATTTCATTCAACACTATGAAAAACTTGGAGTCAGAAATGAAAAGATGTTATTCACTATTCAGATCACTGACAATGTTGAGTCAAAAGTTTTGAGCAATCTTATCAGTATTTTGAAATCGAAAGGTGTCTACTTTGACGTTTTTTTGGGAAAGTGGTCTTCAGAGGCTTTGATGTATCATCAGGCACATAAACTCTTACACTGCACGTCAAGGGAAGATTGGATAATAGTCGCTGATTCAGACGAGTTTCACGAATATCCAGGTAATAATGTTTCAGAATTTCTTTTTAAAATAGGGGCGCAGGGATACAATGTGGTGAACGGGATTTTTCTAGATCGGGTCGCTTCAAACGGTAATCTACTTGAACTTACGGGCAATGAAAAGTTGTTCAAAAAGTTTAATCTGGGCTGCAGACTGCACAACAAGTTTCATTTGGGAACCCCCAAAAAAGTAATGGCGTTTAAAGGTTATCTTAGAATAAATCGCGGTCATCATCGACTTGCTTTGTGCTGGTTTTGGACTCGGAGAAATTATTTACACCTCACCCCGTGGTCAGAATGTCCACCAAAAAATGAAGACGAGATAAAACCTTTTGAAAAAAGATTAAATGTGCATCATTTCAAGTGGATGAAAGGGCAATATGAAGCAACATCCCATAAAGCAATGGTTTGGAAGGGCTCATCAGTCGAAGTTTCGTATCTTAGAGTATTAGAGCACTTAAAAAAGTGTGGAGGAATATGTGTCTTAAATCCGGAGTTGAAATGCACAAAGAACTTATCCCCTTTCATGCGTTCGTGACAGTCAAGAACATCTTTTTAGCGATAGTCCAATTTGAGACCCATCATAACCACTGAGGAGTAGAAGAATTTACCCATTACTTGTGTATTTCAAGCCAATTTCGGGGCGGGCGAGGGGTGGGGAAAACATTTAAAGCTAAAAGTACTCTCTCTTTTGGTATTTACGCATTGTTTACTCGTTCACCTCTGAGCATTCTGAGAAACTCCTCTTGCATTTTTCTCACAAAAATCAATTTCTCCCACACTTTGCTTCAATCGTCTTTCAACCGCCCCTATTATCATTTCGTACTGTTTTTAGGGATATCCCTCGAGCAAACAAAAGTAAAGATATGTTTTGATTAGAGACAACCAGGGCTAAACTTATAATTTTACGTTGTACACTTCGTCGGAAAATTAGGCTGAACTCGTGACTTTTTGAAAGTTCTATGAGCATATCTTTGCTTGAAATTCTCAACACCTTCTCTCAGAAGAACCTTTCCTAAGCTTATCATGAGCATTTTCTCTCTCGCACCACCAGCAAAATGAGCAACCCTGCTTGTTTTATAGAGTTTTCTGCCAGGGGTATTATATTCCTCACTGAGAAAATAGACACGGAGTGACCTTGAATTCAAAGTAAATTTGACTGGAACACAGTCTCCAACAAGTTTCCTACCCATTAGTGAACCCGTAATTGTCTCTACTTTATACCTCTCCAAAGCTTGAAATGTGGAGTATTGGTCCAAGATAACCTGTTGGGATAACTCTGTACTCATTTTGGTGCAATACTCGCTAACAAAACTCAAAAATTTTGAAGAAGCTCTATTTTCACTGATGAAAATAACACCAACGTTTATGAAATGATTTGGATCTTGTTTTTTTACGTAGTGACCTCCCATAGTAAAGCCTAGATCTAAGTCCGGATGAGTGATGAATATTTCTCGTAAGTCTCCTAAAATAAGCGTATCTGTATCAATGAAAACAATATTCATCTGAGAGTATTCCAAACTTGTGAGAAACTGGCTAACATACTGCATTCTAGGTAGTGGACAACCATTTATCATTGCTGTTTTAGCATTTCCATTTTTCTCAAGCCAAGGGTGAGCTTTAGATATTGAGGAAAATGCTTTTGAACTATTCACTTGAAAGAGCTGAAAACTTGTTCGGACTTCTTCAAGATGCTGTTTAGTGAAATCATCAGATATTAAAACTTTGCAACTTTCTCCACGCTGATAAAATTCATCAATGCTCTTATGATGATACGTGACCTGATCAATCATTGATTTTATCACATTTTCCTTAGTTCCGCGGTTAAAAATAACAACACTTACAAACAGTATTTCACAGGTGCTTTTCGGAGTTGCATTCATTTGCTCCGCGACCCAGTAAGCGAATCCTTGCAATTCAAGCGGACGCAAACGGGTGTTGGTCGCGCAAATGATATACCAAAAGCAGGTACCCTAAATTTTGGTCGTTCAAGGAAGACGCAAGACGGGCTGGGCTCTACAAACGTGCAAGTTAAAAACCAGGAGACTAGCAATCGACACGATTGTAAAAATAGATAATCTCTCTAGTGCACGCATTGGGACTAACTACTTTCTAACGTAGTGCACAACGTAATGTGAGTTGTGGTTTGTGTGAAATGGTGTAATTTGTTTCATTACAAAGACAGAAGTATCCCCTGGGACGCCCAGTTAGAAAGGCTCACCCCCTCTTTTTTCAATAGAGTGCTTTCGCAAAAAAAAAAAAAAAATTTTGTGTCGTTTTTAGCGTATATTTGCACGCTCTGTTTAGGGTGTATGCAAATATACGCTCAAACGACCAAAATTTTTTTTTTCCAGCTCATATTAGGGTGCTTTAGCAAAAAAAAAAATCGCGAATTTTACAACTATTTTCGGAAAATAGTTGTAAAATCGGGCTTTTTTCACAATTGCAAAATACAACTATTTTCGAAAATAGTTTGTAAAATTGAAAACCAAAAAACGCCGATATTACAACTATTTTCAGCAAAAAAAGGCCGATTTTACAACTATTTTTCCTAAAACTCTGTGTGTCTGGGACTAAAAATATCTTTAAAAGACGTTTCCAGTTCACTACGATCCTTCAACAATCCTGTTCTTTGTCCTCCCATCGTGGATGCGTTGAGTTTGGAGTTTTAGGGTAACTTGATCCACGCGGGATGGTTTCAGCGGCGGAAAAGTGCCGTTCAACAAGAAAAAATAGCTGTAAAATATCGCTTTTTTAAGCACTTGCTAAACTTTAAGACGCTGTCAAAAAAAGGCCCGTTTTTTACAACTACGAGCGCGTATTTAGTTGTAAAAAACGAGGAAAATAGTTGTAAAATTCGTGAAGTTTTTTTTTTGCTAAAGCACCCTAATAAAATAAAAATAAAAAAAATTCGCCTTAGAACTGGGTGTTCAAACCGTGCCAATTTTGTTCAAACCGTGCCAGGTATTGTAATGGGGTATGGGTGCGCGCAGAGGAGCGCGCGAGAATAGATACGAACGGTCCTATTCTACGGAGAATAGTTTGTAGAGTCTGTAGATGGTCTTTTTTCTGATTTTTATGCACATTCATGCACTTTTCACTCGCGCATTTAATTTGGACAATCGTATTGGCAACTCTCAGAAAAGGTGCCTTAAAAATACGAAGCTCCACATTCTCCTGATTTCGAATGCGCGCTAAAGTGGTATACAAATACAGTTTAAAATCAGAAAAAAGACCATCTACAGACTCTACAAACTATTCTCCGTAGAATAGGACCGTTCGTATTCATTCTCGCGCGCTCCTCTGCGCGCACCCATACCCCATTACAAAACTTGCTACGGTTTGAACAAAATTGCTACGGTTTGAACACCCAGTTCTGGCGAATTTTTGAAAAATTTATTTTTGGAAAAACAAGGGTGCCTTAGACCCTGGGCGTCCCAGGGGATATGATATGGAAAAGTTTTCACAAATTTCTTTTTCTTTTTAGCTTGCGAAAGCACCCTATTGTTTTCGTGATCTGTGCTCTAATACATAGTGATTTTTGAGAGAGAGTTCTCTCTCTCAACTCTCACGTTTCACTTTTTTATTTACTCTTTTAGGTTGAAAAGTTTGAGAACTCCTTGCAAAAATATGACCGGTATAATGAAGCAACTACTCGTAGCTATCTTTGCAATACCGATGCTGTTATTCCTTACACTCATTAGCGAGTTGTGGCGTAATAATGAGGAAGGGAATTCATCTACAATAAGCTCAAAGATTCCAATAAGCTCACTGCAACAACCTTACCTTCCCGATAGAAACATAAAATACACAAAAAATGGGAGAAGGACACATCACTTCTCAATCCTTCAAAAAGTGGAACGCGAGAATGTACACATGAAGCCGTTTCCTCATTTGGTAATAAGAGAAGCACTCCCACAAGACATATACAGCAGAATTGATAGCAATTTCCCTCCTTCTGACCTTTTCCAAAAAATAAATAGCTTTCGCAAGGTATCAGCTGGAAAGCAAAATTTTGGGAAAGAAAACTACAGATATGATATTTTGCCAAAAGAGATTAGAGAATTTTTGCCCGAGCCTTATCCGTCCCTTCTTGAGTATCATTCTTCATGTGCATTTTATCTTGAAGTACGTGACTTATTCGAAGAAGGGATTCAACGCTTTCGTCCAGATTTTTACAAATTCTTAAATAATAAGAATTTATGTTCTGAGTTGTTTTCAGAAGGAAAAAAAGACTCTGGCGAGGATGAGCTTTTAATGGCGATGAGAGTTGGAATTAATTCACCTAGTAAAATTGCTTCAAGCAATAAAGGACCACATATTGATCGTATGAGTGAAATTTTCGGAAGTTTATTGTATGTCAGAAATGAGAGCGACAAGACAGCTGGTGGGGACTTCCATATACATTCATGTAGACGAAGGTGTTCGAGAATCTTGAATCTATTGAAAAAAAATAAACAGTTAGAGTCACCGCTGCTTAAGATAATCAAAACTGTTAAGTACGAGGCTAACACGCTAGTTTTTTTTATTAATAGTCCACTTTCTATACATTCGGTAGGTTTGAGGCATCCTGGAAATTTCAATCGTCAGTTTCTGAGTATATATGGAGATGTGATGAAAATCTCAAAGAAGTACGTACACGATGAAAGTTGTTGTAGCAACTGTGTTGAAGGTGTAATTGGCTGCAAGTTTCTTTAATTAGATCGAGAAATATTTGTAAAACCCATCTACATCGGAAATGTCAACTGCACGGTTAGCGCATGGATTGAGTCCGATTTTCAACCATGTCAACATTGTGGAATCACAAAGAGAATGATCAAAAGACGATTAAAGTGGAGCGGATGAGACGCCGCTGACGTTATTATACAACTGAAACTACTTGGCACACTCGGTTCTGATTTCTTCCGGAACTTTCGCAAACGGTTTCTCGTGCATGAGTGTGTCCCGGTCGAATGCGCATCGAGTGCGACGAACTTTGAATACATCGTAAGTCATGCGCGAAGCAGCGAGTGGATGTCTATCTTCCGGCATATTCTCCCACACGGCGATAGCTCCTTCTTTCCTTACTTCACTCGTTTCCATGCCTTTCTTATTGACCCATCAATTTCTTCCGGTTTCGATTGGAAATCTTTAATACACGGTTCAATAATATTCCTGCAACACTGCGTCTTTGATTACGTTGACATGATTCTTGAAAGATAAAATCCATTGTCGGGCTTTTTTTGCGATGCACTTGGGAACATTGTGATGACGCCGTGCGGTTCATGAGCCACCTGCAAAGATGCAGTAAGTTTTGAAGGTGTGAACATGAAACCGTAACGCTTTGCTAAAGATTTTGACCAGTTCCATTTGGAGGTTGGCAGGCGCTTCGCGCTCGAAGAGTGGGGAAATTAAAAGACTGCAGGCTGGTGAAGAGATTGAATAACCAGTGAGGTAAATAATAAGGGTTGTTCTAAGTTTATGAACGGTAAGGAGCATGAGCAGGCAAAAAAAATCCAATAATTAGAATTGTTAATACAGTATTTTTTGATACCTTACGACATTACAGGAGTGAGTCTGTCGATTCTAGGGGATGACTGAATTCAAATTGACCGGCAGTCACTCAATGGCAGTCACTTTATTCTTGTTTTATACTTTTTTATTGACTTAGTCGTCATAAATTACTTTCACATCACACTTGTTCCCTTTTAGAATCCATTCTATGACTTCATTTGCACCTGCGGGTACCTGAGCTTTTTTCAACTTGTGTAAATGAAACTCTATCATAAGAACATCTATCCTACAGGCCATGCCAGTAGAAAAAAGTGACCTCAAGACATCATATTCTGCACCTTCGATATCCATTTTAACAACTACTTCTGCAAATACCGGGATACTTCTTAAGATTGCACTTAAACTTACTAATCGAACAGTTTGATTTTTCCCTAGAGAATGGTAATGGCCGCCAAAATTGACTTTCTTATCTGCAATTAGTGAAGTTCCATATGAATGCGTTGATACATCATCCAAGTAGATAACGGATTCCGAAAATTTATCTGAAACTGCTGTCTGTAATATAACTTTAGTTTTGAAGCCTTTTTGGTTCATTTCTTTTTCAATACCAAGAAGAGTTGCATCGAAAATTTCGTTTGGTTCAAAACTTAGAACGCAAAAGTTTTGGCGCTGTTTCAGATCGTACATTCGATCAATAGAAGATGTCTTGGCCCGCCCGCTGTAACTTGTTCTAGTTAACCATCTCAATATCGTATCCCCACGATTGGCCCCCAAATCCAAGAATATGTGCTTGCACTTTTCAAGCCAAGCCACATATTCCTCCACCTCAGGAATTCTGTCCCCCCGCCGTGCGATAGATCTATTGGCGCCGTTCGAGCGTATTATATAAATGAATGATAGACACAAAAAACAATATGAGATCAAGTTGACATGGCCTCGACAAATGCTTTTCAACCTCATAGCAGAATCGTCTCTACTCTCAATTCGCACGATTTTGGGGGTGAATCCGTGTAAATTTAGTTCAAACCGTGTAAATTTTTGTACTGGGGTTTGGTGTGCGCAGAGGAGTGCGCGAGAATGGATACGAATGGCTCTATTCTATGGAGAATAGTTTGTAGTGGTCGTAGAACTTTAAATTTTTAATTTTCATGCACATACATATGCTTTTCTTTTGTGCATTCAGGAAGGTGTTTCAAGCTAAAATTTTTGCCATAACACTAGAAGTTTTTTACTAGAAGTTTTTTTGAAGCTGTTGCTTTTGTGCCACGTTCGCTTTGCACGTGGGCGCTTCGTTTTGGAACCCCCATTCTTTTTTGTTTTCTAAAACGCCATCATACATACGGCCTCAATACGTTCGTTTTTCATATTCCCTAAACCCTAACCCATCCCATTCCCTTCTACTCTCTTCGCTTCTGGATTGGCAACCCTACCTACCTGCTTTGCGGGTTTCCGGGTTTCGTGACTCTTCTCGAGAGACGCGTTCGCGCTCCGCGCAAACGCTTCGCACTTTGAACAATGTTGTATCAAACCTTGACCCAGATGAGACCTCGAGTTCCGTGTTATTTTCTGGGTCCCATAGAGGACAAAGCAAATTCGTCGAGGTTCGGAAGCTCTCTGCCTTCGCACTTTCTCCTCCTCCTCCTCCTCTTCTTCCTTTTCTACTTCTCTTCTTCTTCTTCTTCTTTTTCTTCGCATATAATCCATCCGTGATGCGAATGCGTCTTCGGCATCAAAGACTGAAATCGTTTTCATTCATGTTTCTCCTCTCGTATTTATCTTTTCTCGCGTTCGATGTCGTGAGTCGCTCGCGGGGTAAACCTCCTTTCTCTTTCTCTTTCTCTTTCTTTTTCTTTTCCCCAATTTTCCCAGTTTTTTCTTTTTTTTGCGAGATACACGGAGAGAGACAATGTAAAAAGCGCGTATTTTCCAGCTCCGAGTTCCTACGAACGTTTTATGAGGTGTATGGGTGCATCCGCGCGCTTTTCAGCTCCTCTCTCTCGCGCGCGGTCCCCAGTCAATGCGCTCGAGTCAGGAGGGGACAGGGAAGTGATGACGTGTCACGCTCTCGTGCAAAGTTGGTTTTCTGTCTGGGGAATCAAATTCTCAACTTTCATTCTCGTGCGAGAACGCTCTTTGTTTAATTAGATCTCAAATTTTGGTCGTTCAGGACGGGCTCTTAGAAAATAGTATTTAGGTCCACCTTCTTTCGAAAAGAACCCTGGCTCGAGGAAGAAACAAAAATTTGGAAACTCAAAGATGAAATTAAGGTGATAGTGTAAGCGATCATCGCATAGTAAGTCAATAAATTTTCTTGAGACAATAAATACGATCAACGTGCCTCTTATTCGGCGCATAAACCTTATTTTGTCCGCGGTTTTTGAAGTTGTTGATGCTGTACCCATATCGGGGATCATGAACTTCCTCTTTATTTATTTGCAAAAACATGGCCATTTTTCTCTTATCTTCCTCTAATCCATATTTTGACAACTCAGAAAGCCACCAAGTTCGTGGTTTTACTGTTTCGTGAATTTTCAATCCACTTTGCTCAAGCTCTACAGCGGCAGAGCTACGTTCAGGATGGTTCTCATGTTTTGAAGGGTCACTTGCGATTACTAAGAAAGCACTGCCCCCCTGCTTCACCAAACTCGAAATCTTTTGAAGGGTTCGAGAAATGTCGTGCAGCGGAATATGCTCAAGAACATCTGTACATAGCACAAGGTCAAATAATTTTCTATTCCTAGACAAATGAATAGGACCAACCTCCACCCTCACTGGATCGTGATAGAATTCTTTACAAAAGTTGTTTACTACCCATTCACTGTATTCAATTCCCTCCACTTCAAGTCCTTTTGCCTCAAGTAATCTCATAACACCGCAGTTGGCCGCTCCCGCATCAAAAATACTATGCACATTGGGATACATTCTCTTGTAAAATGGAACATATCGACAGCCATCGCATCTCTCTTTACGACTCTCGTGGTATGCAGTATAAACTAACTCTCTTTGAAGGTCATCATCGCGCTGTGAACTCAAAAAATCAATATTCCTATTATTCTTGGGACTATTTGTGCTTTGCTTATTCACAATATTCATGGTAGAACAGAAACAAATGTACCCAGTATAAGACAAAACAACGACAAAAAAGCAGAGTCTTACGCCTCTCTTACGGCGCTTTTCCAACGTTTGCACCATCCCGTGCAATTAAGCTTAACCAAAATGCTTGAGGTTGGGCGCTAGCTCCTGAGGGCTTTCTCGTATACGCGTAAGTAAAGAAAAAGTCCAAATTTTTTGTGACCCATCAGTTGTGACTCAAAACCCTAAATAATCAAAAAAATAAATTTTTATTTTCCTTTCAAAAAGGAGACCAAAGTCGGCAAAAGTTCCTAAAGTTGCTGACGTTACTATAGTTGCGGGTTGGGGGGATTTGTGTTAGAGTTGGGGTATTCCTTTCGCGTGAGAGCTCGTGTGGTCGCGGTGGTTTGCGGAGGTCGGGAAGCTTGGGCGTGATGGAGCGGACGAACTAACCAAGCTTTATCTTTTTATTTTTTGAACGCAGTCTGCTGTTTCTGGAAGTTAGGGGTCGCGACTCTCTGCGCTCGTAAATAAAACGGTGCTTACGTGTGTCTGACATCAACATAAAAAAGATCCAGCGCACTGATCGTGAATGAAGCTGGGCAATTTTATTTATTATACTTACAAGTATTTGTTTTGCTGTGCTTTTCTGTTTTGCTATGCTTTTCTTGTATTTGATTGTCTCTCAGACACGAACAGACGAAAAGTGGAGGAAAGAAGGTTCAATTTAAACCTTCAGACGGCGACGAATACCTCAGCTCACCAAGATGTTAATCTTTCTAAAAGATGTTCAGGTTATCAGCCAAGTGGCAGCTGCCTGAGAGGAGTTGCGGGCTACAGATGCCCTGACCATGACGGGAAGTGCATGAGGTCTACACACAAGAAGAGCTGTGCATTCCCTGAGTCCGGCGAGTGGTCTTCTGAATCACAAAAATGTAAGTGGTTCCGAATATTCTGGGGAAAGAATATCATCATTGTAGGAGATAGTATGATGAGACAAACGTTTACAGCATTAATTGCTGTATTTAGAGATAATTCGATAATAATCGATTACAACCTTTGGAAGTGTGGGTTTTATACTTTGCATTATTCTACTTCTTCGACTGAATCACAGCGAAAGAGACTATTTGACACCCTACTTTTAACCGAAATACTGAAAAATGACAAATATTTATGCAAAAATATCCCACAAGAATTTCCTATAATTGATGGTATTTCAATATTATATCTCCCAGCAGCAACATATTTGCAGCAACACAGAGTTTTACAACATGAAATCAGCAGAATGAAATTGAATGAGGAAAAGTCCATTTTCTTGTTTTCTCATCAAATGCATGAATTGCTCAACATAAAATCTTTCGAGAGTAATATTATTAATTCTTTGCCAAGCAAGCTATGTATTGAATTTGAATCTTTTTTTGCAAGGACTAAATTTGTCAAAGAAAATTTATTCATTATCGGCACGCCTTATCAGCACATTCCAACAAAACTGGCAGCCAAAATAGCTATGACACGGGACCTCGTTATGAAAAATTGGGCAGAACTTTTTGGTGCAAATTATATAGACCATGACAACATAGCTAAAAAGAAGAAAATTCAACCTCTGAAGCTAAACAATTGGCATCATCAATGCTATCTAAAAAGAGATAGAACAAAACAAAAGGTACTAGCTGTATTCGGGAGGGCAAACAATGCGAAATGTAATGATTTAGTGAATAGTGCTATTTTGTATGAAATTACTAAAAAAATAATGGGAAGGGAAGTTTAGTTTTTTACACCGAACGAAAGAAAAGATAATCGAATATGACATAGAAGTTAATGAATCTGTAAAACTTTCAATCTAGGAAATATTAGCACTGAGAATATCTATGTAACCATGTATTCTTTCTTCTTCTTCTTCAAAACGTGGAGACCGTAACATCCACACAGTAGTAGTCCATGTTGAATAGCTAGTTCCCATGAATTTTTCTCCTTGAACGCACAGAGCTTGCTCTATTACAGAAATAAGTTCCATATTTTTACTTTCAACTACTTTTCGACCTATTTTGCTATCAGAGATCATTTTGAAATCTACGAACTTTCGAACACTATCTATGATACGAGCATCAGCGTCTGAAGCAAGGAATATTTTTTTTCGTGTGAGAACTTGATAATCTCTCAAGACTTTTCCTATATCCTCAATATGCACATATTGAAGATACTTCTCGCAGTCCCCACAATCTCCAAAATTCAAGTAATCTTTCGCGCTTCTTCGGAAACTCTTTAAAAATATGACAAAACAAATATCACCAGACCCCCTGGTCTGCAAAGATTTTTTTCTGCATTTACTCTCACCTTTCTTTTGATATTCATACCGCCAGTGCACGCTAACGTACGCATCGTCGAAAAAAAGTTCCTTCCCTATTTCTGTAGCGGCAGTGATAATACTGCTCGAAAATTTCAGTGAAGAAGGAAGAAAGTTAAAATATCCATCAGTAATCAATTTAGATGCCGGGAAAGGCTGATATAATTCTATGCATTTTGCATCTTTGAATCTAAGTGCTGACCGCACATGTACTTCATTTTCCCATTCAATCCAACTTGTACCCAAATCTTCAAGCCTGTGTGAATTGATAATATTTTTCAGATTTGTTTGAAAACCATTATGTTGCATAGCAAATTGTCTATCGTATGCTTGTTTGGAGATGCTTCTTGGCGACATGTTGACAATAAAATCAATACTCCCGCCACAGAATGTACTACATCTATCCATGACTTCCAAGTTTAGAACATTAGTGAATGAACTTACATCAAATATTTCCATAAAATTTGTGAACTTAGTTTCAGCATTAGTTTCATCAGATTTTCTCCGCAAAAACGGAGATAAGCAATATGTTCGATTTAGAGCCTTTGCTATAGCCATTCCATTCAATATTTGATGCACTTGGTTATTGAAACCAGAGCCTGAGAAATGAGTAACAACAAAACCATGAAAATTGCCGACGCTCCGCTGCACTATTGTAGTTTTTTTTCGTGCTCCCCCACTTTCTAATTTTCTTACTGTTCTCAACATCACAAGTAAAGCAAGACAGAAGAATACCTAAAAAAGTTGCCAAGATTAAATAAATCAACTTTATGAAATACGAGCTTGATATAAAATATAAATTCGCATACCTTGTTAGATCTGATGACGCTTCTACTCTTCCACATTGGTACAGTACTCAAATCCTAGGCCGACAGGTCTTACCCAAAAGTTATTCTTTCTTTGGAGGAGGTTGACTTTGAAGCAAAAAGAGGTAAAAAATCACCTAAATTTTAAATCCTAAAACCCTAGACACCAAAAAAACCAACAAAGATTACAGAGTGAAAATCAAACCACACTTCTCATTTTATACCTCGACTTTAGGGTATCTTCAGTGTTAGCCACGACACAGTTTTCACAGGGGATATATGCATAAAACATAAAATGGCGTCCCAGGGGATAATTTGATTTTTCTCATTTTCTGTGCTTTTCACATTTTCAGCGGGGAAGTCAGATAATGTTGAAGTTATCGATATCGCGAAAGAAAGTATTCTTGGCGTGCCTTGCAGGCCTTCTATCATATTTCAGCTGTTTTTTATATAAGAAGCTTTCGACCGGTGTAGCTCAAGCAGATGCTCAGAAGACAGTGGAATCTGAAAGATACAGTACAACTCAATTATACTCCCACACGGACTTTTCACTGCTTGGACTAAAACTTCTTGCTGACACTGGAATGCAATCCAGAAATATTCATAAGCAGAGAGCCTACAGTATGGAAGCTTTAGAAGAACTTTACAGTGTCGAGCCAACCAGCAAAAGTGAGATGAAAAGGAGGGTCGCGAAGGCGGTCTTCTTGTCGAACAGGGTTGACCTCAGTACCTTTAAATCACTTCATTACATTGATTTAGGAGCACGGACTCATTCATCCAGCATTCTTTGGTTTAAAAGTCATTACCCAAAATTTAGCAAAGACTTCCAAATTACTGCTTTCGAAGCAGACCCAAGTTACAGCATCGAGTACGAGGAGCTGCATGACATAGACTTTCATAATTTAGCAGTTTGGACTAAAAATGAAACTTTGAGTTTCGGTGGCAAAATGGGTCGAGTCCGAAGTGGAGCCAAGTGTAAGAACAAGTGCAAAGAGGAGGGGAGTTATACAGTCCGAGCTATAAATTTCTCTGAGTATTTACTCCGTCACGTCAACCCAAGGGATTTTGTCGTGATGAAAATGGACATTGAAGGAGCGGAATATAATGTAGTACCTCATATGCTCAGTAACGGAGTTTTTAACTTAATCGATGAATTCTTTCTTGAAGGTCATACAATGACATTGAGCAAGCTTGAAGAAGTAAGACATCGCAAATACGAACATATTATAAATATGCTGAAGACAATTCGAAGTCTTGGTGTGTGGGCCCATGAATGGTTCTGAGATGAGCGCTATGTTTTCGTCATTTTTGTTCTAGAGGTCTGTGCTTGAAGAGAACGAAGTAATGGGAGTTGCTCGCAAAATAACTTTTTATAGTGATCTACTTGCGAACTGAGAGTAAATCGCTTTGCTGTCTGTAGCCCTAACTCACTCACATGCCGCCCGAAATGTTTGGTTTTGAAACAGAATTTCATGCCAGTCAAGAACTTCGCTCGTACTATTCGCGACTTGGACTCTCTCCAGTCTACGGAATGACACATATCCCCTGGAGCTCCTCCTGCCCAGTACGACTTCCAGGCAAAAATTCTTGAGGTAAAATTTTCATCCTCCTAATACTGGACGGTGGAAGTTTGCATGCAGGATCCTATGATGATGGATATGATGATGGGCGACCCCTTTTACTTCTTTAAGCTTAAAAACCGGTTTTTAAGAATAATTCACGCTTTCAGAAATGGACCAAACGGACGCGGAAAAGTGCGCGATGCGCGCGCGCTTCGCATAGAAAAAGAGGTCCCGAGCTCGAAATGTTCGAAATGCTCGAAATGTAGATGTTCGAGAACTACCTCCGTTGGAACGAGGAGAAGATTGGTCGTAGTCAAAACGAGTATAGACTCGTCGGCGCCGCGTTGGGTCACGTCGTTCTGGTGGCCGCCGCTCGACCCACAGCATGACCACTGTGATGGCCGGAATATATTCGAGTTTCAGCGCGAACCGTGGCGGACGCCGTCGTCCATGGCTTCGTGATCACTCAAATTTTTGCGTTTTTTATCTCAAGTTCAGTGCAATCCACGAAGGTAGTGGTTTACGGTTTCCGACAAACGATCCTTTTTTATTGTATATGTAGTAAACAGTTCCTGAGTTATAAATGCCTGCCAAATAACTGAACGCGCTATTAGCTAGTACAAGAACATCTGCCGTGATTAGAGAAGAGAACGTCTGCATTAAGTCATCTACAATATGTTCTGAAACTGTATGATTCAAGCAGTTCTCATTCTTTGCCATCCCTCGGGATCCGTAACGACACGGAACTGTAGGAGCAGATAAGTGGAGAGAAACACTTTTCTCCGAGATAATATCATAAAATTCATGTTCATTCCCTTGTGAATACACGTGGAATTTTATTTGCATATTTTTATACCTCTGTCTTAGTACTCTTATCAAAGACAATAACTTTTTGTTTGATAACACTCTGTGAGAAGGAGCATCACCCCTGCGCAAGTGAACTACTATATTTGTGACATTTTGATCTGACCCGTTCTCAGTCCCATAACTTACTCCATCATTAAAAGCTGCTCTTAGTGAAGGTATGATCTTCAACACAGAAGAAGGTTTTTTTGAAAAAATACTAGCGCATATGTGGGTTTTTGAACAAATACCTACAATAGATTTGCCTTCGCGGCAGATGAACTTTTTTCGCGGAAGCAAGCCTTCTCCAAGCAAAATTTTGGATCTAATTGAACTACAATTTTGGTCTCGTCCAAATAGAACATGTGCAGCCCCGCTCAAGTTCAAAAAATTCTCTAGCGCTTCTTCGTGTCCTCCAACATGATGTAAATGATAAAATGGTGAGTGGCAATACGCAAATCCTTCATTTACCGCGGTAGCTATAAGACCTATACGAGCAAGAGACTCTCCACCGAAACCATCCTGTCCAACTGCCTTCAAATAAAATGACGAACATCTTGCATCTGCATCGGTGATCAGCAGAACTGAAATGTTAAGAAAACAAGGAAAGAAATAGATGGAGAAAAATATTTTTGGCCAGAATTTCATGTTGTATGGGGTAACTCTACAATATTGCTAGTTCGAATTCAGTTATGGCAATATTTGGCATCTATGGCAACTGGCTCTCAAAAAAGAAGAAAGGAAGAGAGCCCTTATAAGTGGGATATTCCTTTGTTCCTTCCTCAACTTTTCCTCTAAAGCTCAAACCCTCAACTCCTAGCTAGAAGACACAAAGGGATTCTTTTTTCTTTTTTTGGTCCAAAATTTTTGGAAAACTCTCGCGAGGTCGCTCAGCTAATGCCATATGGCCATAGGCTCTAGTTCGAGCGGCAACACCGAATTTCGGCCAACTTTTTTCCGGTCAGCCAAAAAAGTTGGCCGAAATCGGTTAATTTTTCGGCCAACTTTTATAGGTGCAACTGAGAATCGAGGGCGTGAAAAATGAAAAAAAATCAAAATTCTGAACTGGGCGTCCCGGGGGATAACCAATGAGAAAAACCGCGATTGCGAACAATTCCTCCATTTTAACCACGCAAAAATAGTAACCATTGATACACGGCTTCTGTGGCGTTCAATATCATGCATAAAAGCATTTAAGGTAACGAAAATACATAAAGAAATTGCTGTGAATCATTTCTTTCAAATTGCTTATACACAAGAGATCGTTTGTTCTTGATAAGTCCACTGCTGAAGTTTATTATGAGCACCATTTATGAGTGAAGCACATCAAATCCTAGCACACAGTTAACAACATTCGTCGAGTTCGAATTCAACAAAACTTCACTAGTCTACTCAGGATTGATATTAGTTTCGTTCATGTCTGCCTGGGCTTGTATCAGAAGCGTACATTCGACGTATATCGATGTTTACTGTTTTCGCATGGTAAAAAACTTTCTCCTCACCCAATACACCCTAAACCACAAACACCCAGTTTTCCTGAACCCGTTGTTTTTGTTGCCACACGTGTTTGTCTATCACAAGAGTTCCTAAACTTTGACACGCTCTGCTTGTAGTTAGGATGAGAAGATACAAAAACTTGGTTTCTAATTTGCGAAAAAGATCGAAGAGCAACTTATTCTTGCGGACACTTACCGTGAGCCTTGTTTTTGCGCTATGTTTGATACAGGCTTCACGAAAAAGTTGCGAAATCGTGAATGAAAAGTATACTTCAGGTAAAGCAAGTAAAACTAGTTCGATTAATGTACCTACGTTTAAAGGGTTCTCTCTTTGCTCACCATCTTTAGAATACGATTATCAAGAGCGATTACAACGTGGCAAAGAAGCTCGGAAACACATCGAAACTGTAGGTGAAACGTCTCCAAATTTGTTCTGGTATGCAGTTGAACCAACTTGGAGTTGCTCAACAGAAATAAGAGTAGGTGGACTTGGAGATGGTGGGAAGTACTTATGCGGCTATGACTTTTCTAGGCAAAAGGCTTTTGACCAAGATTGCGTCATATACTCATTTGGAAGTGCTGGGCGAGACGACTTTGAAAATTTTCTGAGCTCAAACACAGGCTGTAAAATACATATTTTTGATCCAACTCCGAGAATAAGAAAGCAGATGACGATCCGAGCACGTAAATATGGCGCGCAGTTTCATTCAATTGGTCTTGGGGGCTTCGATCGTAATTTCAACAAGGTTGGTATATGGCAGTCTGACCTGAAAGAATCTAGTTTGAAAATTTTTACTTTACCTGAAATAATGGAAAACCTCAATCACACCCGAGTTGATATTTTAAAAGTGGATATAGAAGGAAGTGAATATGATGCTTTTGAGGTGATCTTGGAAAACTGCACTTTAGATATTGAGATTATTCTCATAGAGCTGCATGTTTTAGGGTCAAATTCTAGGGACCAAATATTTAAGCTCATTTCTAGTTTAGAACGTTGCCGTTACCGCATGTTTCACAAAGAACCAAATTATCAAGGGTGCCATGGTACAAAATGCGTTGAACTTGCTTTTACAAACTTTGATTGTAAATACGAATCACCGCATGAGATCATTAAAATGAATCATGAGCGCGACTTGGCAGAGAGAAGATCCTCATTGATAGGGTATCTGAAGAATGGTAAGAAAAGGCACCATAATCCACGCTTATTTTGGGATTTTTACGAGCCAGATTCTGTTTGTAAGTCTTTGAGGAGAATTGGTGGATTTACTCCGGGGGGATTGTATACATGTGCTATGAGCAAAAAATGTCATGTGTTACTCTTTGGTGACTTTCACGAAATTCATGAGGATTTTTCCCAGCAATGCATAGGTGTAGAACGTAAGTCTATCTCAGAAATCTTTTCTTTGACCTCAAGAAGTACTCCCTCAAGGTACTCGTTAGCTGCTGTCAGATTTGAGGACAAAAATAATCCAGAGATAGAAGTGTACAGAAATCTGGCAGGAATTGTATCGAGATCATGTGAAAATTTACCTGATCAGATTTCCGTTGAAATCCACTGGATCTTCGGGACAAATTCCTCCAAAGAAGTTTCGGGCCATGAAGATATCTTGATTGAGCTTTTCACATCTCTTGAGAGGTGTAATTTTTCTATTTTTCATAAGGAACCAAATCTTCTTTCGGGACGAGGCCACCGTTATCTCATGTATGGTTGGATAAAACATGAGAAATTATTGAGTGATTGGGCTACTTAATTGATGAAATCAACGTTTGCAGGCACTCATTTTGGTTTTGGTTTGAGTCACCATAAGAGTTCGCCATGTCTCAGTCAAAAACCAGCACATATTTTTGTAGGCGAAGATAAGAGTTTTAATGAAGTTGGCATTTTGAGTGCTATCACAGCTAATTTTACGTCTTTGAATTATTGGACGGCTTACGAACATCAGTGATAGACATGGAAGATCTCTCGATTGATCTCGATTGATGTCATTTTTTTGTGATTATCGTTTGAATTGATAGCCAGTTACAATCTTTTTACCTTCATCGGAGGAGGAAAGAAGAGGCCTCAAGGAAGTTCTTTTAGGGTTTACACCTTTCAAAAAGGGTACTTTGCATTATAACACTGAGATAAAGGAGAAGAGGTGGGCTCCGGCTACGATACCAGGTAGGAAACGCAATGACAGGGTAATCCAAACAATTATAAGACGAATCGCCGATGTCGTGCGCTTGCAAGCGCGCGTAATACGCGCCCCAGGAGGGGGACAAAAAAAAAAGGCAGATTTTGGGACATAAACGATCATCGGTGATTACTGCGTGACGCACATTGTTTGGGACCAAACAATAAAACAGTCACTTGCTCTCGGGCTACGAATCCGGGGATTGAAAACGGAATAAGGCGGACGGCAAGTACGTCATTTTATCAATCTTTTATAGTACAGCTCTTAATCGTGCGAAACTCGCTGAAGATAATCAAATTACAATACAAAATCGTATCACAGAATTCTAGAAGTTGAAACATTCAGGTACGATTTCAGTCAAACTTGAAAGTAGAATGTACTGAATCTGGGCATTTTATAGGGGAAATCGCGATTTTGCATCCATGCGCACGAAACAGCACCAACGGCACCATTCTTCGCACGAAAACCGGCGATGACATCGTGAGGATGTCTGTAATGATGATCGATGATAATATCTTTAGCCCCAAGCGTCATTTGGAAGATGAAAATTGTACCTGCGAGATGCGTTGGGGCTAAAGATTTTTTTCGACGGCGCGAAAGAGCAACGGTCGGGGAGGTGAATCTTGGATCGCGAGTGTGTTTTAAGCGTTTTATATGACTTCATATTTTTTTTGGAACTTTCTTAGTGAAACCCACCTTGTATCCCCTACTTCTTCACAACTTAAGCCGAATAAACACACACGATAAGTTCACACTAGAAGAAGCAGTGATAACAGAGATGATTGGGAGCAAACTTAGGTTTTTTTTCAAAAGTAGAGATGCGAGATATAGGAGTTTAGCGCGCGTAGTCTGAGCATGTTTTTGTTACAAATTTCGTCTATGTTTTCGTCTATGTTTCTACACATTATCGCGCATTGAAACGGATCTGCTTCGCATAACTTAGCCAAACCTTCTAGTGTAACATATTTGTTCCTGTTGTTATCGTTATCTTGTATTCGGACGTGTATCTGAGGTCTTCAACGCCTTCTCACAAAATAGGCTAGCAAAATTGTGCCATATGGTGTAATTTGTTTTTTGTTTCATTACAAAGACATGAAAGACAGAAATATTGTTTTCGTGATCTGTGCTCTAATAGTGATTTTTGAGAGAGAATTCTCTCTCAACTCTCACGTTTCACTTTTTTACGCGTATTGTGTACGAAAAAGAAGGAGTACTCCCCTGGTGTAAGAGTCACAACCCTATGTTAGCCACGACACCGTTTTCACCTGGGGACCTTCCTCGAGGTCGAAAAATTGCCCCAAAACAATAAATTTTATACGAGTAGTTTATTCACCCTTTTTCTTCAGGCAGAAGCAAAAATCACGAATAAACAAAAAACGAGTTTTATCGTTTATTGATTCTGTCGATGAATAAACAATAAACGACCCACATTTATTGTTTATTCATCGTCAGAATCAATAAACTTGTTGACGCGTATATCTGCGCGCGCGCGCGCATTTCGAAGGCGAAAATGAACGAAAACGACGAGAATGTTGATCCCATGCGTGATGCTCTCCGGATGTCGAACATTTGCGTCCAAATTGAATGTACAAAAGAAAAGCATATGAATGTGCATGAAAATTAAAAATTTAAAGTTCTACGAGCTCTACGAACTATTCTCCATAGAATAGGACGCTTTTTAGCTCCTCTCGCGCGCTTTTGCGTTCAGTAGGGTACCACTAATGAATTTTGTCTCAAGTTTGACCGGAAAGTCTCAAGTTTGACCGCCCAGTTTAGAGGAAAAAACAAAAACAAAAATCAAAATTCTGAACTGGGCGTCCCAGGGGATTGTAATGAAACAAATTACACCATTTCACACAAACCACATCTTTCTAGGAGCTGTGGTGTCTAAAAACTCGCAACATGGCATTTTCCCTACTTGGCTCTACGCCACTACGGAAAAAGAAAAGTTGGCTAATCTTATTGAAGGTTGTGTGTTTGATCGCCATTTTTTTCCTCGTGTACTCTGCTTTACGTGACAATCTTCGTTCCAAAAAGCAGGCGTACATTTACGGAAACCCACTCTCTCTATGTAATACCGGATACTCTAGCAACTTAGAGTACATTTTAGCGTTGCGTAAACCAGGGCTGATTTTGGACGTGGGCTCATTTGATGGTGGAGATGCAGTCAGATATGCACGCAGCGGTGGGCATCGTGTGCTCACGTTTGAACCGGTTCCTTCTAAGGCGAGTGCTATCATAGAGAAAATACAAAATAGTGGACTTGGTCACCTCATAGAATTTTTTCCAGTTGCACTTTCAAACTATACTGGGACAGCAGACTTTTATGTATCAAAAACTAAATTAGGAAAAAAGAAAATGAAAGTATCTGGGACAGAACAGGACGCGTTTACTGTGCCTTGGGATAAGTTGCTAGTAGACAAGATCTCTGTTGAAGTTCGAGAGTTGGATGAATTTATAAAGTTTGAAAACGTGCTATATCTGAAAGTTGATGCACAAGGTTATGATGCACAGGTGTTGTTTGGAGCCAGAAAAGCTATACGAGAGAAGAGGATATCATATATTAATTTTGAAATCTCACCCGGTTTAACTCCAGACCCTACTGTTTATGCGGAATTGCTTAGTTGGTTGGGGGAATTTGGGTATTTCTGCTTTGATTGCAAGTTTTTCAAAGAACAGGGATTAAGAGGAAAGTCTGAAAATATACTGAAGATGCCGGTAGAAACATTTATTTCGACTCTGAACCAAACAAAGCTGCTCCAACGTGGAGTGAATGTAAAGAAATATACTGATATGATTTGCACACTGCTGTGAGCAAATTTAAGGTCTTCCCCCTCCAGTTCGTGCTTTCTCAAGTTTACAAGTCGTCGTCATATGCTGCCAAGCAGGAGATCTGTGCACATCGCCAGCTTATGGGATACGAAATCTGTTTTCTTTTCAGGATTTCAGCACGCGCAGATGATGTGTGTGGTGTATAGGTGTGTATAGAGGTGTGCCAAGATCCTCAAAGGTGGACGATAAATGCGAAAATAAAACAAAGAAAGTAATCGTCCTGTATTTCCATCAGAGCCCTCCTGGAGGGATACGTAAACAGAGAGTTCATCTTTTCTGCAGGGCTTAGAGCGGTATTTTAGGGGATGTATGAGAGTATTTTTCCTGTGTTGGTGACTTGTGTTTGTGTTCTTTTTGGCCAAAAAAAGTTCACGGAAGGAACCAATTTTTTCGTGGAGAATAGTCTTGGGTAATAATATTGTGCGGAGAGTGTCTAGGGAGAACTTTGACAAAGCATTTATAATGAACTTGGGTATCTTTAATATTTGTAATATGTAACACCAGTATCATTGCGCTTGTTTCATGGGCACATTCTGTTGTTTGGTAATGAAAGTCCACCAGAGGAGTCTTTCCAATGAGCCAAGGCTGATGATATATTAAACGAATTCTTCGACCAACAGTTCTTTCGAACTTCTTTGTGCTTAGACCTAGGTGAGCACCGCGCTGGGCAAGCTTCGCCAGTTTTGTTCCCATTTCTGCATGTACTTCAAAATTCTATCCTGTGGTAAATTGAAAAAATCAGCCAGCAAAATAGCAAAGGAATAACGTTCGATTGTTTCTGGGCCCACGAAATGAAATATTCCTACTTTTTTAGAGTTTATATAGCTTCGAAGTCCATTCTGCTAAATCTCTGCTGTAGGTTGGACAACCAATTTGCTCTACTACATACTTGAAGGTGGAACCTGAACTAATACTTTTCTTGCATAGTTGGTATACAAAATTCTTTTCAAACTTGTCTGCCCAAAAACTCCAGTTGCCACGTATTATTAGTGCATCTGGGTCAGCTTCTATCAAACGCTTTTCACCTTCTGCTTTGCTCCTACCGTAGACATTGATTGGGTGGGAACGTGCCGCCAATGACTCGTTCGCTTCACTTCTCGCGGCTTTGAGGTGTTCATCGTGTGGAATCATGCGGTCTCTCAGACGTGTTATCGGTCTTGTTACCGAGAAATCGCCCAATGTTGCTCTTCCTAGCGCATCCACCAAAATCGGGACTATGGTGGATATCCTAACTGTCGCTCTAATCCAGTCACGCCGAGAGAGCGGAGAGCGGTCTTCTTTCGCTCAGTAACCGCCTTCGTGTCATCAACGAGATTTTTATGAGAACGTGAAGTTTGGATAGGGAGTTTAAGTTAAATTGCGAGAAGTGACCTTTTTTTTTGCCCTCAGATGGGTTGCCCAGGGTATATCCCCCTTGGACGCCCAGTTCGGAATTTCTCATTTTTTTTCCATTTTTCCTTCTGAACTTCATCATCGTCCTCTTCTTTTCCTCAAGCGGCGAAGCACCACATCAAAGTGAGGGAGAGAAAAGAGATGTTTTCTTGGGGAGAGGGTCAAACTTAAGGCCACGGCGTAAACCAAAAAAAAAAATGAAATATCGAAATTTCCTTCTTTTTCCATTTCGAAATTTTTCTGTTTTTTCGAAATTTCCTCTAAGAAATTTCGAAATTCGGCAAAAATCGAAACGCGCGCACGAGCGCGACGACATCGGTCGGAAACGATCGAATCCGTGTTAGAACGATAGTTTAGTGATTTCTGTATTGATTTGACGCGATGGATGTTGAAAAAATGTCCAAAGAGCGCGAGTGAGAGTTCAAAGTTGTGTAGTGTGAAAAAGAGAGAGAAAGTGGTTTTTGTTTCCAAAAATATTCGAAGGTGAAATTTTAGAATTTTTCATGGTTTGGTTTACACACCCTCTTCTTTCGAAATTTCAGAAATTTCGAAATTCAGATGAAAATTTCGATAATTTGGGGTCATTTTTTTTGGTTTACACAGCGCGCGGCCTAAAAACTTTCAGAAAACTTTCAGAAAAAAAACTTTCAGAAAAAAAACAGAAAACTTTGGTTTTTTGCGTCTTGATCTACACAAGGCTGACGTTCGCTTTATTCAGCCCTAAGGCGGGCGCATTACGTGCGCCGCCGTCACCCGCACCGCCGCGCAATCTTCTGTACATACCGATACTGAACAAAACAGCAAAGAAGGCACCAGCAACGAACGACGCTCTTCCGCCCGCGTTCGAAGACCCAGCAGCACCGACACCCTTACTTCAGTGTGGATTCGTCGCGTGACCTGGACTTTGACCCCGAGCTGCGAGCTGACCTCACAGGTCTCCTTTCTGAACCGTTTCTCGAATCGTTTTTTCCCGACAACGACAACGACGACGACGTTTTTCTCCCTTTGACGACGACGTTTTTCTCCCTTTTACTGACGTTCCGACGACTGAGTTCTCTCCCAAACGGACGTTACGTTCTTCTCGTTCTACTGACGCTAAATCATCTGAGACCCCGGTTGTTGACGATGTAACTCGAATTAAACGAATTAAAAGAAGAAGTTGGTGTTGGTTGGTGTTGGTGCCACTCCAATACTCCAATACTCTCGAAACAACTCCGCAACGCGCGCCTTCGAGCGCGGTTCAAAATACATGTCGTTCGGATCAACGCCCTCGATGGGCATATCAACTCCTTCCAAGTTGATGCCGTTCCAGTCGTCTTCGTTGATTCCATTCCAATCGGACTCGTTGATACCATTCCAATTCGGATCAACACCTTCGTTGATGTTATCATTTACCACGGGTGTCGCCACAACGTGCGCGTAAAATTAGAGCACTGATCAGGAAAAATAATACTTCTGTCTTTGTAATGAAACAATTTACACACAAACCACAATTCACTTTGTTTTGATACTGCTACTCGTGTATTAAGACAATTTTTTTATTTTTTTGTTCCCAATCATCGCTATTATATATGATGATCACTGCGTCTTCTAGTGTGAACTTATCGTGTGTGTTTATTCGGCTTAAGTTGTGAAGAAGTAGAAGTTTTCTCAGGGATGTGGAAATGGAAAGTGGCAAAAAGAGCAAAAATGTGCTGGTTCAGTACGTTTTGGCGAAAAATGTGCTAGTTTGGTTTTTTTCTCGAGCTGTATAGGTACCAACTTTTTAGTGCGTCAAAGCGCTTTGAGTGTTGATATTATTCAGTGCTTTACCTAAATACTATTGTACTCTTCGGAGCCGCCACTCATTGTCGTCACTTCTAATAGATATATAATATCACCGTCGTTCTAACGACGGCCTCACTCGAAATATAAGACCCAAACACCCTAGATATCAACATTGAGCCAAAAAATTTTCGCCAAAGCGAATCCAAAGCGTTCAAAAGCGCAAAGCACTTTGAGATTTCACCATCCCTAAATGAAACAAATTACACCATTTCCCACCACAACTCACAATTCACTACGTATTTTCCAGGTTTCCAGGTTTACTTTCTTTAAAAAAAAACAAGTAAAATGGCTACAGCGTGAGAATAAAGCTCGCCAGCATGGAAACATTAAAAAAGGGTGAAAGGATGTCCTTTATATTCACAGAAAGTATTGAGTGCTGAACCGATGAAGCCAAAAGCGTCTTTGATGAAACGTGGAGTCCTTTTATCCTTTTTCATGTTTGGTTTATTTTATTCATCTAACACATCGTTTGAACATATCAGTCTTGAGGAACATGTCAAGGCGAGCCCTGATCATGATGCCAGAGAGAGATTTTGTAAAGTGACTCCTTATTCTAAATCGAGACTATATAAGATTCCTAATGTTCAGAAGTCTATTTCCCGCTGGAAAGTAAAAAGGGCATACTCCGGAGAAGAGTCTAAGGTTCCATTCCGAAAAAGAAATTCTCTTAAAATATGTAGTGCGAATAGTACAGATTATAGTATGTCAAAACTTCGGGAGTCAATGCATGCTCACTCACGACAAATACTAAAGCAACTGTCATATAATGAGAAAGTCGAAGTTTCTCCAGTTGCAACGCCTGGAACGAGCCTTCTTGTGCAAAGCTCGAATTTCTGTGCAAAACCAATAAGTTTTGCTTTTGCGATCTCTAGTCAGGAAGGCTCTGGTAAAATACGAGGCTTCATGATAGCTGATGAACTAAATAAGTTAGGACATACAGCAGTTACTGTTTTTGGGAAAGAAGGACCCCTCTGGCCCGATCCACTCAAGGAACTGAGAACTTGCAGCACATTACACCTATGTATTTTTGTGAAATGGGACTCGCGCTCGTTTCCTCGCATATTACTCGAGTGCAAAAAGCGTGGTGCCCTTGCATTCATCGATCTCCTCGACTACTGTGATAGTAATAGAAAAAATATTGTTGACCAATGGCCCAAAGAAATTGACGGCTTCATTCTCCAAAGCAAATTTCAGTTTCAGGTATTTCAATCCGTGGGTTTTTCAAACTCTGTAGTTATAAGACATCACCATACAAATATTAAATCTGAAAAACTTGCTTTAAGGAGCGAAAACCACGCAGTGAAGACTATTGGTTTCACAGGTTCAAGAAAAAATTCAGGAGGAATCATTCAGAATTTCTTGGGTGATATTGAGATTTGGGCTTCTAAGCGCAATATAAAAATAGTTCAGATTGTTTCAAATAGAATAATAGCTGGAAAGACGAAGATTTCAGATATCTATGACCAAAACAAATATCATACTGGTGTGATTGAATCTGTTGATGTCGCCATTGTTTGGCCCAAAGATTTTTCTAACAGTGAAATATACTTCAAGCCGATAACACGATTCATCCACTGGTTATCGCATGGTATTCCTACAATTGTATATCCAACTCAGTCTTACATAGAAATTGCTGAAGAGTTTGGGTATCCCTTACTAGCAAAAAATACTACGGAGGTTCTCGAGTGGCTTGAAGTCCTTGTATCTAATAAATCTTTCAGATCTCAAATCAGTCACTTGGGTTTAGTCATGGCTGAAAAATTTTCCCTCAAAAACACAGTCCAACAATATTCCAATGCTTTTTGTGGAATGCATGATTGAGAATATATGGTCCCCTTATACTTGTGTATAAAGAAATCTACGAATACAGAATGTACGAATATGCGAATATAGATTCCTTAAGATCATGAGTTTTAATTGGTATATTCATTCAATTTTTACAGTGTATCTATCCCCTGGACCGGCCTCCCGGCCCAGTCCACCTCCCGGGGCTTTAAAAAAAAATTCAAGAAAAATTTTCGCCCCTCCCGGTGGACTGGACGATGGATAATGGCAACAAACGGTGAATAATGGCAACATTTTTATACACATCTAAACGCCTTAAAAACAGCGCGAATCGAAAGTAGAGAGGATTCTAAGACACTTACCGTCGCCGAAATCGGGAAAAATGGTGTGTGTTTTGTGTATAAAAATGTTGCCATTATTCACCGTTTGTTCTTATATGCGTCCGCCCGACTGATGTAAAGACAGAAGTTTTATTTTTCCTGATCTGTGCTCTAGATTGTGATTTTTGGGAGAGAATTCTCTCTCTCAACTCTCACGTTTCGCTTTTTTATTTACTCTTTTATTCGCTTTTTTATATACACGTGTAGGTTGTTGTTGTTCACCAGGAGAACTGTTGGTGAAGTATTTTCACGAAAATAATTTTGACCCCGAAAATGAATATGACTCACCGTGCGCGTGGGCGTCCCTTTATAACGAATGTTGATGGGGAAGATTTCGTTATTGACGGATTTGCGAAATACAAAGGCTACGGCGACGAGTGTAAAACAATTTATTTTGCTTGTGTTGCTCTTTTTCAAGACGAGGAAAACAAAGAAAATGGGAACTTAGTTTTTCCGTTTTGTTTTGATTACTCGTACGAAAGCGATGAGTAGCAAACATTTTAGCGATGAAATCGTAGAAAACGACTTCGCATATTTCATAGTTGAAAATTACGAGCAGTCGTGTAGGAATGTAAAAGAGGTACTTAAAAGGCGTGAGTGAAAAACGCGTTTTAGCTACTGTGTATTTTTTAATATTACTAGAAGTTTTTTTTGAAGCGGTTGCTCTCGTGCACGTTTTGCACGTTTGCGCTTCGTTTTGGAACCCCCCCACTCTTTTTTGTTTTTGAAACCAAATCACTCAAATCGTTTCCGTTCATATTTCTCCTCTCGTATTGATCTTTTCTCGCGTTCGATGTCGTGAGTCGCTCGCGGGGTAAACCTCCTTTTTTCTTTCTCTTTCTCTTTCTCTTTCTCTTTCTCTTTCTTTTCCCCTAATTTTCCCAGTTTTTTCTTTTTTTGCGACGAAGAAAATAAACGGAGAGAGAGACTATGTAAAAAGCGCGTATTTTCCAGCTCCGAGTTCCTGCGAACGTTTTATGAGGTGTACGGGTGCATCCGCGCGGTTTTCAGCACCTCTCTCGCGCGCGCGGTCCCCAGTCAACGCGCGCGCGTGGATGGGACGGGAAGGGGGTGACGTGTCACGCTCTCGTGCAAAGTTGGTGTTCTGTTTAGGGTCTCAAATTCTCAACTTTCATTCTCGTGCAAAGTTGGCAATAATAATTGCCATAAATGCGACACAAAAACTGAAATCAACACACACACACACACACACACACACACACAAACACAAACCTCCAGATAACATGGATAGCGGTAAGGAAGACAAAGCCATTTCCTTAAAGGAAGAGGGAAAATTCGTGAAAGAGTGGGATAAATTTTCACATGTTTTGCATCGCGATCTCGGGGGGGACCACGAACATGACATGGCACATGTTGGCATGGAAGAAGAATTTGCCCGGCCGTCTCAGAAGAAGAAGAGGAAAGCGGAGGAGGAGGAGGAGGAAAAGGCGGATCTTTTGAGCTCGTGCGATACTTCCTTCGCTTCTACTCTATCAGGGAATTGGCCCACGCCCGACAAAGAGGATTACGTCGAAAGCGGATCCCCAAAAGGCCTGAGAAGATGGTTCCCCTCGGAATGGATCCCCGGGTACGGCAAGACATGGATGGACCAAAATCCATCGCCGTATGAGTCGCATGGCACCGGGGAGGAAGACGAAGTAGTCGAAGGCGAAGATAACGATATCGACGACGCGGATAACGAATCGGAGCACCCGGACGTGTTAATGGATAGCGGGAAGAAATCAGACGAGAAGGAGGATTTAGAAGAGTTGAAGAGATCGTTGGACGAAACGGAGCGACAACTCAATGCACAGTTGATGACTTTCTTACGAAATAATCACGTGGACACAGACAAAATGCTTTTTATGACGCGGGACGATAATAATGAGCAATGGCGCGTCTCAAATGGTATTCGGTGGAGGAAGCATAATAAGGTTTGGGATCCAGATCCGATTTTTTGATGGATTTGGAAGCTTGCTCACCACAACAACGTAGACGGACGAAATTTGGTTGTGGCATCGTGACCGAAAGTGAAAAATTTGGTCTCATTGGATAAACACTCACAGATGGAGAAGGTTGCAAAGCTCATACAGCGTAATTCTAAAAGAGAGAAAGATGCACGCATCTAGATAAAGAATTATACTAACATACACGTTGTAATTTTTTTTATTACTAGAAGTTTTTTTGAAGCTGTTGCTTTTGTGCACGTTCGTTTTGCACGTGTGCGCTTGGGAAGACGACGACTTCTCTCGAGGAAACGAATGAGGGACGCTGTTCCTTCTTGTCTATAGGAATCACTTTTTTCTTCGATTCTCATCCATAGTTCGCGTCACTTGGTCCCGTACACTCACTCTCGACTGCATTCGTGACATTCTATGCATTCAATTCGTACAAAAAACACGTGGCGTGGATGTCCTTTTTCCTCCTTTCTCGGGAAGACGACGACTTCTCTCGAGGAAAGGAATGATGAGGGATGCCATTCCATCTTTGTGTGTAGGAATAATTTAAATGATTGTCTTCGATTCTCTTCATCGATCGCGTCACTTGGTCCAGTATGATCGCTTTTGACTGCATTCAGGACATTTTATCGGTTTTATTCGTAAAGAACACACGTGGCGTGGATGTGCGTCTTGCCTCCTTTCTCGGGAAGACGACGACTTCTCTCGAGGAAAGGAATGATGAGGGATGCCAGATGGTGCTGTCGTTGCTCTCGACGACGGGAAAAAATCAAAAGAGATGCAGAAACTGCTTGTACGAACACGCGCTTTGGGGAAGCAGGTGAGTTCGCTTTCGTTGCGTTTAAACGCTTTCGAGAAGTTTTTCGAGGATACTATTACCACGCGATTCGAGGAAACGAATGGGTTCATCTTTGAAGTGTTGACGGCGCTCTCTGATGCACCTCGATGTGTGCATCCTTTTTTGTCTACTCAGCCTCAACGAGGAGTGGAAAAAAACAAAAGAGAAGAAATACGCGAAGGCGAACGCGCGCCAGAAGAAATATCTGCCGCGTCAGATTCTGCCGAGCAGAAGAAGCAGATCTCGACAAAGCCGAAGAAGATGTCGTCGAAAGAGAAAGCGTCCATGGGTTTATGCTTTCGAGAAGCAGTCACGTTGGACGATTTCTTGGACGGATACAACACGCAGGTGAACTTGCCACCATCAACTACTGGAAAGCGTTCGCGAGAATCTTCCGCGACGCACTTTCTGACTTCGAGACGTTGTTTGGCGATAAAGCTGGCGAATACATCGGCGAGTTCGAACTGGCGATGGAAGAAGCGCTCGTGGTTTCTAACGAGCAGACGAGCAAGCGAGCAGGCGAGCAAAAACGGTGGAAGCCAGTCGCCTCAGCTTTCATTTCTGCTTCAGAAAAAAGACCATCTACAGACTCTACAAACTTTTCTCCATAGAATAGGACCGTTCGTATCCATTCTCGCGCGCTCCTCTGCGCCCACCCATACCCAATTACAAAAACTGCTACGGTTTGAACACCCAGTTCTAAGGCGAATTTTTGAAAAATTTATTTTTATTGAAAAAAGAGGGTGAGCCTTGAACTGGCGACTGACTGGGCGTCCCAGGGGATTATTTTTCTTGATCTGTGCTCTAATTTTTAGTTTTTTCGTAAGAGTTAAAATTTTCTGCTGCGTTCAACGCAACTTTTTAGAACCACTTCCCGAGAGTTAGTGGAAGGACATGACTTCAAAATACAGGCCAATATATATTTTCTTGTTGCTATCTGCTGTATTTTTCCTGGCAACGAGGATAATTATCGTTCGCCCAAGAGTAAGGGAAGGATCACTTGATGACTGGTTTTTCACTTATAGTGAAGGACCTGTACTCATGAAATGGGAAGGATATTTGGAACTGTATGACCGATATTTCTCGAAGTTCAAAGGGAAAAACGTAACAATGCTTGAAATCGGGATACAAAGTGGAGGATCAATTGAAATGTGGCAGCATTACTTCGGTCCAAAGCTGAATTTTGTTGGTTTTGACATCAATCCTTATTGCAAGAGGTTCGAGAGAAAAAATGTACAAATCTTCACGGGCTCTCAACTTAACCGAGCAGATCTTCAGATGCTCCATAAATCTATAGGCCCGGTGGATATTATACTCGATGATGGAGGCCATACAAAAATAATGCAACAAAATAGTTTTGAAGAACTATTTGGAGCAGTCATTGATGGAGGTTATTATGTGGTTGAAGATATTGAGTTCAGTTATACTCGAGAGTTTGGCTCACATACTTTTGTTGACTATGCAAAACAGCTTGTTGATGTTTTGAACATGTTTTATTACAAGAAAAAGCACGTACCTTCGCTACCAAACTTCAATAGCGATTTAGCGCTTAACTTAAGTGGAATTCATTTCCATGATAATATGATTGTCTTTGAGAAGCAAAAAAGAAAAGAACCAGTTCTCCAAATACGTGGTACTACAATGATGGATGAAAATGGAAAATATCTTAAGAGACCGGCAGAAACAGAATATAATGATGCCCAACATCAACCACTTTCATTTCGAGATAAGGAGCTTAGGAAGGCTAGAAAACTAGTAAAGGGTTACAAATGGAATGTTTAGTGTATCCCTTTTGCTCTCCCCCCATCGGCTGCTCCATAAATCAATCAAATATAGCAGTTCGCTTGGAGTTTTTTCAACACAGGAAACTTCCAAACGGAGCGTACGGCACGAAAGGCGATCTTGCAATTCGATACCGGGAAATTTTTCTCCGCGGACTTGATAATTATGACACGTTTATAGTTCAGGAAGACGATAGTGTTGATAGTGTTGATATCTAGGGTGTTTGGGTCTTATATTTCAAGTGAGGCCGTCGTTAGAACGACGGTGATATTATATATCTAATAAGAAGTGACGACAAGGCACGCGTCTCCGAAGAGAGTAGTAGTATTTAGGGTAAGGCACTGAATAATATCAACACTTAAGGTTTATATGGTGAAACATTTTTCCGCTCAGGATATTCAATCGGTGGACGTAGCCTTATACTTACTCGAGACTTGATTTAGAAAAATGTTAAGAGGCGTCTCGATGAATGGACCAATCCAACTAGAGTTCGAGGAGAATTTAATCCAACAGTGAGCACATTTTTTTGGATGGAGAATGTTCAAGGAAGACATTTGACAAGATTTTTTTCACGGGCATTTTTTGTTTAGAGTGCTTTAAAAAGTGGCAAGACTGAGCGAATGCGAACAATTGTGCATCATCGTGAACAGAGAAATATACCAATAATAATTTAGATTTACTCATCGAGGTGTATATATACATACAACCAAAAGCTCTCACTACTACCCGATAAACCCATGCAAAAAAAGCCTGACCTCTTCTAATTTAAGCACAATTCTAATCTTTTTATTTAGGGTTTGTGGTTTTAAGTTTCCTTTTTTTCTTTCGTTGTTCGCACACATTTTTCATTTTCTCAACAAACAGGAATTCGGATGCGTTATTCTTTTAAAATGTCGATAGTCATACGAATATCACTACTTTTGACTCGACTTATTTTTTCTAATTGTGCAGTTTCAGATAGCAACTTACGCGTTGGAGAGTCCTGGAGCAAAAGGTTCTGTAACTGGAATAAAATAACACTTCCAGAAAAAACTGAAGTAGACTTTCCCAATTTAATAGTTGGGATGGCTACAGGTTCCTCGTATACTTTTGATAAGCTTGTGCCATTTTGCAAAAGTGCTCGCCTGGCGGGATTTCGTGGTGCAATTATAATAGGTATAACGCAACTGCAAGGATTTCATGAAAGGAAAAGAAAGAAAGTGTTTGATAAGTTCAATATAACTGGGGTCTATCTAAATGGTCTAAAAGGAGATGAGTGGGGGCAATCCACCTGTAGATATCATGCGTATTTGAAACTTATACTTCATTTTGCGAGCGAAAGTGACTCAATTCTTGTTAGCGATGTTCGAGATGTTTTTTTCCAAGCTGAACCCTTTTTATCTGTACCTTTTGGTGCAGCAAATTTTCTGAATACATCTGCGCAAGTTCTTCTTTTTAGCGAAGGATTGAACGATATCACTATTCATAAGGCCACTCTTCGAAATACAAGAGTAAATTTCAGATGGATTTTGAATATATACGGTCCGAAAAAATCAAATTTAATCGCTAGTAATACCGTACTCTGTAGTGGTACAACAATAGGAAGTAAATCGGGTATGCTTTATTATACCAGAGCAATGCTTTATGAAGCTTATCAATGTCTTCGGAGAAATCCAAAAAAAGTTGATGGGAAGAGGGGACACGTCTGCTCTGGAGGAGCCGACCAAGGCTTCCATAACTACTTATTTTGGAATAATATGTTGAATGCTTCTGTCGCACTTTGTAATGCAGCTGGACCTGTATATACAATAGGAGTATTCAGGGGAAAACCAGTTCGATCTCTGAACTTTGAACGGAATACTGACGGTGAAGTCATTTCACCTTCTGAAAGAGGAGTTCAGCATCCAGTTCCAGTTATTCATCAGTGGGATCGGCACGCGGAACTACTGGAGCATGTTTTTCAAAAGTTTGATTTGTTATCCGAGGGTGTTTCCGTGCGTACATTGAGCTCTCACTTATTAGATGGAAGTTTCAGTGGAAAAGTTCGGAAGAAATCGAGAGGGTTGTGAATAGAGCATTTCATCACTATGCAGTATTGATCTACTTGTTCTAAAGCTTCAGAACTAATATCTTATGATGAGGATAAAGATGAAAAATATGATTCAAGAACTTACACTTGATAAAAGTGTGTCTATCGAATACCACAACTAAAAGAGAGAAGTGAGCCTGACGAAATGTAACATTTTTTTACATTCTTGTGCTTTCATCTGCATACTCCAATACCCCATGGTACTGGAGCGCATAGAACCCACCCGGTTCGTATTTCAAAATCTGTAAAACCTCCCCGTCGTGGGTGAGGGAAGGAACAACATCCGTGTGTTTTATCTAACTTAGGTTTATTTTTTTGAATTTTTGATAGCACTGTCGGAACGCATACCCCGCAGTGCACGCAGTGCACAGAGAATGGAAACGAAGACCGTTATTCTTATGAAAAATGACTATTACGAGGGTCTTTTTAAATGTTTTTGCTTTACAACGAAGAAAAAAAATCTTACTACTCGTACGCGTAAAAAAGAAAAAAAAAGTCTCGAAAATGAAAACGCACAGAGTGTGAAAGTTGAGAATTTGATTCCCCAGACAGAAAACCAACTTTGCACGAGAGCGTGACACGTCATCACTTCCCTGTCCCCTCCTGACTCGAGCGCATTGACTGGGGACCGCGCGCGAGAGAGAAGTGCTGAAAACCGCGCGGATGCACCCATACACCTCATAAAACGTTCGCAGGAACTCGGAGCTGGAAAATACGCGCTTTTTACATATTCTCTCTCTCTCTCTGCTTATTTTGTTCGTCGCAAAAAATAGAAAAAACGGGGAAAGGAAAGAGAGAGGAGGTTAGCAAAAGGAGGTTTATCGCGAGCGACTCACGACATCGAACGCGAGAAAAGATAAAGATGAGAGGAGAAACATGGACGAAAACGATTTCAGTCTTTGATGCCGAAGACGCATTCGCATCACGGATGGATTATATGCGAAGAAAAAGAAGAAGAAGAAGAGAAGTAGAAAAGGAAGAAGAGGAGGAAGAGGAGAAAGTGCGGAGGCAGAGAGCTTCCGAATCTCGACGAATTTGCTTCGTCCTCGATGGGACCCAGAAGATAACACGGAACTCGAGGTCTCATCTGGGTCAAGGTTTGGTAAAATATTGTTCGAGGTTCGAAGCGTTTGCGCGGAGCGCGAACGCGTCTACCGAGTAGAGTCACGGAAGCCCGCAAAGCAGGTAGGGCTGTCAATCATAAAGCGAGGAGAGTGCGAGGAAATGGGATTGGTTAGGTTTAGGGGCGTACCACTTACTTTTTTTTCAAACTAGAAGTTTTGCACTTCTGCTCTTCTTTCGTGAGTTCTTTTCGTTGGAAAAAAGGAAAGAATGAAGGTAAAATTTACTCGTACGTACACTTGTTTGGAATACGCGTTAGTCAAAGACGCTCCGGGTTCTTGCGACTCTACTCGGTAGGCTTGGTCGCGCTAAAAAACGCTCTTGCGTAGAAACAATGGGTTTTTTGGCAATTGTCTGGTATTTTCTAATCGGCAAGGGGATAACTACTCATCAGTCTGTTGTCATCACTTCAAAAAAACTGTATTTCTCACCTTTGGAATGAATATGAAAAGACTTTCTATCTCATCCTCTTTTCTCGCGCTCCACCATCTATTATCGTCTTTATCTAGATTATCAACTGTTTATGGACTGTCTTACCGGAATGAAAGCTCTTGCGCTGTTGAAAGTAACTTTTTACCTTTCCGCATTTGAGATCTTTAAGCAAAGTCACCAGGAGAAAAGTATGCTGCATGGACGCAGCAAGCGCAAAATACATTGTACGCACAAAATCACCCTCACGATTGTTTAAATGTTCCTATACTTTTATGCAGTACACAGGTAAACAAGTTTCAAGGAATGGGGAGTAGATTATTTTTTCTTGGACGTTGTTTAACAGAAGCTTTGAATTCTCAACGAGTAGTAGTTCTATCCAATGAGCTTTTGAGTACCCATGATATGCTAAGTCCATTTAAATCCTGGAGCAACTGTAGCCTCAAAGATGTGCAATCAAAGGAGAAAAAATCGAGGATAAGGTATTACTATCCGATGGATTCTATTAGCTTGAAAAAAACGAATGATATGCCTGCGGTGGGTGCATTGTATCCGAGAGCCTTTGCAAGTAGGGGGTACTGGTGGTGGAAATCACAAGAAATTACGTATGCTCTCCGGCCTAAAAGTCCGACACTAGAAACTCTAAAGGATAACTTTGGCAAAAGCATAGAAGATATGATAGTTTTTCAAGTTAGACGTACAGATAAAACGCAAGGCTGTTCATCTATTTACGGTAATCTTATTTTTTTTAAATGATTTTGAAAGAAACGAATAATTCAACTTCCTGAAGGTAAGAAAAGTGCTATCAGGTGTAAAGCAGAAGCAAGCGCTCCAAAAATTGTAAATTATATTGAAGCTTTGGATTTTTTTAAAAGAAACTATTCAACACCAATCCTTGTGGTGACAGATGATGCTCATATTATGGAAGAAATTTCACAGCTCAAAGAAAATGAATATGTATTTCTACATCCTGAGCCTGCTCCCAAAAGAATTCCTGATAAGGTGAACAATCGCATTTTTTCTATTTTTTATCTTGACGATCGTTTCATAAGGATGGGAAGGGTGGAATTTACAAGCATAGGTCAATGAAGGATGCAATAGACATTCTTAGTATGTCCTATGGGAATCCCTTAATATTTACTTACAGTAGTGGTTTTGGTGCTTTAGCCCTTCAAATTAAACAGGCACGAGAAAATTTCTGTAGCGATTGGAGCAGTCTAGACTGGGGAAAGCGTGAGTGGCCTCCGATTGGAACAATCACTGAAGGTGGTGTAAGAGGTGTAAAAAGAAATACGCTACTAGTAAGTAAAATTTGCAGAGTTGTAGATTTGACAATACATTCTACTGATAGTGATACCAGTTATTGCTCTGTGATTCTAAAGAAGTCTGCAAGAAAAGTGGCTGGAGCTGGAGCTGCAATTTTCACGTTTTGTAACTGCAAGATTTGATAGATTGCATTTCAGGTTGAAGTGATCCCCGCTGTTGGCTGGATATTGGCAACAAATTTACATTTTTTTAAAAGTTGTAATTCTGTCAACTCTTAGCTCGATCTTCAATGACTCTCTTTCTCTCTTTTCTCTTGTCTTTCTCTTTTCGCTCTTTTCTCTGCTTTGGGGGTTCTCTCGTAGGGATCTGACGACAGAACATCAGAAATCTTGTGATCCATGTTTTAAACCGGGTTTCAAAATGAAAAATCGTGATGTAACTTCATAGAATACACTCAAGTGAATCATTCAGATTTACTGACACGGCAAATCACTCCGTTTTATCGCAAATGATCTCTGTTATGCACACCAGTGCGTCAAAGATAACGTTTTCTTTGCAATTCGAAACTCAGCTATCGAGGTATGCGTGTATCGCTGTATGTCATAAGAAGCTGATAAGTAGTTGCTGCATTGCTCCCATGCTCCATTTTTTTTTGACGAGGGCCCTTGCGTCCCGAAAAAACGGCCTTGTCCCAAAAAGGTGAAAATACAGGCTCTGTCTTTTTCTTCAAATTATACTCTTCTCTGTAACACTATTGAGGGATCATCCTCACTTCTAAACAATTATAATAGATTGAGCCAGGACAGAAGATGTATCGGATCACTACTGTTTCAAAAACTCCAAATTGCTCATCTATTAAAAATCTAAAGATACACGCAAGCTCCAAGTTCTGGATGTTCTTTCATTAAATAATGGAAAAACCAAGATTCTAGCTCACAATTATGTGAGATTTGCATAACATGCTTCTTGTTATGATAGGCACCTCCACAGTTAAATGAGAACCCATACAAATCAGTTCGATTGCATAAACCAGAGAATATAAGATTTAAAGCATCTAAAAAACCCGAAGAAGGCCCTCTTGGCTTTTTCTTTCCCCTCGAATTTTTATTCCAGTTCTTTACTTCAAATAATTTATATATTAATGCAGCGATTCCACCATAATAGTGTGAAATCCCTTCCTGTTCACGTACATAGTCAAATATTTTCAATGTGGACATATTCACAATTCCATTATTGTGCCCAATGTAGAGCCTCACACTTTCCCTATCTGCTTTTATGCTACCTTTTGGGGACATTTTCCCCGAGCGACGCACCCATGTGACATCCGTTCGTGTTCCAACATATTTTTCATAACCATGCAACGGAAGTTCACCCAAGCGTATGATCGTATCATGACTATCTATCTCGCTACCTCTTTCACTTTTCAGCAAAGTGTCCGCTAATCCAATCAAAGCGCAGTTTCCCCAAGAATTTTTTGGAATATTCAGAAGAGTATTCCAGTGTGCAGAAGTGAAATTGATATGTGCAATACCACCAGTTCTAGGAAAGCGCCTAGTGTACAAAACGTTTGGTATTATACAATTCTTAGTGAAGAACGGACAGTAGTTTCTTTTCGAGGAATAAAAACTTACCGCCTTTTCAATCTCTGCGATATCATATCTATTTAAGTGCTCGGCTCCCCAGGCAGGAGGGCGTTTCTTAGCTTTACTGAGAAGGTTTCTACTCAAGGAAGACGAAAGTGGCGCAAATTTCAATTCGTCACTGTCTTCATAAGTCAAAGGTCTTGTGACTGCTTTTAATCTCAAATTTATGCAAAAATCTGAGAAGTAGTATACATCTCCCGGAGTTTTCACACCCGGGGTTTTTCCTGGTAAAGTGCACAAAATTAATTTCAGTGAGCTATGGAAAATAATAAGTTTCAAGGTGTGCTTGAACTTGAGAGACATCCCCCCACTCTATAATTGTCCAAAAAAATGTAATAGAGCAAATATACACCTTTTCTTAATTCTGAAGAAGTTATCAAGTTTAAATCTTTTATCTTATTAAAAAAAAGGGCAGTTCTCATCAAAAATCATACTCATTTTTTGAGTCATACTCATTTTGAATGAGTATGATTTATGAGAAAATTTACTTTAAGCTCGAAGTTCTTCGTATCTAAAGGCACAACTACCAATTAAACGACTGTTTGAGATATGATATTTGTAAACGAAGGTCCTGCTCGATTATGGGCGCCGGAAAGCCTCTCTGTGGTGCACACGACATCGATGTTTTCAATCACACTTCGATAATTTAGGGTTCGACTTTTTCGGAGAGAAACCGCAATTGGGTACGAATCCTTCCATTTTTACCACGGCAAGTTCTTATCACAGACGAATACAGATGATTAAACGCGATGAAAACGTTCACAAAAGAACTAGTGATGATAATAATGATGTTTAGTCGTAACTTTGCGTTTTTAAAAGAAAAATCAGGCGCGTGATTTCGTCCGTTAGGGGTGTTTTGGCAAACTTGTTGAATTTTCGTCTCTCTCTCCTTCGGGAGAAAAAAGAGAAGGTGTTCTGGAAGCAATGACCGAGAAAACAAAACATTTTTCGTCCACCTTATCTCCTTTTGATCCCATCAACTCGTAGCGCGGGAGCAAGCGACTCTTCACGCGGGAGTTCAAGAGACGCGCTCGCGTCTGCGATGCGTGGTGATCGCTCATGTCCCGTTTTTTAACGATTTTTGTGAATTTCCCAAAATCGCGACTCACGCTGTCGCGCGCTCACGAGCGCGTGACATCGGTGATTCGGCTAACGATCGTTTGGGTAACTTCGACAGTGTGTTTACTCATCACAGTCGCACTCTGGTGTCAATTTCTTTCCGTCAACATGGTGTTACCTTCGCTGTTGGTTTGGTCGTTAGGTGTTGAGAGGCTTGGTAGTTGGTTTCGGTTTGATTTTGGGAGGCATTCTCCTCATCTCCCTTTTCCATCGACGGCTCACCATCCGGAGAAGAAAAAGGCGCATCAATCATGATTGAAATACTTTACAATTGTCTTTATGAAGTGTTTTATGTTCTAATGGTAACTCTGTGCGTCGTTCTTTGCTTTGAAATGACGGAAATAAGCCGGTGTCTCATAAATCATACTCACTCATTTTGAATGAGTATGATTTATGAGAATTTCTGTACAACCCTAAACTCTTCCAGACCAACGGTGAAACCCTAACTTACAAAATGCTCAAATTATCAAGCCAAAACATCGATGTCGTGTGCACCACAGAGAGGCTTTCCGGCGCCCATAATCGAGCAGGACCTTCGTTTACAAATATCATATCTCAAACAGTCGTTTAATTGGTAGTTGTGCCTTTAGATACGAAGAACTTCGAGCTTAAAGTAAATTTTCTCATAAATCATACTCATTTTCAAAATGAGTGACTCAAAAAATGAGTATCCCCTGGGACGCCCAGTTCAAGGCGAAAAAAAAATTTAAGGCGAAAAAAAAAAAAAAAAAATTTTTGCCCTTGAACTGGGCGTCCCAGGGGATATGATTTTTGAGAATCTTATCTTTTAAAAAAAAAGAGCTCCAGAAACGCACGAGAATGAAAGTTGAGGATTTGAGACCCTAAACAGAAACCAACTTTGCACGAGAGCTTGACACGTCACCCCCTTCCCGTCCCCTCCACGCGCGCGCGTTGACTGGGGACCGCGCGCGCGAGAGAGGTGCTGAAAACCGCGCGGATGCACCCATACACCTCATAAAACGTTTGCAGGAACTCGGAGCTGGAAAATACGCGCTTTTTACGTATTCTCTCTCTCCGTTTATTTTCTTCGTCGCAAAAAAAAGAAAAAACTGGAAAATTGGGGGAAAAGAAAGAGAAAAAGAAAGAGAAAGAGAAAGAGAAAGAGAAAGAGAAAGAGAAAGAGGTTTACCCCGCGAGCAACTCACGACATCGAACGCGAGAAAAGATAAATACGAAAGGAGAAATATGAACGAAAACGATTTGAGTGATTTGGTTTTCAAAAACAAAAAAGAGTGGGGGTTCCAAAACGTGCAAAAAGTGCACAAAAGCAACCCCCGCTTCCAAAAAAATTCTAGTTTAAAAAAAAAGAGGTCGTCTGTCCCCTCCACGTGCGCGCGTTTTCTGGGGACCGCGCGCGCGAGAGAAGTGCTGAAAACCGCGCGGATGCACCCGTACACCTCATAAAACGTTCGCAGGAACTCAAAGCGGGAAAATCTTTAAAAAAGAAAAAAAAAAAAAATCTGAACTCGAACTGGGCGTCCCAGTGAAAACGGTGTCGTGGCTAAAAATAATCTGTATTTAGGGTAGTTAGGGTTGTGACTCTTACACCCAGGGGATATCCATCTGGACTGGCTCTGTAACCCAAAAACGCAAAAAACCACAAAGATCAGGAAAAATAATACTTCTGTCTTTGTAATGTTGAAACAAATTACACCACTTCACACAAACCACAAACCACAAAACAAAATCTTCTTTGATATAAAAGGAACATATTCAGTCCAGCAGATATTTCTATTTCTATTTCTATTCCATACGACAATTTTCACAGTCCACAGTTCAACTTTATACGTCCGACTTTGGCTCCTCGACACCGGGTCTAAAGTTCTCCATGAAATTCGAGAAACTAAATTCCCTTCCTCCTAAACTAGTAAGTCAAGGATCAAGAAAGGCAAGCGCAAGATGGCAGATTCTAGCTTTTGTCTGTATATGGATACTAGTATTTTTGAGGCAGAATTCAAAAGCAAACAAAACAGCTACATACACTATTGGAGAGCAACAGCTCAAAGGAATAGAAATATTTTTAAAACCAGAGACCTCGACAAGACATAACTTTGGAGTCTTATTTGAAAGAGTTCTACATGATGCTCAGAAAAAGAAAGGCAATTTCTTGGAAATAGGTGGCGGCTCCGGTAGTTTTTTTGACCACAATATGGCTACATTCGGTCACATGATACAGAATTATGTCATTATTGAACCTTACAGCTTAATATCTGAGACTAAAGAAAGACTGCCAGCTTTTGCTGAAAAAGTATATAAATGGAGAAACAATTCATCTTCACCTACTAGCGTAACTGTTCATGATGAGTTTTCTACTAACTTGGAGCTTATCAAGTCATTTCCAGATGAATACTTTGACTTTGTTTACATAGATGGAGACCATTCATACAAAGGAGCAAAAAGTGATTTGATAAATTATTTTCGGAAGGTACGTAGCGGTGGTGTCATTGCTGGACATGACTATTGTTGCAATCGCAAGGAATACGAGAGCACGATCCACGCTCCATGGTGCGGGAAATATATTTATCCAGTGTCAACCTCAAAAAGGGAAAAGCATGGAAAGGACAAAGTGGCTTTTTGTGGGATTTTCCTGGGTGCAGAAGAGTTTGCGAAAGAAAATAACTTTTACTGGCTCTACACACTTGAAGGAAGAGGGGAAGGAAATGCGGCTGGCGACAACAATCCGTCGTATTTCACAATAAAGCTTTAATCAAGAAATTCCTATTTGCACTGTAAGTGGAGCAACGCAAGTGTTACACAAGCTCGTTTAATGTTTTTACGTTCAATCCCATTACACTTTGCTTCTAAGGAGCACTTTGCTTCTAATTCCGATTACTTTAGATTTAATAGTTCAGTGCTTTAGAAGTGGCATGCTTGATATATAGTTTGTGATGGTTTGAAGTTGATAGTTGTCTTTTTGTGATATAAGATAGCATGCAGTTGTAAAGAAAAGTGCACATTTTCTGTATCTCCTTTTGAAGAAGAGAGGCAAAAATTGCTTACAGATCGAGAAGCCAAGGATAAAAACATGAACGCGGCGAGAGAAGAAACTGCCGAGCGTATCGAGATGATCTTGGATAACTCTGAGAAAATCGTCGAAGCCCGCAACTACATGGCAGATAAGAACGTGGTCCTGCAAAGTGATCTTTCGGCTCAAGGTGGGTGGCAATTTGCAAACTCGATCTGTAACGACGAATACTTGCGCACAATACAATTGAAAGCAGTCGAGAGGAGCGAGATCAGAGCGCAGCTCAACACAGACCACCTTTGCACGACGTTCAAAATAACTACGTACGAAATTTTACCCCTAGAAATCAACAATGACTTGGACGACTTCCTTAACGATAACAACGACGGTTTTCCCGACGAAAACGAAAACCTCGGAGGCTCATATTGAGTTCGTTGTTCTCGCCGATGGTTCCTTTGGAACCGAATGACTTAGCCGAAATAGAACACTCACTTTCATATAACTCAGAAGGTAGAAATACCATTAATTTGTAAAGAACTATTACTTATGACCGCATGCACAGACTCACCAGAACGAACGCTTCGCTACCCAATAGTATCGTTTGAAGAAAAAACAACCGATGTATCGCAACAAAATCATTTCAGAAACTCTTTCTGAACTTTCTGAAATCGGAAACGGCAAAATCAAGTTAGCCCGGTCCTCCCCAAAACTTATCCGACCCCTGCCCCTATTTTGTGAGAAAGCGTGAAAACCTCGTATACGCACCACTGCAAACAACCAAAACGAGGATCTTGCTGTTGAATCGAGGGATCTCTACTCGCGTCTACTTGACGAAAATCGTTCCCGCTCAAAACGTATCGGGAATATTTGCGAAAAAGCAACCCTCCACAAGGAATACAGTCACGTCAGTACTTCATTTGAAGTTATATTTATTTTCAGTTTAATGTGACACGTGTCTCAAAGATCTGTAGAAAATATGTGAAATTCAGAGCGTACTAAAGTGTTATAGCTTCTAAAGTTTTGTGCTTTTTTGCAAGTTCGCATAATTTTCGAAGTTCAGCTCTTTCATTATTGAAATTAGCCATTCTTCTATAAACAGCAATATCAGCCGACATGTGCCTCTCTAAAATATCCACCACACCCTTTGGCAGGGAATCTTTTCCTTTGTATTTTACGTATTGACCGCCTCCCCTCCCCAAATTTTTTATGTATGACTCACCTTCTTTCCAGTTCAAATATTTCTCAACTGTTGAACCTACTTCTTCACTGAAATTCTCAAACACCCACACAAAATTAAATTTCAAAAGATTTCTGATTGCTATGTCATATCTTATCGCATCTGAATTCGACTCAGTAGCACCAAATGTATTGGTGATCGAATGAACCCTGTGTGGAAAGTATCCTCCATGTTTTTTTACTTCAGCATCTCTTTTCTTTCTAAGAAACATTCTCAGTTCTTTCTCACTCCCATTTTTGTAGCTACGAATAGCTTTCTGCCATGCTCTATTCACTTTGATACCTTCGAATCGCACTGCCCATGATATCAATTGATCCACTGGATCGCGTAGCAATGTGGCATAAACAAATTTTCCAGGCACAGGACCACACTTTCTAAAAGTGTTATATTCTACCATAATGAAGTTCACATTTTTAGCAGTTGGATGTGCAACATCTGCGCGATCCTTCTTAGAATGAACTGGATTATTGATTTTAGAGTGATTGTTAAAAAGTGCAGGGTTTAAATGTTTGTGGCACTTTTTATCTAAGTATTCATCAATGTTCCCGTGTCCACATGGACAAGTGGGGCAACCAATTTTTGTTGCCAGGTCATAAACACCGTTAGATCGAGCATAGCTGCACATTAAGTACCCACCCGACCTTTGAATATGCTGCCACCATATTGGAACCATGTTAGACCGAAATCTCGTTTCAGCTCGTTGTTTCATTTGCTCCTCGGCGCATGCATGCGACAAGTTACCTTTATTGTAAAAGACAAAGAAATTATCACCTGTTTCACCCCTGCCAGCAAAATTTGCAGCTAGAGCAAAATTTGAGCAGTTGTACGTGTGCCATAGATAAATTAGCATTGAAAACGATGATACTAAGCACATTGATACTTTACAAAAAGCAATGACTAAAAGGAAAATTTTCGAAGCTTCCAACTCTCCTCGGGGGATACTATGCTTCTGTGATGGTTATACAAATATAATTTTTTTTGCCTTCCTGACATCCTAACTTATGACCATATTCTTCTGTCTGAGGGAACTCTGTCAGTCCCCTTGGCGCCCGCGGGCCTTGCACAAAGCGTAGAAGTGAGAAAGGATGAAGCGGGAGAAAGGCTCTATGATACTCTCTCGTCTCTATTTATTAGAGCACAGATCAGGAAAATATTCAATAGAATTTCTGTCTTTTAATGTGCGTTCGCAAAAAAATAAATTTTGGGTGTGAAAACTTTTGACTTATTCCGAAATTGGGAATTTTAATTGTTTCATTTCAAGACAGAATTTAGTATGACAAAATAAATAAATAGGTAATGCGGAAAGCGAGAGATAGAAATCGCTCGCGTTTCAGGCGACATGCTTTTATTCACACCTCGTTTACCCAGTGGATCTGTTGGAGAGTAGTGCTTTCCAGAGCAAAACCAAGAAAAATGGCGTTGCTCTTTGTTTTTGTATTGCTGAGGTTACAACCCTCGCAAGCACTATCTGTATGCTCTGAGTGCGATGCTCATACTTCAAAAGTGTTGAATACCTCAGTAGAGTTTAACAAAATTTTTCAAAAAGCATTTCCTACTGACTACAAATTCTCCCTATCTGAAATGAGACCCGGAATATGTGAAGCAACAATTGCTTTTATTGCTGGAAAATTTTACCTTCATAACAGGTCAAGAACAGGTTTCAACAGCAACAGAGATGAGAAAAATACTTTGTATTTAAGGCATAAAGAATTTTTTGAATCGCTCCGTGATCAAATTAGACAAACAGAGCGCTATATAGGAAGTTCAGTTCCAAATTTTTTATTTAATCTTGAAACGCAAGATAACCCCTCTTGCAAGTATCCGCCCGAAGAGAAACGTACCAGCTTATTTCGAGTCAAAGGGGTAGTGCATCACTCGTTTTGTTCTCCTCAACTATGCGATGGAATATTTTTGCTACCGATGTCATATAACCAGAACATAAGAGCAAGTTTGACTACGAGGAACCTTGACTCAAAAGCAGCAGAAATACCTTGGAGTACGAGGAGAAAAAAGTTATTTTGGAGAGGATCAAACAAAGGCAAAATGTCGGAGTATCAATTCTTCAATTGGAAATTCTCTGAAATGCCAAGGCAACGTGCGATTAGGTTGTTACGAAAAAGAAAAGACTCTGATGTAAAGTTTGGCTTTGTTCCATGGTCAGAGTTCGCACAACATAGATACATATTGTCACTGGCAGGTAATACATACTCTTCGCTCTTTAAGCATGCCCTCAGATCTGGATCTTGTATATTGAGACAGGAGGAGCGGATGTTTGAATGGTTTGAACCTTTCCTGGCAGAATGGAAACACTATATTCCTGTTAGATGGGATCTTAGTGATTTATTGGATAAATTGGACTGGGCTAAAACGAATGATAAAGAGGCGAAAAGAATATCAGAAAATGCAAGAAAGCTTGGAATCCATTTGTTATCAACAAAAATGCTTTCGTGCTACACATATTGCGGGATTAATTATTTCAGTAATCTCACAGATCATACTTTAGATATGGACTTCATTCAAAATGAATTTCACCTGGTTAGAAAGGTTTGTAGTAGTAAACGAAGTAAAAGGAACGATTGCTTTGATTTGGTTTGATCCCAAAGTACAAGCTTGAGTTGTTTTTTGTTTTCTTGGAGATTCTACATGGACAGGGTGTCACTCATCTGGTGCGTATTTCGTTCTTGACAATTGAAAGCTACGTCATACTACAACTGTGAACTGGAATAGAAACATTAGAGAAACTTTCATGCGTACAGAACGGTACTTAATGAGTTAAAGAGCAGTTCCAGGACCAGAAGTTTTCTTGTTAAGCAAATATGATGGTATAAATCATCATCTACCCAGGATTTGGAACTCGAGTGATGATACAGAGGAGTTGTCGAAGCTACGGGATTATTACTGAATATTCAGGGCTCATGATGAAAAGAAACTGTGCAAATGTGAAGAAACTGTCAAAATACTGCATTTAGTGCTATCTGACTGTAAGAAAGAGTATGCTCTAGACCCTGGGCGCGAAGAGTAATACCGTGGAGTCTGCTCAGCAGAAGACGGAGCTTGGGCGGAGAGCCGAAGGACAACCACAAGGGGCAGAGGAAAGAGGAAGACCCGAAGAGTTTAGTTATAACCTTTATAAACGCTTGAGGTGTGATATAGCCCCAGGAAACTCCGTTCCTCGCAGAGCGGAGTTAGGGAACCAAGCCAGCTCGTTACTAGAAATTCTGTCTTTTGTAATTATTTATGGATACACTGTTTTCACCTTTTTCACAACTCTCATTTCACACCTCGATTTAAGGGTATCCTCAAAGTAGCCACGACACAGTTTCATGGGCATACTTGACACTTTATAGCATTTTCTCCTGTGGTCCTTTTAATCTTTTCTCTGCTAAGCAGTTCTTGTGTTATGTACCTGTTTGTTTTTTACCTCACTTTTTCTGCCAAGTACATTTCTGTTATGTGCCTGCAGTGTGATTTGGAACAAGACCTATATTCTAGCTCGAACTGCAAAATGTATTGGGAATGTACAGCGGAAAAACTCCTCCTACCTCTGAACAAGACTATCCTCAGGGAAAATTTTGCAAGACTAGCAATTAATAAAATAGGTCATACGCCAATGTGGCTCAGAATTCATTCAAATAAACTATATTGTGTTGTTCATCCTGACTTTCGAAGAAGTGAGTATCGGTTAAAGATTTATAGAGCCACACATTACATCGCTAGGTTGAACAGGATACTAAATCAGGGGAAATTGAGCTTACAAAATGGAACAGATTGGTGGTCTCATCATTCAGATTGGGTCAAAGTTCCTACTGGAAGTAATTATCCTCCAGTATTTTCGGTTTCAGGAGCTCCTGGATTCGATGACATTGCTGGCATACCCTTTATGTCTTTCTCAGACAGAATTTCGGTAATCGAGAATGCAGCCTTTCAACGTTTAAAAGGGTATTCAAAATACGACTGGACAAATAAGAAGCCTGCAGGATTCTTCCATGGTTCTCTTTCTGACTGTGGTCGAGCTGTAAATGAATATGCTGGAAATATTAATCATTGCGCCAGAGCTAAAGTTGTATATCATGCAAAACTATCACAGAATCCTCTTCTTTCAGGAATTTCAACAATTTCTGATTTTAGAGGTATTGGATTGAATGAAGGATGCAGAATTTGCACGGGTGAAAAATTGTTAGGGGATAGCTTCATTCATAATCTATCTAGATATAAGTACGTTATAGATTTTGCTGGTGCTGGAAATTGGAGTAGGAGGATGAGCTTGTTGCTTCGGAGCGGTGGTTTGATTTTACAATCAGAAAAGAGTGGGTATCAGTTCTATGAATATTCCTTAGAACCTGGTTTGCACTATATTACATTTGACCCTCAGATTGGTAAAGAAGGATTGGGAAATCTATTGTCAAGATTAGAGTGGGCGCAAAAGAATGACGAAATAGCGGAGCTGATTGCACGAAGATCGCAGAGTTTTGGGCAAAATTGTTTGACTGAAGCAAGTATAGATTACTTCGTATCCACTTTAATTACGAAATACTCAAAATATTTGCAAGGAAACCCTATTCCCTTTCCAATCGTTGATCTTTCCTCATGTGTTTCAGATAGGAAAGGCCGCTCAAAACTTAATAAAATTTGTGGAGCATTAATTGAAAAATGCTGGCATAACTAGGAGTTCATATAAAAAGTCCTTTTTTGTCTTTGTGACACAATTTACAAGTGGATATCATGATAGAAGCGATCACTTTGGCTAAATATTCCAACATAGGAAAGTAAGCGACCCATTGAACTTTATTTGCATAGATTTTAGAACAGCGAATACTTTCAAAAAGTATAAAGTGTCTTATCGAGAAGCTTTCCTCAAGGAACAATTGGAGATGAATCCAGCTCGTCAGCAGTTTCTTCCAATATTTTCAAATTTATTCCATTTTCATCATATCTACTATTTGCAAGAATATCTTTGAACCTCAGCTTGCCTTCCCTCAAATCATCGTCCCACATGATCAGTAGTTCTGGGACCATTTTTTTAAGGCAAGTACGAAATGCTTGCTCTGACGATTCTGCCTGTATTGTTTTACGATTTATTGTTGCAATTCTATCACGATTTGCTTCACCTTTAGCCCGATGTTTTTCTAGTTCAGTTCTACGTACATAAAGCTGAGTGAGTTCATCGTACGCTGCACGATCATTGCAAGAAAAAGCTTTTTTAGCTAAGTTATCAACCCCGTTAAACATTTCAGGCTCCTGCTTCAGACCCGAATTTACTTCAAGAACGTGTTTGTTTCTTTGAACCTCGAAAGGAAATGAAGATATTTGGTTGCATGAACTTGTTGCGGGTATCTTGTATCCAGAGTATCCCAATACAAAGCCGAAACAAACTAAAATACAATAAAGAAGGATAGCAGTAAAGTTAGATCTTGAACTCTCTTCATAAACTTGCTGGCCTGTGTTATTTTTCATCTTACAGTGCACTTTTTTTTGTGACAACACGAGAAGTTTTTTTTGAAGCGGGGGGGTTGCTTTTTTTTTGTGCACGTTTTGTACGGGCGACACCGAATTTCGGCCAACTTTTTTCCGGTCAGCCAAAAAAGTTGGCCGAAATCGGTCAATTTTTTTTTTACAGCCTCCCCAAAAAACAGAAAATACCACCTTCAAAAGTGGTGCAGTTTTATAAGACTTTCATATTTGCGCTTGAAGTTCTTCGTATCAAAAGGCGTATTTATCCATAAAATTACGTCAGAAGGTTGGCAAACTATACGCGAAGGTCGTGCTCGATTATGGGAGCCGTAAAGTCTCTCCATGGTTGTCTCTCAAGTCTCAAGTCTCAAGTCTCTCCACGGCCCTAAAAAAAAAATTAACCGATTTCGGCCAACTTTTTGGGGTTTAGGGTTTCAAAAAGTTGGCCAAAATTAACCGATTTCGGCCAACTTTTATAGGGGCAACTGACCGGAAAAAAGTTGGCCGAAATTCGGTGTTGCCGGTTTTGTACCGGCAACACCGAGTGCACGTTTTGCACCGGCAACACCGATTTTCGGCCAAGTTTTTTCCGGTTAACTGCCCTATAAAAGTAGGCCGAAATCGGTTAATTTGCTATTTATTTTTTTTAGAGCCCCAACCATGGAGAGACTTTACGGCTCCCATAATCGAGCACGACCTTCGCGTATAGTTTGCCAACCTTCTGACGTAATTTTATGGATAAATACGCCTTTTGGTACGAAGAACTTCAAGCGCAAATATGAAAGTCTTATAAAACTGGACCACTTTTGAAGGTGGTATTTTTTGTCTTTTTCCAAACCAAAATAGCAAATTAACCGATTTCGGCCAAGTTTCTGTGGTGACCGGAAAACTTGGCCGAAAATCGGTGTCGCCCGTTTTGCACGTGTGCGCTTCGTTTTGGAACCCCCACTCTTTTTTGTTTTTGAAACCAAATCACTCAAATCGTTTCCGTTCATATTTCTCCTCTCGTAGTGATCTTTTTTCGCGTTCGATGTCGTGAGTTGCTCGCGGGGTAAACCTCCTTTCTCTTTCTCTTTCTCTTTCTTTCTCTTTCTCTTTCTCTTTCATTTCCCCCAATTTTCCAGTTTTTTCTTTTTTTGCGACGAAGAAAAATAAACGTTTAACGTCTGTTTAGGGTATCAAATTTTCAGAGAGAAACCGAATATTTTAAACTGGGCGGTTAAACTTGAGAATTTCCGGTTAAACTTGAGAATGAATTCATTAGTGGTACCCTACTGAGCGCAGAAGCGCGCGAGAGTGGCTAAAAAGCGTCCTATTCTATGGAGAATAGTTAGTGGAGCTCGTAGAACTTCTTTTTTGTAATTTTTGAGTGCATTTGTATATCACTTTAGCGCGCATTCTAAATCCATCGGTCGTATTTTGTACTCTGGTAAGCGTGCCTTCTTCCAATTTTCAAAATACCACGTCCATCATTCTCTTGATTCAGAATGTGCGCTAAAATAGTATGCAAAAACACTTATACGTTGGAAAAAAGATCCTGAACTAAACCAAACTGTCATATTACATAGAATAGGACGCTTTTTAGCTACTCTCGCGCGCTTTTGCGCTCAGTAGGGTACCACTAATGAATTCATTCTCAAGTTTAACCGGAAATTCTCAGAGCGCGTCTTGAACGACAATTTTTCAATTTTATGGCAAAAATTTTATTTATTAAAAAAAAAAAAAAACCTAAAAACCGGCAAAATTTTCCATAATTCGCTCAAAAAATCAATAAAATCACATTTTGCGATAAAGCTCTCATCGCAAAATCTCATTTTGCAATAATTAGTGCGCGTACTCGTGTATATGTAATATCCGCATCCGTAAACGTTCGAACACGTTCGTCTATGAAGTGTTGTACACGTCCACTTCAAAAATGGCGGCTGCATTCGATCTAACGCGCGAGTTTTCAACGAACCTCTCCATAAAAATTGAGAAGAATTGAGAAGAGTTGAATATGTGCACTTTGAAAATTTATGGCAACTTTGCGAAAATCATGTATTTTCGTTCAAGACGGGTGCTTTATCGATTTCAAAAATCGATAAAATTTTTTGCCATAATTATTGATTTTTGAAGCCGTTCAAGACGCGCTCTCAAGTTTAACCGCCCAGTTTAAAAAGGGAAAAACAAAAAAGAGACCCTTTTAACTCTGGGCGTCCCAGGGGATATCTTAGCTAGGAGTTCTTTCAGTTAGAGGCTTCTTAGCAACTTGTATGACACGTTAATTGTCGAAACTTAAACTTTTACTCAGCCTAGGCCTTGACACCTTAAATCCGCCCGGACCGCCAGGTATATCACATAAGATACTTTTTTTGTAAATAAGATTGTTTGCACGTCTCTGCTCTTCGTTTTTTGGACCTATCCCCACCCAGTGTTTCTTCCTTAAAGTTTTCGCGATGGTAGTTTAGAGTTTTTAGTTCGTAGTTTGGTTTACAGTTTGGTTTGCGCGGTACAGAAGAGCTTATGAATTATGGGTATTACCCTAAATAATGTCAACATATCCACCAGAAAGCTGACGGACTAGCTAAGATATGTGGCAGTGTTTATTGAGCGCTGACACTAAGGTAATGACAGTCGCTACCAAGCTACCAAGTACCGTTTGTAGAGAACTTACTTGTCGGGTGTTAAGGTAGTTGAGAGTGTAACAGAAGTGACGAGCTCAAACTTCTTTCTAGTACTTATTTTGACACTTATTGAAAAGTACGCAGTAAATAGCAGTAAATAGCCTTGTTATCCTATTTTTATAAATTATTTATCAGGGAATAGCCTCCAATAAGCTTCACCATTACATCATAGTTCTGGCCTTCTTAAGCCCTTTGTTGTTGGGACAGAAGTAGTCTTTAATAGAAAAAAGTAGTGTGCAAGCAAGGAACCAAAAACTGAACCTAAGAGAAAAGAAACTAGAGAAGTTTTTGAAAAAGGAGTGCTTCTTGAGGTAGAATCATCTATATAGCTCTCCGTTAATTCATTAGGAAAATCAATAGAATTATCATCGGAGGTATCAATAGAATTTTCTACTGGCGAGTCAACCGTGTGTCTTTCTTTTGGATTGCCAGCAAATAAGAGTGAGTTCTTAAAATTTCCACTGGCGCACCAATAATCACTCACTTTTTTCAAGTATTCTGGTTCTGGCTGCCAGTTTTCTTTATCCTTTGAACTCACGTGCCTCAGCATGTTCTTGACACCGTCCGTCAATTCGCCTCTTGGCCAAGGTTTTTCACATTCCGTCTTGGATACTGCAAATTTTAGCAAGGCTAACCGGACCTGATTTTCGAGATTTCCATAGCTCTCAGAAGTGAGAGCTAAAAAGACTAAAATACGAACAATGAAGGTCTTTAACAACATTGTCTTTGCTTGACTGTGCTTCAAAAGCGAAGAGGTGATTGAAGTGCCTCCTTTTGACAGTCGAGGCTAAACTGGCTATCTGGATTGTGGCTTCTTACTGAGTGAGTCTGCTCTTCTATTCTGCTCTTCTGGGATCGCCTAAAATCAAACCCTAAATAGTAGTCATAAAAGGAAAAGAAACAGAAACATTTATATTTCCATGCACAAAATACAAAATAGTGAGAAAGTTATTCAATAGCTTACTGTGGCACGGCAATCAATTAAAGATGACCAGAAAGAAGTTCACGAGATATCTGACATTTGCCTTTTGGTATTTTGTTGGCTATTTCAGTCGTGTTCCCATGTATTTCGATCGCTCAGTTCCTACAAGAAATGACAGCCAGATAATAAATGAAATTTACAAGGAAGCTATCAACAAGAGTGCCGAGACTTTTCTTAGGAATGGCGGCTTAGTAGATGCAAGCATGATTTCACTCGGGCACGGATCAAAGATTCGTTTATGGGATTACTTTGGTCCTAGTTACAATTGCATATCACGAGAGCGAGTTGGGAAAATAGGTGATGGCGGAAAGTGGCTGTGCGGCGTGAGGACAGTTTTGGCTCATAGGTTTCCTTGTATTGTCTATTCCATTGGGTCTAAGGGCGAAATTTCCTTCGAGCAGGGTGTACAAGAGAAGCTCCCTCACTGCGAAATCCATATATTTGATCCTACACTAACTTCTGAGCAAAAGAAAAACATAAAAGACTCACTACTTAATATCCACTTTTATGACCTAGGCTTAGGTGCTGTTGATGGAGAGTTCAGAATAAAAAATCGGAAGGCTCTTTGGACGCAAAGAACAAAAAATGTCTATCCAGTTCAGACTCTAGGAACAATCATGTCGAAATTGCGTCATACTTGGATTGATGTGCTTAAAGTTGATATAGAAGGAGGCGAGTGGGCTATTTTTGAGAAACTTTTCGAGCAGGTTCAAATTATTCCTGCCACACAAATACAGATAGAGTTGCACTTTCTTGGAGATGCCAAAGTTGCGTTAAATTTCTTTAATAATATGAAAGAGAAGGGCTTCAGAGTCTTTTCTGTGGAGCCAAATTATTATGGAAGGACTGCCGAAAATGCAAGATTAATGGTAGAGTATAGTTTTATCCAAGTCAATGACGAAGGTCGGGTAGTCTGGGAGGAACCATCCAGAAGTATACTTGATTAAGCTGAGAAATTTGTGCATATATTTTGTACGGGGGATTTCGTTTTTCTCACTTCTTTTTTGTTTTTTGCTCGTCGCTTCCTTTTGACGCAGACTTTGGGAGTCACACGAAAGGAAGGGAGGATGGGAAGGATGGATTGCTAAAACTTTCTTTCCCAGCGGATTGAACGAGAAGTATTAGTAGAGAGAACTTTGGCGGATTCTCGGACCTCATTTTGTATATCATATCATTGACTGCACAACAGCTATATATCATTACGATATGCAGAGATATGAAATAAACGAAGGAGTTTATGCTGAATCTCTCTCTTGACAGCAGCACGGAGAACCCAAAAGCTGGCTGTAAGAGTCACAACCCTAACTACCCTAAATACAGATTAGATTAGAGAAAAAAAGCAAAGGGGCACATTTTTCGCCAAAACGTTCCAAAGGGGCACATTTTTGCTCTTTTGGGAAAAACGAGTGATATGTACTCCTGAGCGCGTATCAGCGCGCGAGAACAATCGCAAAGCAACAAACAGTGATAGAGGAACGCGTACTTTCGTTTTCGTCGGATAATTCGGAGTTGATCGATAGTTAGGTTGAGTTGAGTAAAGATGAGAAGAATTTAAAGGGAAAATCGTCTCTCAAGGACGCGCACATTCCAATACCTCCCCATGGACAAATACAGATGATTAAACGCAGTAAAAACGATCACGAAAGAACAAGTGATGATAATGATGATGTTTGAACGCTTTATATTGTTTTTTAAAGAAAATTGCATCGCGACGTTTCGCGTGTTTTGCGCCATTTACCCTGGTTTTTAGCTGGTTTTGAAGTAAAGTCGCTGCAGTTATTTCGAAATTGTTCTTCTCGATGTATTGGTGCGCCTTGATACGGATTCGCTAAGCCCAAATCAACCAAACCTTCCACAGCACCATCCTCGTTTTCATTATCGTCGTCAGCTTGCATTCTGACGCGTATCTGAGGTCTTTAACGCTTTCTCACAAAATGGGGGTAGCAAAAATGTGCCCCTTTGGAACGTTTTGGGAAAAATGTGCTCCTTTGCTTTTTTTCTCGATTACATTATTTCACAGATTGTTGTATTTCAATATCCACACTTATTTACACACTATTTTAAGAACACAATCTCACACCTCGATTTAGGGTCTTCTCAGTGTTAGCCACGACACCGTTTTCACAGGGGTTATGAACACTTCAAATATTTTCCAAACTAGAATTTTTTTGGAAGCGGGGGTTGCTTTTGTGCACTTTTTGCACGTTTTGGAACCCCCACTCTTTTTTGTTTTTGAAAACCAAATCACTCAAATCGTTTTCGTTCATATTTCTCCTTTCGTATTTATCTTTTCTCGCGTTCGATGTCGTGAGTTGCTCGCGGGGTAAACCTCTTTCTCTTTCTCTTTCTCTTTCTCTTTCTCTTTCTCTTTCTTTTTCTCTTTCTTTTCCCCCAATTTTCCAGTTTTTTCTTTTTTTTGCGACGAAGAAAATAAACGGAGAGAGAGAATACGTAAAAAGCGCGTATTTTCCAGCTCCGAGTTCCTGCAAACGTTTTATGAGGTGTATGGGTGCATCCGCGCGGTTTTCAGCACCTCTCTCGCGCGCGCGGTCCCCAGTCAACGCGCGCGCGTGGAGGGGACGGGAAGGGGGTGACGTGTCAAGCTCTCGTGCAAAGTTGGTTTCTGTTTAGGGTCTCAAATTCTCAACTTTCATTCTCGTGCGTTTCTGAAGCTCTTTTTTTTAAAATAAGATTTTTACTTGAAGTGTTTTTTTGTTTTTTACACTTGAAGTGTTTTTGACCTTGAAAAATGTACCTAAGCTCTAGGCGTCCCAGGGTATACATGAATGAAGTTGTTAGCTATTATGATAATAAAAGATGAAATTTAGTACATATGCTCCGGTGAAAGGACATTATTTGAGTTGATCTTGTTCTTATGTTCTTTGAGAAATAAATGCTTCCTTTGCTAACCCAGCAAATTAGAAAAGTAGCGCTACAAAAATCGATTGGGTCAAAAATGTCGCCACTATTGCACATTCAATTGCTTCTTTTACTCAATTGTACATTTGTATCGTTCGTTGGTGCGGAGCAGCTGGGTAGCACAAGTGCTTTTTCCCATAAGTCGCCTTGTTTCTTGAGGAATTCTACTTTTTCAAGAGACATCGTTGAAGGAGAGTGGAAAGTTTTGCCAGCTGATACTAATGTACCAAAGTGCTTGAAAACTGAAGGTACGGAACGTTCCTGCACAAAGAAAAAGAATAAATCTATTACGGCTCCACGTATCTATGAACCTTTCCGATGTTTGCTGCCAGATTTTGACGCTCATAAATTTTTACACGATGCCCTCAGAGGTCGGCCTCTCTATTTTGTTGGTGATTCAGTCATCATGCAACAAAAAACTCGACTAGAGTGTGAACTTAACGGACATAATGGAAAAAAATATGAGATAAAAAGTATTAGAATATCGCATTTAGAACACTTCCGGAGAAATATAGGGCGTCTTCGGAGAATCCCTGATGGTGCTATTATACTGATCAATGTTGGTCTACACTATAATCAGCCAAAAAAATACATTGAATTTTTAAATGAATTTGAAAAGTTTTGTCTGAGAAAAACGTGCACAAATGGTACCCTGATCTGGCAAGAATCATCTGCTCAGCATTTTCCTGGCTCCAACAATGGTCTCTTTGTCAGGAGAGGTAAATGTTCTCGCGGTTGCTCTCAGTTAAATCGGAGAAAGCTTATCAGTGTTGACTTCAGAAACAAAATGGCAAACGAACTTATGCTCAGAAATAATATACAAATACTTCCTGTGTGGGAGTTAACACAGGCTGCACATAGTATGCATGTTCAGTATAACTCAAAGTCTGGCATATGCGATTGCACGCACTTTTGCAACTTGCCTTACGGGGTTTTTCGAGCTTATAATCGCATTTTGCAGGCGTTTCTGTTGGATATTTTGTGAGTCTTCTTGTTTCAAAATAGCACATCTTTCGACATTAAACGCTGAACTGTAAAACCGCGGAAAGGGTAAACACTCGTCGTTTGTATTTTTTTCAATGAAAATTTGACGCTTCAAAAATTGACAAAGTTGAAGTCAAAAAAAATAGAACGGCGCGCAGACATAACGTCGTTCTCTAAACTCAAGCGTAGCTAGTTTAATAGTTTGTAATATATATCGCCCTTAACCACTCTGAGAAAACATTCAAGCTCATTGAACTAGTTAACAATAATTCAAAAGTATCGGTCGTTGCTCACTTACGTCCGCAGTCTCCACGTACACTAGATCAAAATTCTGGCGAATCGCTCGTGAATATTCTCTTGAGTGCAAACGATTTTGACCATGGAGCAAAACTTCTTTTGGAAGAAATTAATCAGAGAAATCCTATTTCACATCCGCTGAAACTTATTTATCGTAATCATAATGTCAGGAAGCAAATCATGGGAATTTACAAGGTATGATCGCGCAAAAATTTGTAAATCATACGAAATGGATTTGATTTGCCAAAGAGTTTGAACCTCTGTAATTATGAAGGCGCTAGTACAAAAGATGCTAAAAGACGTATTCCACTAATGTTGAAAGAAGCACGATGTTCCACAGTGCACGGTTTCTTTTATTGACGTATTCTGGAATATACTAAATGCGCTCCAAAGGAGCTGTCTCCAAATGAACGCGTGTGGGATGGTCATGAGTGAACCTATGCGAGCGATTTGGGAGAATTACGACCCTTTGAATACTTTTATGACCCCCCAGAGAGATTGACACTCCACCTGGAAAAAACTGCGAAAATCGAGCCTCAGCTCAGAGAAGATGCTTTCAAAGCAGTTATGGGGAAGAAATTTAACGAGTGTGCAACGATCCGCGAGTTTTTGGACGGTTTGAAAAACCATCCAGATACAAAATCAAATACGAATCCTTCAACAACACCATCGAGGGTCAAGTTGGAAGTTTTCTCCGTAACAACGAAGTGTGAACGATTGGGATCTTCAAAAAGTATTGACGAACGTTGACGAACGCGAACGTACTCTCTGGAGGAAGAAGACAAAGTGTTTAGTGTTCACGTTGTTTGACTATGTGTGTGACTCTCTGTGTGACTATTTTCGTGAGTCTTGTTTGTTCAACTTGTTCTCCGACCTACCCAAAATGGGCAAAGACGCCCCTAACGGACGCTCTCACGCGCCCTATTTTTCTTTTAAAAACGAAAGAATATTCCTAAACATGATTAATATCGGTACTCTACGCGTTGTGTGTATTTTTATCGCGTTCACATTCCCGAAACCATCCGAGTGTGCGGAACTTCAGAAATTCGAATTCAAAAGAGTGCTTTCGCCACTATAAATCTTCAACCGCTTGCGCTTAGTGATATGTGAAGATCCAATGGAGTCAAGAATTTAAGAAAAGACGACGCAGATCGATCCCTTCATGTATTTTCCAAGCCTTCGCATGCTTTTAGCGCGCTTCTTGACAGCACGGAAGCCGCATATAACTTGAAAAAAACACCAAACCGAAAAAAAAGTTATGATTTCCAAAAGAAATCTCGTAAATCGATTCTTTAATGACACGTTTCTCGATGGATTTCGACTCAGAGAAATCAATACAGCGTTAATACGACTCGTCTTTAGCGCTAAATAGATATATAAATGAAAAAGGTGTCGTGGCTAACACTGAAGATACCCTAAAATCGAGGTGTGAAATGAGATTGTGTGAAAATCTTGCTTTTGTGGCACGTTTTGCACGTGTGCGCTTCGTTTTGGAACCCCCACTCTTTTTTGTTTTTGAAACCAAATCACTCGAATCGTTTTCGTTCATATTTCTCCTCTCGTATTTATCTTTTCTCGCCTTCGATGTCGTGAGTCGCTCGCGGGGTAAACCTTTTTTCTCTTTCTCTTTCTTTTTCTCTTTCTCTTTCTTTTCCCCCAATTTTCCCAGTTTTTTCTTTTTTTGACGAAGACAGAGAGAGAATATGTAAAAAAGCGCGTATAAAAGCGCGTATAAAAGAAATATAGAAAGAGCTCAGGTTGACCCGTTGAAGGGGAGAAAAGAAATATTTGAACTCATTATTGCATGATAGTTCACATTCACTCAATCTTTCCTGACACATAATCAAATGGACATGCTATAAATAATTTAAGTGTTCGCTGTGGCAATTTGCTTAGCGGGCGTCCAGTTTCAATGTTCTTATCTACACCATAACCATATTTTTTTCTAGTATTAACCACTGCATCTTCACCAAAAATGTAGTGCCATATTGACTCCCAAAAATGAATTAAGTCCCAGCCAGAATTCCTCCCATGTGGAGCACGGCGGTAATCTTTCTTTGGATCTGTCATCTGCTTCAGAATTAATTCATAAAGTTCTCGAGGTCTCGCTTTTATTCTTTCTCGAGACACCACAAATTGTGCACAGCACTTTTCTTTGAATCCAGATTTTGGCATAGCACCAAGATATGGCTCAACTAGCTTCCAATATCTTTTGATTATATTAAAATAACTTTTTGCACCCCTAACTGGTCTCCAGGCTTCATTTTCAAAAGCATTTAGGCTTGCATATCCAAATTTGTCCAGACAAACATTTCTTAACATGTATGACATTCTATACCCCTCTTGATGCCATGTTTTCTCATGTCCATGTACAAAAGCAACATGTTCCGGTAGATAATCCCAAAACATGAGTATAAAACGCATATATGAAGCAATTTCCTGACCAAAATTGCCCCATGGCTCGCTTGCAAAGCCAAAACCCTCTTCTTTTGTAGAAACAAATACAGGCCATGGTTGCAAATCAATCCAAGAGAGCGAGTAGCGAGGTGGAGCTCCGTAGCTTGTTGATACCACGATTAATTTTTGCGTCTGCATAAGAGAATTTGATGAGAAAAAGATTCCATCAAAGACTTCTTCTCGCATTCTCTCCCTTGAGAAATGAATTGTTTTATTTTCTTTACTTGTAGGATGTAAGTCCTGAGTTCTGACAAACTCCTCCTCCGCACATGCATCTTTTGAACACAGCTTTGCATTACACCAGTTCTTTTGAACAAAAAAACTTTGGAGCTCAGAAAATTCTTGTACTTTTTGCATATTCTCAGGTTTCGTCTTTCCCTGGAGTTTAAGAGCTCTAGAACTATGATGAGAAAAGAATATGTATAAAGAAAAGAAAATGATCACTGTAAATATTAAATCTCGCAGTTTCGTCATAACGTTCCTTTCAATCAATAATCGTCGCTTTCAGTAATTTTATCTTATCTTCTTCTTCTGAAAAATGCAAAGTGTCTCATAACAGCGACCCATGCCCTCAAAAAGCGGCAAACCCGATTTTCGGCCTATTTTTTTACGGTTAATTTCCCTATAATTTTTCGGCCGAAATCGGGTACTTGCCTAATCAGGGATGGTGAGATTTCGACGCCCGTTGCCCGTCGAGCCCGTTGGATTCCCGTCGGCGAAAATTTTTGCTCAACGGGCTCAACGACAAAAAAAGTTGGTACCTACACAGCTCGGTGTTTACGAAGAACTTCAAGCGCAAATATGAAAGTCTTATAAAACTGCACCACTTTTGAAGGTGGTATTTTCTGTCTTTTTTGGGAGGAGCTCAAAAAAACCAAAATATCCCCTGGGACGCCCAGTTCAAGGGCAAAAAAAAAATTTTTTTTTTTTTCGCCTTAAACTGGGTGTTCAAACCGTAGCAATTTTGTTCAAACCGTAGCAGTTTTTGTAATGGGGTATGGGTGCGCGCGGAGGAGTGCGCGAGAATGAATACGAACGGTCCTATTCTATGGAGAATAGTTTGTAGAGGTTGTGGGTGGTCTTTTTTTAAATTTTAAACTGTGTTTGTATACCACTTTAGCGCGCATTCTAAATCAGGAGAATGTGGAGCTTCGTATTTTTAAGGCACCTTTTCTGAGAGGTGCCAAATACAACTGTCCTAATTAAATGTGCGAGTGAAGTACATGAATGTGCATAAAAATCAGAAAAAAGACCACCCACAACCTCTACAAACTATTCTCCATAGAATAGGACCGTTCGTATTCATTCTCGCGCACTCCTCCTGCGCGAAAAGCGCGCGAATCGAAAGTAGAGAGGATTCTAAGACACTTACCGTCGCCGAAATCGGGAAAAATGGTGTTTTTTTTGTAATGCAAAATATCAAAATATTCATTATTCATTGGAAGTATTGCAGGGGTCCAGTAGACTTTCAAAAAGAATCCGTTCTACTACTGGAATCGATTCTTGGCCTTTTGGGTAACACACAGTATGAATATGCTGTAGCTTTCAAAAACCTGAAGTTCTTTCAAGCTCAATCTACTCTTATTCGATGCACTTTCAAGGAAGCCGTGAACTTTTTTGACAAGGAGTACTTCGATTTCAAGGCCATATTTGAAAAGAGGAGCTTTACTTGCTGGTCACGACTACGCATTGAGTAAATATCCTTTGGTGACAAAATATCTAGATAGATTCAAGAGTTTGGTTGCACCTAATCAAACACTTTATGTAACTAAGAAAGGGGATGACTCTGGTGATAGAGAAAAATCTATAGCTGTGTAGTTTGAAATAAACTCTCTCTCTCTCTCTCTCTCTCTCTCTCTCTCTCTCTCTCTCTCTCTCTCTCTCTCTCTCTCTCTCTCTCTCTCTCTCTCTCTCTCTCTCTCTCTCTCTCTCTCTCTCTCTCTCTCTCTTCACGCCATAAACGTCTTCAAACACATCTGATTCATGAACCTATCAGGTTCTATTTCACAGCATCTCCGCACGCTTTTCTGCCGTGGCAGGATTGAAAATGGATGCCGTCGTCTTCCAACACTTCCGCTAAGAGGTAACTTTCCTTTCTACTCCTCTACTCGAGCAGAAACGAGCGCCCCTTCCATCGCGATTTTGTAATCGGCGATGAACTCGCAAGCTTTATTGCCGAACAACTCCGCGAGCGCATCCCGGAAGATCAACGCGAACATTGGTTTCAGTAGTTGAGATACGAAGACCGTTTCGACCTTTCTGCCGGTGTCAGCAAAGAAAGTTTGTCGGCAGTCATCGTCAGTTGCGCGTTGTATCCGTCCAAGAAATCGTCCAACGTGACCGCTTGTTGAAAGCGCAAAAACATCGATGCTTTCCCTTTCATCGATATCTTCTTCGGCTTCGTCCACTTCTGTTTCTGCTTGTCAAAAACTGCTCTGGCAGTTTTTCTTTCTTTCGCTTTCTTCTTGTCGACATCAACGACCGAGGGAGGCTCTTGTTGTCGATGATGATGAGAAGAAGAAGGCGCAGACGCCATCGCCGTTAACACTTCGAAGACTAACCCGTTCGTTTTCTCGAACCGTGTGTTGATAGTATCCACGAAGAGCTTCTCCATGTTCCCCACGCACGTCGAAAGAACGGTCATCTACTTCCCAAGAGCGCGAGTTCTTGAAGCAGTTTCTGACCCGTCTGATTGATGAAGAGAGACTATTACTTGTCCGATTCTTCCCGAACATCAACTCTGACTTTCCTTTCTTTCTCTTGTTTCGAAATAACAACAACTCACGCTTTCTTAACATAGCGAGCAACAGGAGTTGGAGTCGAACGTGTCTTTTACTCCCAGTACACGCGTCCGGATCGAGCGACTTCTTCTCCGAGCGAGGACGCTTCAAAGATGTGCGAACGAAATCTTCTTCTCCCTCGTCTTATATCTGAAAATAGGGGCTTTTCTTTTCTTGTAAAAATTTCAAAAAATTTTAACTCCTAATATTTCCAGGACATCAGATTCAAACTTAGGTGAGTGTATGGCATCAATTGGAGCAACTTTAAGAAATCCACCTTCGATATCATTAAAAAAATGTGAATGGTTCCTATCCCTGGAGTACCCGAAAAGGGAGATGCTACTGCATATTCGTGAAGCTAGGATGTGATAAACATAAGCAAATCCAGTACTCTTTCGAAAACCATGTGAAAGAGCTGAGAAACGCAATTTCGTTTTTGAACTCACAAGAAAACCTATATACATATTTTTCTTTATGGTTGCGTCAAGCATTTCCAATTCTTGTAGAGGTTTCAAAATAATTATTGTTTCATGTTTTCCCGAAGGATTCGAAAGAATAATTGGCGAACGGCCATATACGTCGATTGGAACCCTTAGCAGACAATTTTCAGTCTTTTTGTGAAAGCCTCTACAAAGAGTATAGTTAGTTTTTACTCCAGTACGATGCTTATATCTTTCCAGGGGTAGAAACCCTATCCTGAAAACAGTATCATGAGAATCAATTAGTGAACCATAAAGCCCAAGTGTATCAGAAAGTCCGACAACAGCGCATTTTCCAAGTCCATTTTGCCCAACCGAACCTAAAGAGCAGCTCTGAAAAGAAAATCTGCAACTATTTTCGGCAGATAGAGCCGAATGCAGAGCGTCAACAATGAAATCTCTCTCATTATCAGAAATACCTCCTTCAGGAACCTTTGGACACTCCGGTCCAGGCCATCCAACTTTGCACGGATCTCCACCTTTTTTCTTAATACTTTCTGGAGAATATGCCAAATTCCAAGCACTCTTTTCAAATTCATTAGCTTCGTATACACCTTCAACTCTGTTACTTTTGATACTTTTCTCATGAAGCAAACGTGGAAATATAGATATCAAGCAAAGAGCTAAGAAAAGGAACGAAACTTTGACGAACCAACGAAGCGGAACCTTCTTCAAAGCTTTCATAAGAAGGTCCTTACGAGCTTTCTCGAGGTCGAAAAATTGCGCAAAAACAATAAGCTGACCAAGAAAATTTTATTGTTTATTGTTTTTCGTTTATTCGGAAAGGAACACCAGAAACCGAGCTGCCTCGAACCACTTTAAAAAAACAAAAAAACTTCCTTCGCCTTCTCTTCCTCTCTCTTGCTCACAAAAAAAAAGGAGTTGTTGGCACCTTCGTAACATCATCAATGTAACATCGTCAATGCGATAAAACACTTCCCGTTTTCACTTATTTCTAGACGCAAATGTTCGACATCCGGAGCAGCATCACGCATGGGATCAACGTTCTCGTCGTTTTCGTTCATTTTCGCCTTCGAAATGTGCGCGCGCGCGCAGATGTACGCGTCAACAAGTTTATTGATTCTGGCGATGAATAAACAATAAATGTGGGTCGTTTATTGTTTATTCGTCGACAGAATCAATAAACGATAAAACTCGTTTTTTGTTTATTCGTGATTCTTCTGCGCTCGAAGAAAAGGGTGAAATAAACTAAAATTTATTGTTTTGGGGCAATTTTTCGACCTCTAGGAAGGTCCTTCTGCATATGGGACGACCTTATTTAAAAAAAAAAGAGCTGCGAAAACGCACGAGAATGAAAGTTGAGAATTTGATACCCCAGACAGAAAACCAACTTTGCACGAGAGCGTGACACGTCATCACTTCCCTGTCCCCTCCTGACTCGAGCGCATTGACTGGGGACCGCGCGCGCGAGAGAGAGGAGCTGAAAACCGCGCGGATGCACCCATACACCTCATAAAACGTTCGCAGGAACTCGGAGCTGGAAAATACGCGCTTTTTACATATTCTCTCTCCGTTTATTTTCTTCGTCGCAAAAAAAAGAAAAAACTGGGAAAATTGGGGAAAAGAAAAGAATTAATTGATTGTTCTTAAATTAAAGCCTGAAACGAGGCTGAAAAGAGAGGACATAAATAAAATACAAACCTAGAATAAAATATATTTTAAGAATTTAAAATATCCATTTAAACTTTTTAATTAAATAAAATATTATTCTGAAAAAAAGGAAGAAACGCAGTAACTAACTAAATGCACCGATCAATCACATTACCTTCTATAAGTTTTATGATCGGTTAACTGCTCAATAAAATACATCAAATAACTTATTTTAATCGCACAAAGTTGTGGATTCTAAAATTCCCCCGAGAATTGTTCATTTTTCATCTAAATAATTTGAATCTAATTCACTTTATTGCCAGATTTTAAACAAAATATTTAATTTTAATATTGGTTATGATATTAAAAATCATAGTTCCACCATTTTAAATTAAAATTTAATTGGAAATGTAAAATAATCCGGATCGGTTCCAGGTTTTTCATGACATTTTTTGAAACCAACTTTTTGAACTGGAGTATGTCTTGTGCGTGTGCGCGTGTGCCGAATTTCACGGTTAACGTTGCATAAATAAAAAAAAAGACCATCTACAGACTCTACAAACTATTCTCCGTAGAATACGACCGTTCGTATTCATTCTCGCGCGCTCCTCTGCGCGCACCCATACCCCATTACAAAAAGAGATCCAGTTTGAACAAAATTGATCCAGTTTGAACACCCAGTTCTATGCATAAGGCGAATTTTTGAAAATTTTATTTTTATTGAAAAAAGAGGGTGAAATTTTGAACTGGGCGTCCCAGGGGATATGCTCAAAAAGTTTCCCCCAGTTTACTTCGCTAAAAAAAAAGGAGATAGTAAATAACGCCACTATTCTAACCCGACCTTCCCTCTCCTACTATACTGATACAAGAAAAACACAGAACAAAACAGCAAAGGCACCAGCTCGCTCGAGTAAGACAGAAATACAAAACTCCCCCAACGGTACTAAAATCCTTAAAAGGTGATCGTCTGATCTGCTCACTTGCTCGTCCGATACCTGCTCATGTGCTCATCTGCTCGTCTGATCTGCTCGTCTGATCTGCTCATCTGGTATATTTTTTGTTCTTTTGGAAAAAAGAGGTGCCTACTTTGGGGAGAAAAGCAAAAGTTGGTCCGATTTATTACCCAAACGGTGTTCACGCGCTGCTTCAAAGAGTGAACGGGAACGCACCACCAACGGTAACGCGCGTGACGAACAAACAGATTCGCACCCACTACGTTCGCGCGTGCGATGCGGTGCCTTGGAAGTCGAGCGCGCAGAGGGTAGCAGAAAGACTTGAAGCGATGCGACGTCGAGCAGAAGAGGAGGAGGAAGAGAGGAAGAAAAAAGCAGAAACAGAGGAAGCAGAAGAAGAAGAAGATTTTCTTTGCACGCAAGAAAAAAGAAAATCGTCACAACTGCTTCCTTCTTTTGTGGTTGCGTCACAAGATGCAAATAAAGAGAACGTTGATGTTACTCGCAATGTTCCTTGTGTGAAGAAGAGTGAGAACGTCTTGAGGAACGCTTTCGAGAAGTTTTTCGAGGATACTATTACCACGCGATTCGAGGAAACGAATGGGTTCATCTTTGAAGTGTTGACGGCGCTCTCTGATGCACCTCGATGTGTGCATCCTTTTTTGTCTACTCAGCCTCAACGAGGAGTGGAAAAAAACAAAAGAGAAGAAATACGCGAAGGCGAACGCGCGCCAGAAGAAATATCTGCCGCGTCAGATTCTGCCGAGCAGAAGAAGCAGATCTCGACAAAGCCGAAGAAGATGTCGTCGAAAGAGAAAGCGTCCATGGGTTTATGCTTTCGAGAAGCAGTCACGTTGGACGATTTCTTGGACGGATACAACACGCAGGTGAACTTGCCACCAAAACGAGTTTTGGCGTTGACGAAGGCGGAGAAATCCAAACGCTCGTCGTACATCAACTACTGGAAAGCGTTCGCGAGAATCTTCCGCGACGCACTTTCTGACTTCGAGACGTTGTTTGGCGATAAAGCTGGCGAATACATCGGCGAGTTCGAACTGGCGATGGAAGAAGCGCTCGTGGTTTCTACCGAGCAGACGAGCAAGCGAGCAGGCGAGCAAAAACGGTGGAAGCCAGTCGCCTCAGCTTTCATTTCTGCTTCGGCAGAAACGCGCGAGACGATGCGAACGAGTTGGAATCTGAAAGGCATCATGAATCAGATGCATCTGAAGACGTTTACTTTGTAACGAGTGAAGAGAGATGTTCGGAGTTGTAATGAAACGAGAAGGAGATATTTTTATGTGTTCATGTTAGTTTTTACAAGCCCAACTACTAAACCCTAAATAGATTTTATAAAATGCCGACACCGGTTTTCATCGTTTTCATTTAAACCACTTTACAGTGGATTTCAATTGATCACTGTTAATGGTAAATCATCTAATAATGCTAGCTGGATACTAAGCACCTACTGTCTTTTGGTGTTTTGTTCTTTAATTTAACTTTTTGGGGGAACGGACTCTTGAAGATTTGTTTGTTCTCGATCTCACTATACTTTGACAAAATGCGGGAAATCTATTGTTTTACTTCCATTGTGATCTCTCTTATCTTTTTAACTTTAGTTTCCTGTGAGCGCAGAGGCGTAAAATTGGCTCCCTTGAGACCGACTGAACTTCGAAGATTACTAAAAAATTCAGAATCAACCGGTACTTTCTTTACCCAAGAGAACATCAAAATAAACAGCTGGCATGTAACAGCAAGATGGTGGAGAACCCAATTTCTAGATAAGCTCAGTATAAATTTCAATCAAACTGATATAGATTACTTATGTTCCATTAAATCTAGTTCTTGTACTTTTTTTGACAGAACAGAGTGGGAACAGCTCCCATCTGTGAAACCAAGTTCCTGGAAAAGTTGTGCAGTCGTCGGGTATGGTTCCAATCTTTTAGATATTCCTCGTGGCACTCAAATTGACTCTTATGACACTGTATTCAGACTTGGAATGGTACCTTTATCAAAATTTAGGATTGAAGCCGGACTGAAAAATAACTTTGTATACATTAGGGATAGAAAATTACGAAGGAGCAAAGGTAACTTCGTTGATGAAGATAAGAATGGTTTTCGAGCCTCACAGCTTCATAATTCTTACAGACCGAAAGCAATTGTTTATTCAAGCTACCGGAAAAATCCTACTGCGAATTGGGCAACAATCACATTTGGTGGGGATTTAACGCTTCGTCTTGAGCGAACACTAAAGCTGATCTTGCGAAGGATGAATCGATCAGGTTTGCCACCTGATCCAAGCTCTGGGCTTGTGTTGCCAGCTGTACTTCTTTTCAGTGGTCATTGTACAAAGATTGGTATTTTTGGAATAAGTACTACAATGGGTTCTCGGTATTGGGAAGTAAAACCAAGAGATGATCTGAAGGGTAAAACTACACGATACAAAAGTAAGCCGCGAAATCTTGCATCAAATCACAACACCAAGCTTGAAGCTTTGATATGGAAAACAATTGGGATGATGGAACCTATAACAAAAGAGATCAAGGTAGAGTTCTATGACTAGTCAACACTCTTTTCTCCTGCTTCAAGATATCTTTATGTACAAATTGATCTGACTGAGATTGTGCTTGGCTTTTCTCCTTTCTTTTCATTTTGGGTTTTGGGATCTGCGTGCGTAACCCAAAAAATGAGGCGCTTGGCCGACAGGTCAAATAAATAAATTTAGATCTGAAACGAAGCAAATACGCACGATTCCTATGGTTCTTTAACATATCAAAGACGCCCGCGAATTGGCGCGCGCATTCAAAAGTTACACATATGAACTATACGTAAATCATCATAAAAGCGCGGGCGTCTTTAATATGTTGTAGACAACACTCACTGTTGACATCCCATGTGGTTTTTGTGAAGAAGTGAGCAGATCTAACCTGTCGGCCGCGCGATTTGTACCGAGAATGCCCAAATTCAGACAGTCAAACTTTGAAGTTCGATAAAAGACTTTCTCGTACCGTTTCGAAACAAAAAGGTAAAACGGAATTTCTAACTTGCCGTATTTCTTTCTAAAAGTGTACGCATGTGATCATTGAAGGCTCTCCACTTTGATTGATTCAGTTGACCCTTCGCTGTATTATTGAATGACGTTTTTGCTTGAATATACTTCGTGATTTTCGAATTATACAGCAACATGAAGGGTAGTACCCCATCCTTTAGTGGATGCTTCTGACTCCTCGCTAACACTCAGTGAGAATAACGGAGTGCAATTGTTCCTCAAATACTAGTCAAGCTACCCATATCGAAGATGGCTAACGAGCAAAGCAACTGTAACTGAACCGATATTAGGTCAACTCGCACGTCCACATTGTTTATAACTCACAAATCTATACAGCACTTCTTTTCTTCGTAGTTGTTGAAAATATTCAGTCCGAATTTGAATAGCTTTTCGTCAAAATGGTTTCTCATCATACTCTGCGAAATCTTGTGCGCTTTATTTCTAACTTTATCAATACTCTTTTGAGGTGAACCTCTTCGCGTATTAAATGAGTAAATAGATAAGTTCTCACCTCCAAAACGTTGCAGAAAGATACAAGCGGATAGCTCCCAGTGGTCAGTTATTATCAAGTATGTAGCGTTCTTAAGTCGACCAAGTGCAACTTGGAATTCATCTTCCGTCACACGACTCTCATCACAACAATGACGCCCCACGAGCATTTTGGTCTGGCAATCTTTCACAGAATTGAGCTGAACATAGCTTTTGAATAGTTGGGGTAAACGTCCAGGTTGGAAATCCTGGATACTGTCAATGTTTGTGTAACAACCATAAGATGAGCCCCATCTCTTATTTCTCACGGAGTGCATGAAGGAACTCCAAAGACGTGCCTCATTTGACCTCAGACTAATGACTAACCCACCTTGGAGCTCCTCATAGGATATCCCATACTTGCTAGATCCGATTGCATCATGTAAACCAAAGCGATGCTGCGTTTTGTTGTGTAGCTTTGAACACATTTTCTCTGGTGGATATTTTTCTCTCAAATAAACGTGCGGTAGGCGAGCTCTAACTTGGTCACTAGATGGAACATCGCAAGCATAGCGGTAAAGAAGATTTGCAGCGGAAGTCCCAGTCTTCGGCGGATGCACCCATGTCAAGTTTTTTTCTGGTTCGATTACGTTTCGTTCGATCTCTTTGCAACTCTGAACTGCTGAGATACGAGAATTAGTTTGATCGCGAGTTGCAGTTCGTGTCTGTCTTGCTACAAGTCCTAAACAGAAAACTGCTAGGAACGCAAAGATTTTCGTATCCTGCCTCATTTTGACAGGATTGTCGCAGTATGCGGCTATATGACACACCCTTTCCTTTGTGTGTGTCCCCTGCGGAAGGTCCCGTAAAAGGAAAACGTAGACATAGTGGTATACAATGTATGTTGGGTTGTTTTTTCTTCTCTTCTTGTTTTTGGGCAAAACTATACGAGCACGACTCGTACGAGTGTCATATATGTCATAGATTTTTTTTTTTTGAAGCTGTTGCTATCGTGCACGTTTTGCACCTGTGCGCTTCGTTTTGGACCCCCCCCCCACTCTTTTTTGTTTTTGAAACCAAATCACTCGAATCGTTTTCGTTCATATTTCTCCTCTCGTATTTATCTTTTCTCGCCTTCGATGTCGTGAGTCGCTCGCGGGGTAAACCTCTTTTCTCGTCTTCTTTCTTTTCTTTTCCCCAATTTTCCCAGTTTTTCTTTTTTTTGCGACGAAGAAAATAAACGGAGAGAGAGAATATGTAAAAAGAGCGTATTTTCCAGCTCCGAGTTCCTGCGAACGTTTTATGAGGTGTATGGGTGCATCCGCGCGGTTTTCAGCTCCTCTCTCTCGCGCGCGGTCCCCAGTCAACCGCGCGCGTGGAGGGGACGGGAAGGGGGTGACGTGTCACGCTCTCGTGCAAAGTTGGTTTTCTGTCTGGGTATCAAATTCTCAACTTTCTTTCTTGTGCGTTTTCGGCTTATGCATATGTATCCCCTGGGATACATATGTAAAAAAAGACCATCTACAGACTCTACAAACTATTCTCCGTAGAATAGGACCGTTCGTATCTATTCTCGCGCGCTCCTCTGCGCGCACCCATACCCCATTACAAAACCTGCCACGGTTTGAACAAAATTGCCACGGTTTGAACACCCAGTCGCCAGTTCTAAGGCGAATTTTTGAAAAATTTATTTTTGGAAAAACAAGGGTGCCTTAGACCTGGGCGTCCCAGTGTAAGAGTCACAACCCTAACTACCCTAAATACAGATTACATTATTTCACAGAAAGTTGTATTTCACATCATGTGACGACACTTATTTCCACTTATTTTACACACTATTCAAGAACACAATCTCACACCTCGATTTAGGGTCTTCTCAGTGTTAGCCACGACACCGTTTTCACCCAGGGGATACTTTTTTTGTAAATAAGATTTTCACTCACAGGGATTCTCCTGATGGCTATTCCTACAAAATCACAAGCTCTTTATTTTTGTGCAACTTGAACTCTTGAAGCTTGCCTTGTAGTTAACTATGGTTCAGCATGTTGGGAGCGTGACTATTCAAGGTAGAATCAAAAGAAGAAACCTGTATTTGATAACTTTAGTTTTATCCTTGTTCCTTTACATCAAAGTTAGACATACTGATGACCGATGTTCAGAGAAAAAGGCCTATGCACAAATTATCGCGACTGGAGGTATTAATAATCAGATAATATCAGCTGTAAACGCACTGTTGCTAGTGAAGTACCTGAATATCACCGTTCTATTGCCCCTCTTTTCTGTCCAAACCGGTTCGAAGTATGCAACCATTTCTCTCACAGAATACTTCGATGAAAAACACTTCAATGTAGTTCTGAAAGAACTTGGAATATCGTTATCAGTAAGGCCCCCCTCAAATTGCAAGGAGAAAACTGTGCTCCAAAAGAGCTCAGGACGAAAATTTAAAGAGATTATTACTGACTTGAGCGCTATGCGTTCGAACAATGCTAACTGCCAACTGATTGAAATAGAAAATCAGTGGGGGATACGCGAGTTGGATCAGGACTTCAACGGTTATATGAAGCTATTTGAAGCCTTTAAAGTTCGATCTAGTTTGTACAAAATTTATGAAAATTATAAGAAGGAACTCATTGCACATCCTTTTATTGCAATTCATGCTAGGGTAGAGAAATCATGGCCGACACTATATTTCAATTCACACGAAGATATTGGTATTAAAGATGAAATTGCCGGTATGGTCTCGCATTTGAAGAAGATTAACATGAAAGGGGTTCGAAATATTTTCATTTTATCTGGGAGGGACTGTGTGGCTGAAATTTTCGATCCTCTCCGATCAGCAGGTTATGTGTTGCAGTGTTTGGACTCCAGAACCGCAACTTTTAATCACACTGGAGAAGTTGGACGCGAATCATATCAAAAGGCCCTTGTGGATAGTTTAATAGCGTTTGATGCGGATTATTTTATTGGTAGGTATGCATCATCTGCTTCATATTTACTAAAGATCAAGAGGAGGGAGAAAAATGTGAGTATGTATTGTGCAAATAGTGGGTTTATGTGCAGTGACTGCGGGCGCACCTGTCTTAAGCACCGAGGTGTTAAGAGACATTACAAGTCTATTAGAGACATGGAGAACTGTTTTTTTATGCCTGGTTGTGGCACTGAAATATGTCGTGATAGGGTAGACAATAGTCAAAAATACACATGTCAGAAAGAAAATCTAAGCAAAAAGACCTCAATATCACGTTCGTGTAGGATTAACCAACATTATTTGATTCAGAATGAAGGGGGCTTCAAACATTGGTATACGCAATGTAAAGCAGGAAGAAACGAATGTGGTGATGCACTTTTGAGAAATTGTTAAGATAAAAAAGCAATTTTCCATTGAGTTTTTTTGTGTGTTCTATAATCAGGTGGATGAGTAGTGCAAGAGAATAGTCATATATATGAGCAATAGCCTCTACAGCTTCATAATCAAATTACTATATCTACAAGAAAATAATGGCTTGACTTATGCTTTGCTGGTTAAGGAGCAAAATACCGAAACACTTCAATGTGAACTTCTCACCAGTTTGACAACGAATCAGAAGGCAATTGATTTTATAGCAGTCCCTACGAGGAATTTTACGATCGAGTTATCTACACCTGTTTTGACATTGGAACCCCGTCCTTAGCGTACGATTCGTCGTCTAGCTCTTTGATGACTGTCTTGCACTTCATCCTTTTTTCATTTTTAATTATCACTTCTACTGCCCTTCGAATTTCAAGATATTTTGAAGCAAACTTTGAATTCTCAAGGTGCTGGTCATGCCACTCAATAACAATGAAATCAATACCACAAAGAGCTCCTGATAAGATCAAGGATGGTAGGAGCTCATATTCATACCCTTCTACATCCATTTTCATTACCACAGACGGAGGACTTCTCATTGTATCATACATATCAGGTATTTTACGTGATTGTATGTGCTCTTTTATGAACTGGCCAAGGTCAATTGTTTTGACCTCCTCTGTAGAAATGTATGCTTTCTTGAGTTTCGCTCTGGTGCGCTGCTCGCTTTCGAGCTTATCAATTAGTAGAGAGCCTCCAAGCCCATCGAAGTCAATACTATGATGGTGCATAACAGAATTTCCTGCAAATAAAGCAGCTGCGGTGTTAGTGAAGAAAGTACACCTCGAATTCTTGGAATGCAGATAAGATTCAACTTCCTGTAGGTAATGAGTATGCATGCTGTTCGGTTCAAAGCCAAACGCACATGTCGTTTGTGCCCTGTTTTCCTTTCCAAAGTGTATATCGAAAATCGGTAGTATTAAAGCCCCTGAATATTTCTCAGGTTCAAAAAGCTTCCGGACTTGCACCCCTATGTTTGAACCGACGTCTAAGTACACATTATAGCAGCCATCAGCATATTTTCTTGAACTTAACCGTGGAAATATTCCTTTTGGAAAGCGGTTGTTCTCAAGAATGCTACTCGCATTAGGTTTATAGTAGCTTAAATGCACTTGGTAACTAGTAAAGCAAAAAAGAGTGAAGATCGTGAATATCTTTTTTTTTGCACACAAATTTCTGTACATTCTATTCTATTCGTTCTGCCAGTGAAGGTAGAAGGAACTCGCAAAACTCAGAAGAGGAACGCTTTCTTTGAGGTTAATTTCTTGCTTCTTAAAGAGCGCGTGATGAAGGTCTGAAGGAACAATGAACATAGAAGGAGAATAAGACGGAGTATACGAGCTTTCTCGAGGTCGAAAAATTGCCAATAATAAACTCTTATAACTCTTATAACTCTTATACCCAGTACTATATGGCCGATTATCTCTTTATAAAAAATAGCGATTTGAAAGCGCCCATCTTTTTCAAAAAAAAACAGAGCACTCGCATGCGCTCTCAAAACAGCACTAAAACGACCATTCCAAACGCGCTATGATATAGAATTAAAATCGGCAAAAAGTGGTCAAACACGGACTAATGAGTAGGGAGACATCGTAACCGCGAGATTTTGTTCATTGGTATCAAAATCGCTCTTTTCGACGTGCGTCAAAAAGCGGTGGGGGATTTTTATAGGGAGATTCTTAACTCCGTGATTGTGGTAGGTGTTACGCGTTTCTCGTTTACACATCGGATACGCTTTGCTTTTAGCAAACAGTGGCAAAGCAGTGTGGAATGATATGTGTTTGTTCTGATACGGAAGGTTTTGTTAAGGTTATGTGACGATTTGAAACGATTAGTCTACTTTTTTACGCGACTAAATAGGAACGCAGACATGTCGGATCGAACATTTATGGGAACAGAAGCCGTTTATGTATAACCCTTCTACTTCTGCTAGAACCAATTGAACTCGCATTACAGCTACTTGCTTTAGTTCGTGTCGATTTACTATAGCTTTGCTGGTCTAGCCATTTTTCCACGTCTTTGATGTTTGCCGAAAAGCTTTCTCTGTAATGCATGGTGTTCCAGCAAGAAGAACAGTACATTATTTTGTTACACGCACCATTTTAAGTCGATAAACACATAAACTTTCTGACCCAAGAAAATTTTATTGTTTATTGTTTTTCGTTTATTCGGAAAGGAACACCAGAAACCGAGCTGGCTCGAAGAGAACCACTTTAAAAAAACAAAAAAACTTCCTTCGCCTTCTCTTCCTCTCTCTTGCTCACAAAAAAAAAGGAGTTGTTGGCACCTTCGTAACATCATCAATGTAACATCGTCAATGCGATAAAACACTTCCCGTTTTCACTTATTTCTAGACGCAAATGTTCGACATCCGGAGCAGCATCACGCATGGGATCAACATTCTCGTCGTTTTCGTTCATTTTCGCCTTCGAAATGTGCGCGCGCGCGCAGATGTACGCGTCAACAAGTTTATTGATTCTGGCGATGAATAAACAATAAATGTGGGTCGTTTATTGTTTATTCGTCGACAGAATCAATAAACGATAAAACTCGTTTTTTGTTTATTCGTGATTTTTGCTTCTGCCTCGAAGAAAAGGTGTGAATAAACTATAAAATTTATTGTTTTTGGGCAATTTTTTGACCTCGAGCAAGGTCCTGAGCACAACAAAAACCTTCTTCCTTTTCCCCGCTCCTCTTGTGGGTTGGGTCACGTGTCCTCAAAGAAGAAAACTTCAAGCAATTTATGTTTCTACTGCTTCCTCTTAACATTCTTTTTAATGAGTTTCCACGAAATCTCAACCGTATCCTTCGTCTTAGTAGGTGTATACTTCAATAGGTCTGCATATCTTTTCAACATGGCAATCATATACTTCTGAAAAGCAAGCATGCTAAGTTGCGTTTCAGCCCAATCTACAGCATCTTTGGCTCGGTTCTCTACTCTTAATTCCTCGTTTCTTAAACCCGATAAAATTTCAGAAAGTGTCCGACAAATTTCACCTTGGGAAAGAGAGACATGAAAAACTTGATGAAATCCGTTTTCTCGAAACGCTCTCTGACACAAAGTTTGAAACGGGGAATTATTTGGTAAGAAAACCACAGCTCCAGCTACCAGCATAGGAAGGACCGCTGATGAAAATGATTTGCCGTCTAAATAAATCAAGTATTTGTATTTGACTCGATCTAAAGCGTCTATCGGTTTTCCAACTCTCAACTTATGTTGCACATCAGCGGCATCCACTGTATTTTTAGAACAACGTATAAGCGCTCTCCTCGCTGGATTTGTCTTCACAGATCCACGCCAAAATATTCTCTCGCTTCTACGTTCCGACCATTTATTTTTCTTTGCAAAATGAATAAGTTTGGGATGTAATTCTTTCCACGGAGGGTCGTGGAATCCACCAGTTTTACTTCCTGCACCTTCTACATCTTCTCCCCAAATCGTCCAAAGGGGCCATAATAAATCGTAATTATTCGAAGTAGTGACTGCGCTGAACACGGGAGGCGGCGCTTGACCTTTTATCCCTGGAACGAAGTCGCGATATTTTTTAGCCAGTATTGGATTTTTAGGTCGCTTTCCTACAATCGAAACTTGCGGATCGTCTTGAGTATTCAGTATAAAGTCTACGTCAGGAACGGCCTCCTCTGGAAACTCGTCGATCAATTCCATTAGCCCCCACAACCAATACCAAATTCGAGAAGGGCCTCTCGAAGACTTACTTATTTGAGCATAAATTTTACCACCTATAATCTGTATTCTGTTTGCGCGCATACCTTGCTGAGCAGCTAAATCTACCATTCGTTTAGTAATTCCTGTCATACTCCAAGGTTGCAAATCCACATCAATCCATGATTGAAGATTTGCCGATGCTGCTTTTCTAGAAAAGTGAGTTTCAGAGCTGTTGAACCCGCCTGCATTTCCAAGTTCTCTTTCGTGGTTTTTTTGTACAGAGCGTAAAGGATTCTCTTTCACCAGAGGACTGCTAGAAAAGTGAGATTTAGGTAAGAATAAGAAGATGAGCGCAGTTACAACGAAAACACAATACAATCTCTTATTATCGTTGCGCATTTTCCAGAACGAGATTTCCTCCGAAGAGTACAAAGCGTCTACGACTTTTAACTATGCAAACGACTCGTACAGCACCGATGCACCTTTTTTTTTTTTCGTTTTCCATTATTTTTTAGGGCAAGAAACAACAGAAGGCATACGGACTCCCGGGAAAGCTGTATCACAGGACCACCTTTCACTTAATATCTTGAAACCCAGGAAATAAGCGCACTTCTGCGCATGATTAAAGAAATGCTTGCAAACTGATGCGTTTTTGAGCGCATATGAAGACGGAGACATGTTTCTTTACCTTACTCTGTGTCTCCATGATTTTTTTGGAGGCTTTGACTTTGATTGGAGAAAGAGTTTGCGGTTTTCAGACATCAACAAGAAGGGCCATGGTAGTTTTGGCGCAATATAAGGAAGATACGACGTGGGCGATGCGGTTGGAGGACGAGTGCGACGTTGAAGTTCGTGTATACCAGAGTGCTAATCATCGAGATCCGTACTTTGTCGAGAATCTTGGAGGCGAGGCGGCCAAGTATTTCACAGCCATCGAAGATGTTTACGACGATGATGAGCCACCCCCATATCTGCTATTTTTACACGCTCACGAAACCTCGTGGCACAACGGGGTAAACGCCACTGAGTATATCTGTTCAGATGCATGGAGGGTGATAGGAGGTAACAATGTCGGGAATGATGATCCGCGGAGTCTCACATATGGTGAGAGGAAACATTTTGTACATTTCCCCTCGACTCGTGTTATCCGCGTGTTACGCAGAGGAAGCACTGTAGCTGCGGTTTTTATAGCGGATAAAAGGAAAAACGGTACGTTAAAACCTTGGTTTGCCACGAATAATTTGCGGCAGCGGGTTTCTATTACGGCTCGAGCTGTTAAAATTAAAGACAGTATGCGTGGCTTGTATTTCGACTCAGAATGTTGCGGACAATTTTCAACTAGTTTTTCGGTAATAAAACGCCGCCCGAAGAGCTTTTACCAAAGAATCCGAAAATGGGCCATTTCAAAGGGGGATTCTATTCACTCGAACAAAAATCAGAACAAGCCTACGGTAGAGAAAGTTAAAGGGCTCGAGCCTTTATGGAGTGTAATTTTTGATGCAACTCCATTACATTTTGATACGAAATTAACTGGTAGCTTTGCCAGTGTTGTAAAGGTCGAACTCGAGGAGCAAGCTAAAAAGGTTGCAACCGAGAAAGCAAAGGCTCTCAGACGACGTAGATCTAGAAGATCAACGAAAGTAACGTAGTTATTAATTGGTCTAACTTACGAGTGGTAGAACTGAATAACTGAATATACATACATTATCGTGTCGTCGATTACTTGGTCGGATCCGACTGAAAATGATTCCGTGGAAGGCTTGCGACCGAACGCGAGAGGTCCCGGCTTAGTGACGTTCGGCCCGGACCGCGTCAAACAGTTCTGCGAAAATAACGGTTTAGAAATGATTGTTCGAGCGCACGAGTGCGTCGTGGACGGCTTCGAACGTTTCGCGCAAGGCCAACTGTTGACGTTATTTTCCGCGACGAATTGCTGCGGGACGGCAAATAACGCGGGTGCAATTTTAGTTTTAGGACGCGATTTAACGCTCTACCCGAAACTCATCCACCCGTTGCCACCGGAAGCGATGGATTCGGCTTCTCCCGGAGAATTCGACCACGCGTTGTGGATGCAAGAAATCATCCGCGAACGTCCGCCGACGCCGCCGAGGAAAAATAGCTTTTTCGGTAACTAACTCGTGATGATGAGAGATGTTGTTGCGATACATAACATTTTTTCTCATTTGCTTATTCTACTTCACAACTACTGCTTTGCTACTGTTAAGCTCTACTACTAAACTCCAAACTCTCTTTTTTACCGCCGCCTAGGCGCCGCGAACGGCGCCGCGTATTCTATTTGCGTATTTCAAACCCTCGTGCAAAGTTGGTATTCTGTTTAGGGTCTCAAATTCTCAACTTTCATTCTCGTGCGAGAACGCGTTTTGGACGACCTCTTTTTTTTTTAATATCCCCTGGGACGCCCAGTTCAAGGGCAAAAAAAATTTTTTTTTTTTTTTTTCGCCTTAAACTGGGTGTTCAAACCGTAGCAATTTTGTTCAAACTGTAGCAGTTTTTGTAATGGGGTATGGGTGCGCGCGGAGGAGTGCGCGAGAATGAATACGAACGGTCCTATTCTATGGAGAATAGTTTGTAGAGGTTGTGGGTGGTCTTTTTTCTGATTTTTATGCACATTCATGTACTTCACTCGCACATTTAATTTGGACAGTTGTATTTGGCACCTCTCAGAAAAGGTGCCTTAAAAATACGAAGCTCCACATTCTCCTGATTTCGAATGCGCGCTAAAGTGGTATACAAACACAGTTTAAAATTTAAAAAAAGACCACCCACAACCTCTACAAACTATTCTCCATAGAATAGGACCGTTCGTATTCATTCTCGCGCACTCCTCCGCGCGCACCCATACCCCATTACAAAAACTGCTACGGTTTGAACAAAATTGCTACGGTTTGAACACCCAGTTTAAGGCGAAAAAAAAAAAAAAAAATTTTTTTTGCCCTTGAACTGGGCGTCCCAGGGGATAAGATATGGGATTCCTGGAATTTTATTAATATCCCCTGGAGCTCCTCCCGCCCCAGTCCGACTTTCAGGGCAAAAAATTTTTGAGGAAAAATTTTCACCCTTTCAGTGGACTGGACGGTGGAAGTTCGCAAACAAACGGTGGAAGTTCGCAACATTTTTATAGGCGCTTAAATGCGTCGAAAAGCGCGCGAATCGAAAGTAGAGAGGATTCTAAGACTCATAGCGTGGCGAAAATTTTGGGTTTAGGGTTTTAGGGTTTTAAGGTAAAAGTTTTCACTGAAAAAATTCACTTTTTTTTTTGCGAAAGCACCCTAAAGTCTGCAAAATCGGCCTCATATAAAAGTTTGTAAAAACAGGCCTTTTTTTGAACGCGTCTAGACGCTAGAAGTTTAGCAGTTGCTTAAAAAGAGCTCTAACAGAGTTTGTCGCAAATGAATCAAAGCATATTTCAATGTTTTTCGATCGCGCTGTAATTTCGTCCGCGATCAGAACCCATCCCTTTCCGTACTTTTTTCCGAAAGGCACGTTGATAAACACAAAGATGGAATGGCATCCCTCATCATTCCTTTCCTCGAGAGAAGTCGTCGTCTTCCCGAGAAAGGAGGCAAGACGCACATCCACGCCACGTGTGTTCTTTACGAATAGAACCGATAAAATGTCCTGAATGCAGTCAAAAGCGATCATACTGGACCAAGTGACGCGATCGATGAAGAGAATCGAAGACAATCATTTAAATTATTCCTACACACAAAGATGGAATGGCATCCCTCATCATTCCTTTCCTCGAGAGAAGTCGTCGTCTTCCCGAGAAAGGAGGAAAAAGGACATCCACGCCACGTGTTTTTTGTACGAATTGAATGCATAGAATGTCACGAATGCAGTCGAGAGTGAGTGTACGGGACCAAGTGACGCGAACTATGGATGAGAATCGAAGAAAAAAGTGATTCCTATAGACAAGAAGGAACAGCGTCCCTCATTCGTTTCCTCGAGAGAAGTCGTCGTCTTCCCAAGCGCACACGTGCAAAACGAACGTGCACAAAAGCAACAGCTTCAAAAAAACTTCTAGTAATAAAAAAAATTACAACGTGTATGTTAGTATAATTCTTTATCTAGATGCGTGCATCTTTCTCTCTTTTAGAATTACGCTGTATGAGCTTTGCAACCTTCTCCATCTGTGAGTGTTTATCCAATGAGACCAAATTTTTCACTTTCGGTCACGATGCCACAACCAAATTTCGTCCGTCTACGTTGTTGTGGTGAGCAAGCTTCCAAATCCATCAAAAAATCGGATCTGGATCCCAAACCTTATTATGCTTCCTCCACCGAATACCATTTGAGACGCTCCATTGCTCATTATTATCGTCCCGCGTCATAAAAAGCATTTTGTCTGTGTCCACGTGATTATTTCGTAAGAAAGTCATCAACTGTGCATTGAGTTGTCGCTCCGTTTCGTCCAACGATCTCTTCAACTCTTCTAAATCCTCCTTCTCGTCTGATTTCTTCCCGCTATCCATTAACACGTCCGGGTGCTCCGATTCGTTATCCGCGTCGTCGATATCGTTATCTTCGCCTTCGACTACTTCGTCTTCCTCCCCGGTGCCATGCGACTCATACGGCGATGGATTTTGGTCCATCCATGTCTTGCCGTACCCGGGGATCCATTCCGGGGGAACCATCTTCTCAGGCCTTTTGGGGATCCGCTTTCGACGCAATCCTCTTTGTCGGGCGTGGGCCAATTCCCTGATAGAGTAGAAGCGAAGGAAGTATCGCACGAGCTCAAAAGATCCGCCTTTTCCTCCTCCTCCTCCTCCGCTTTCCTCTTCTTCTTCTGAGACGGCCGGGCAAATTCTTCTTCCATGCCAACATGTCCAATGCCATGTCGTTGGTCCCCCCCGAGATCGCGATGCAAAACATGTGAAAATTTCCGCAACTTATCCCACTCTTTCACGAATTTTCCCTCTTCCTTTAAGGAAATGGCTTTGTCTTCCTTACCGCTATCCATTTTATCTGGAGGTTTGTGTTTGTGTGTGTGTGTGTGTGTGTGTGTGTGTGTGTGTTGATTTCAGTTTTTGTGTCGCACTTATGTGCCATTTATTATTGCCAACTTTGCACGAGAATGAAAGTTGAGAATTTGAGACCCTAAACAGAAACCAACTTTGCACGAGAGCTTGACACGTCACCCCCTTCCCGTCCCCTCCACGCGCGCGCGTTGACTGGGGACCGCGCGCGCGCGAGAGGTGCTGAAAACCGCGCGGATGCACCCATACACCTCATAAAACGTTCGCAGGAACTCGGAGCTGGAAAATACGCGCTTTTTACGTATTCTCTCTCTCCGTTTATTTTCTTCGTCGCAAAAAAAGAAAAAACTGGAAAATTGGGGGAAAAGAAAGAGAAAGAGAAAGAGAAAGAGAAAGAGAAAGAGAAAGAGGTTTACCCCGCGAGCAACTCACGCGATCCGCGATAATGTTGCGGTGTCCACTTCCTTTTACAATATATTTATCGTACAAAGATTCTCATCTCATCGACCATTTTCCATCTTTGTTCAATTTAGTCGTAAAGAAATACGGTGCTCCTAATTCTGAGGTCTCAGTTTCACGTTAAACCTCTCCTCAAACCAGGATTGATGAGTGTTCAAAACATCGCCTTGAGGCAAATTATTCAGAATAGTATAAACTTCTTTTCCTTGCTTATTTTTTGAATCTAACAACTGGCATCGGGCCCAGGTGACTAAAACCATATACCGGTTTTCTGCCCTCGTGTTGGTACCCGTCCTGTGGGGGACAGCACTGTCGTGCGCAAAACCATAATATTTTGGGGTGCTTGTAGAACGACCGCACACCACTGGCGAACCAAAATTTTGATCGACAACTTCTTTGTGGAATAGATTGATGTAGACGTTTACCAACTGCCCGTATGTATCGATATCTCGATGGTTTTTCAGCCTTCCTCCCGTCTTGCATTTCTTTTCTTTTGGGAATCTTGCCTTGATTTGAACATAAATTGGAAGGAATTTGACCCGTGAAGTGTTGTTTTCCCTCTTCTTGGTAGATGCAAAAATTGCGTCTTTCACACATTTCTTCACCTTCTCTAAATTATTGTCTAACTCAAAGAGATCCCAGATCATCCGAGATAAATGTACACACGAAAATGTGTGTGTTCCTAAGTCTCCATACTCATATCTCAAATCATAACTATCTCCATTGCTGTCATTCAGCTTGTAACGAAATTCCCCGGATTCGATGGACAAGAAATCGAAATCGTTTATTAAGCGAGGAGAAATGTCCAAATTGAAAGGAAAACAAATCTTATTCTTTCTCCTCTGCTTTTGTTCACTCCTCTTCTGACTCATTATCAGATCCACGCAGTCCCGACAGTCTGCCAGTATCCTCACTCAGTTCAAAAATAAAAAAAATTGTGTTCGTGTGAACTTTTTTTTTGCGGCTGAATAAAAGCTGACTACGGAGTAATGGCCATAATATTCTTTACAGCATACGGTTTTTATTGGCTAAATCGCTAAAAAGAGTCCTATTAAGTAAGTTTTACTTTGCAATGTGCAGTTTGACCCCTTCCAAAGGTGAGCCCCAACACACACATTCGCAGTAGCGGATGACTTCCAGTAACAACAATGTTCTTATTCTAGTATTTCTCATCATCTCACACAGTCTAGCCGCAAGTGTGAATGTACCTGCTATTTATAATTTCAGCTTAACCAGAGTTGCGGAAACTTTACGAAGATCAAAATTTATTGAGTATACTCACATACCAAAGTGTGGAACAGTATCACGAAAAATTTGCGATGAAGGACAGTTACCTTGTCTTCCTCTACCTCAACTTCGTAAGTGTGGTCATTATGGGGAACATTGTGACTGGTTAGCAAAATACAAGTGTGTAGGAAAGAAAGAGAAGATTACTTTCTACACTCTTTTCAGGGAACCTGTATCACGAGTCAGATCGCACTACAACTACTTTTATCCAGGTGCGTGCCGAAATGGAAAACCGCTTGGACAACCCGCAGGTCAATTCTGGACGAAGGGCATGTGCGAAAATGAAGACAATTTCACCAAATGGTTATTGACACCTGATAATTGGGTTCACAACAGAATGACTAGAATGGTTCATGGGAGAATGAGTTCAGGAAATCTTTGTAGAATAACTCCCCGTCGAGAAAAAATGTATTGGGAGTCAGTATTGAAAAGATACAAAAGAAGGCAAGAAGTCTTTGGAGAAATTCCTGAAGAAATCAACAGTGCTCCGGAAATTTTAATGAAGGCGAAATTTAATCTGATGAAGAACTTCGTACTTTGGGGAGATACCTTTGAAATCGAAAGGTTTTTCTGCATTTTGAAGAACTTAGCAAAAAATAAAGCAAAGAAATTGAACCCAGCCAAAATTACGAAACCTAGAAAGTCGCGTTCAAAAGTAGAGAGTCCAGAGGAGAAGTTACTGAATGATGAGATAATTTTTCAGAAAAATGTCCTAGATAAAGAATTATACGATTGGGCCATGAATCCATGGCATGATATCAAAGTCAAATACGCAAATGTTTGTCCTTAGAAAGTCTTTAGTATGTACCAAGAATTTTCAGATTTTTATTAAAAGTTCTAGGGGGTCTGCCAGACTGATCATCCAAATGCGAACACCTAAATGACACACGTTAAGCTCTTAAAATATGTGTTAATGGATGATATTTGAAGAGTTATATACATATCTAGAAACCACAATGTTACAGCTTTCACATGATATGTTTATATGTTTATAGTTGATAAGCGCTAATTGAGCGGGGAATGAATGAAGCATGAAGAGTGATGTGCGCGAGTTATCAAGGAAAATGGTTAGGGTTCTGTACTTAATGAGAAAAACCGCGATTTCAGCGATATTCATGTACAGCATAGACATTGATAGAAGATATATACACAAAACTAGTAAAAAATAGCGTTTCCCTTATATTTTGATATCCTCACATCTATACCTACTCGGTCACAATGATTCTAGGGCTGAAAATTCCCATGGAAAACATAAACGTGTATATGTACTTATGTACGAATTTTCAGCAGCATTAGTATCTAGACACAGAAGATACGCATACGCGAGTGATCACAAAACTCTCTATTTTCCTTGTTTTTTTGTGTATTTTTCACCTCTCCTCCAAACTGCCTTCCACCAAACCACCAAAATTGACCAAAAATGGCCTACAACCTCCCATCAAATATGATGTTACACTTCATGAAAGGTACTCATTTTTCGTACAGATACTTATACATGTCTGATCTATAACATCATGACTTTGTATATGATTTGATACACTCCTTGATGCTTTTTTATCATCCTTACTCGAAATGCGCACACCTAATTGTCACACATTACGGTCTCAAAATATATATGTTAACGGATGATATTTGAAGAGTTACATACATATCTAGAAACTAGAATGTCAGAGCTTTCACATGATATGCTTATAGTGGAAAGGCGCTAAGTGAGTGGTGAATGAATGAAGCGTGAAGAGTGATTTGTGCGATTTGCTGTTCCGGTCAAACTTAAGAGACATTCCGGTCAAACTTGAGAGACGTTCCGGTCAAACTTGAGAGACGTTCCAGTCAAACAAACTTGAGAGACGTTCCGGTCAAACTTGCAAACTTAAGAGACATTCCGGTCAAACTTGAGAGACTTTCCGGTCAAACTTGAGAGACTTTCCGGTCAAACAAACTTGAGAGACATTCCGGTCAAACTTGAGAGACGTTCCGGTCAAACTTGAGAGACGTTCCGGTCAAACAAACTTGAGAGACGTTCCGGTCAAACTTGAGAGACGTTCCGGTCAAACTTGAGACTCAATTCATTAGTGGTACCCTTCTGCGTGAGGAAGCTATTCCGAGCAGTCATTCCGTGAGGCGCCAAAGGGGGAAGGCGTGAGGAAAAAAAAAAGCTGACGAACGAACGAAGCGATTACTCGACGTTCTTTTCTCGCGCGAAATCTGAAAAAGAAAACTTAGCAGCACGGGGTTTAACGAAAACCTCACGAAGCGATATATTTTTAGAAAACGGATCTTCTATTTTTTCAGTAGTTACACTTTGTACGATTGAAGCAACCCAGTGCCGTGACTCTTCGACGACGGAAAGCGCAGGAAACCGAGCGCGTGCGGAAGAAGCTTTGATGCTTCGATTTTGATTTGATTCTCCACAAAATCCTTTCCTGTCTTTTTTGCATGAAGAAAAAAACTCTTTGCTTCGTGTCTGCTCGTTGTTCTCACGTGTTCTGCGATCGCGTTTACTCAACGTAACGACTTCTTTGGAACTATTTCTTCCTCTTCTTTTCATCGCGAAAAAGAAATCGCAGAAGCACCATCTTCTATTCCAAACCTTCCACTCGTTGAAGAGTTGAAATTGGAGGAGGAGGATAACCACCAAGAGGAAGAACAAAATTTCGAGTTTGACGAGAAAGAAGTTATTACTTCTCAGAAAAGAGTAAAAAAAGGTGTGCGTGACAATCCATCTCTGTGCGACTTGAAGCATTGGGTTCACGGTGAATTCCAACGGGACAAATTTATACCATCTGGGTACACACGTACGGCAAGTTTGAAGCCTCCGCGCGACTTGAAATTTACGAAACAACTGTATCACTGGTTTTCGAAGGAGGAGGCACAACTTTGCTTGAAAAACAAAAAAGTATGGGTTATTGGCGATAGCTACATGCGCAATTTGTTCATAGGGCTCATGGATGTTTTGAGAGGTAACTTAGCCAAACCGAACGAATCAATAACAAAAGGAGTTCCCGAAAAGTTCGTAAAGATCGATTTTGTACCGAAAGCGTTCGGCGATGTTGGAAGAGCGACTTTGAAATCAAATAATATCACGGCAACGTTCATCGGAGGAAGACGATTTGGCATAGGGTTGTACATGGAAGCAATCAAAGACCTGTTCTCAAACATAAACAATGATGATCTGATTGTTTTTAACGTTCTCATACACGATAATAAAAGGAATCGTGTTCAAAGTAGAGAATTCAAGGGAAACATGAAAAAGGCGGAACAATTTTATCTAGCGAAAATCAGTGAATTCGTAAACTGGTTACAGGCTCAAAAGCCAAACGCAAAAGTCGTTTGGAGCACATCCACATCTTACAAGGAGCACAAAGTTCCATCAGAGTTTCGGCGATATCAGCGAAATACTCGCATATTAGATATAAATAGAAAAGCGCGGGATATCTGGAGCGACGCCGGGTTCCCAGTCCTCGACGTTTTCCACGTTACGCTCGCGTGTCAAGCCAAATCGTGCACTGAGGACGGTTCCCACCACAATCGTATGGTGAACAGAGCGAAAGCGCACGTGCTTTTAAATAATTTTTGCCGCCCAACTTCGTGTGATTTATCATAGCTTTTTAGTGATAATGTTTTGGTGTTACATCATTGGAAAGGAATGGGTATGCGGGAACGACCTTGGTGAAGAGGCGGATATCAACTCGTTGTTTGGTTTCCGCATCGAGTGCGTGGAACGGCTCGGTGAGCGAGTCGGCGAACACGCTTGGCGCAGATTCAACGCACTTTTCGAATGGCTCCAGTTAGCGGCGGTCATCGAAGACAAGGTGTGTTGCATGCACGGCGGCATCGGTCCTTCGATTGAAACCATCGAACAAATCGACCAGCTCGAACGCCCGTGTTCTATGGAATCCGGAGGATTAGAACTCATGGATTTGCTCTGGTCGGATCCGACTGAAAATGATTCCGTGGAAGGCTTGCGACCGAACGCGAGAGGTCCCGGCTTAGTGACGTTCGGCCCGGACCGCGTCAAACAGTTTTGCGAAAATAACGGTTTACAAATGATTGTTCGAGCGCACGAGTGCGTCATGGACGGCTTCGAACGTTTCGCGCAAGGCCAACTGTTGACGTTATTCTCCGCGACGAACTACTGCGGGACGGCAAATAACGCGGGTGCAATTTTAGTTTTAGGACGCGATTTAACGCTCTACCCGAAACTCATCCACCCGTTACCACCGGAAGCGATGGATTCGGCTTCTCCCGGAGAATTCGACCACGCGTTGTGGATGCAAGAAATCAACCGCGAACGTCCGCCGACGCCGCCGAGGAAAAATAGCTTTTTCGGTAACTAACTCGTGATGATGAGAGATGTTGTTGCGATACATAACATTTTTTCTCATTTGCTTATTCTACTTCACAACTACTGCATTGCACTCCCTCTTGAATCTCTCTCCGTGTACGGTACAAAATCTATTCGTAACGTCTCGACGAGTTTATTTCCTAAATCCTCGAAACACGCCAAGGTCCCCATGCCATCTGTTCCATTTATGGTAAACATCATCACGTTCGTGCTTCCTCTTGTTTTGGCCATATTCTTTACACAGCATACGGTTTGAAAGTCCATAAACGGTGTCGTGGCTTATTCTAACTCGAACACGGGGGATATCTGCGCGTATTTCAAAAAACGAAACGTGAGTGATGAGAGAAAATACTCTCTCGTCGTCTCTTTACGTACACAGATCAGGAAAAATTAGAGCACAGATGGTCATGCAGGAAAAAATTCACTAGAAATTCTGTCCTTATTTTACAAGAAATCACAAGAAATCAAAATAAAAGATCTCACACAGACACAGTTCCGTACTTCTGTCCACCACAACTCACATACAAATAGATTCTTTAACTGCGCGCACTTTCTTTCGCTAGAAGAGAGATAGATGCTCAACGCGCCGCCAAGCGCGTTGTCGTCAACGAGGAGGAGAAAAAAGGATGCCAACAAAACTCCTAGTCGACCTCGTCGTTGCGTGATCACACCATCAGGCTCGCTTCCAAGAAAATGTGATAATGCGCATCTCAAAGACTATTTTGTCGCCTCAGCTTTTGCCGGCATCGGAGGTATGGACCGCGGTTTCCAGTTGGCTGGATTTGATGTCGTCGTGCAAATAGAAAACAACAAGTGGTGTCTTGAAGTGTTACGTAAACAGTTCGGGAGTGGTATTGAAAGATATACACCGGGGAATATCCGTGATGTAAAACTGTTACCAGCGGGAGTGAAAGTACTCCTGGTGACGCCCCCGTGCGTCGATTTGAGCTCTATGAATATATTCGGAGTTGGCATTCACGGCAAGGAAACCGGGAAAATACGAGAAGTTTTTAGAATTCTGAAAGCGATGAAGGAGAAAAACCAATTCGTGCCAATTGTCGTCATAGAGAACGTTCTTAACATACTGAGCGCAGAAGCGATGAAGTATTTAATTGAAGCGTTTTCTGAATTGGAGTACGATTATTTAGCGTGGAGAACGGTTGATTTACTCGGCGCGTTGCCTCACAGTAGGAACCGCGTCATTTTAGTCGCCACGCGAGACGGAATAAATCCTCACGATATTTTATTCGAAGCGAATCCCGAGTGCGAGTGCGAAAAAGTGCGAACGGGCGAAGAAAAAATTGGAAACGAATATTCATCTTCTTCAGCTGTGTGTGCGTTGTGTCAAAATTCACCGGACGCGCCGACAATCCAAGAGGTTGCAGTGATCGTGAATACGAGTCAAATAAACCAGGCGCCGAGCTATCATAAAAACCCGTGTCTGTTGACGAGTAGCAAGTCGACGTACGTCTGTGAATTTCGCCGTAAAAATTCAAAGAAACGAAAATTTGAAGATATAAGAGAAGACAACGGAAATAACGACGACGCCGATGATGATGAAGAAGAAAATCCGTTTCCTTGCTATAAACTCGATATCCGTGATATTGAGCGCTTGATGGGATTTCCAGAAGATTATACGAAGATTTCTTCTGCTTCAGAAAATGATTGCAATCGTCGCGTGAAGCTCTTGGCAAACGCAATCGCGGTGAATCATTCAGAGTGGATCGCGCAGTCTTGTTCGAACGCGATCCGTAACAAGGTTGCAATCGACGACGAGGAAGAGAAAAATGGCTGCACACCTTCTTTTCTCTCAACACGAAAGATAATCGAAGAAAAATTCACCGTACTACGACGGAAGAACGGCGAGACGATTCGAATTAGTAGTCTTTACGACAAAGACAAAAATTTTCCGGAGTGCGGGTTAATTGATTTAAAATCCAACTCGGACGAAATTTTAATCCCAAAAGGTGATATTCACAGGTATCCCGTCTTGAACACGTACGTTCCATTGCCTATATTTTTAAAATACAAAAACACTCAAATTGGAGACAAAAACAAAAGGGTTCGTTTGTTCAAGTACGCGGAACGTTTGCTTCAACACTGGGCCGCGCTTGAATATTGGATACTCGTCGCTTTGGTACGAGACGATGCACAGCGCAGAGGGCTTCTCCGACGATTTGGTGATAAAGTCGTTTTGAATGATGACAATATTGATATCTTAGAAGTTGCTGATTTCGAAGAATCGGTGGCGTCGTTTTGCGAGAAAAAAGGCGATGTAAAATTTATTTCTGGAAACGAAAAGTATGCTGCTGACTTTTTAGACGTCGACGCGCTCGCGAATAAAATTAGGGAAAAGAATACAATCGCGAGCGACGCACTGCGTGGTGGGAAATTAGTTCTCGTGGATGGAAACGTGGCGGAAAAAAATAAAGGTAACGACCTATGTGCGCGTTGGCCGGCGGTTGCACTCACCTTTCCAGAGGACGCCGAGACGATTAAAGCGACGATGAAAAAATTCGGCCGCTTTGGTAAAACGTTTTCCAGCATCGTATCGACGCGTGAAGTTTTTGTTTGCTATTTCAACAGAAATAAACGTCGATGCGAGTGGGTTCACGAAAATAAAGTGTCTGATATCTTCAGCGAAGTGATCGAGGACGAGCTTGAGACGAAGAAGAGGAGAAGAGAGACTTTTGGTGAAGATGAAGAAAGAAAAAAAGCTTTCGAGGGTGCCAATCTTTGTCGGCGAGAAATGGAAAAAATAATAAAAAATGGAAAGAATACTCGCGACGATGCCGATGATACTGAAGACGGTGACGATAATAATAATAATAATAATAATAAAAACAAAAACGACACGCTTTGTAACTCGATGAAAGGTGACGGTGCAGTTGGCATGCGCGTTGACGTGTTTTGGCCAAAGGAAAAGAAGTATTATCGGGGCATCGTGAATTCGTTTGACGCAGACTCTCAGAGGCACCACGTAATTTACGACGACGGTGACGAGGAAAAAGCTTTGAATTTTGAAAAAGAAAAAATCCTCCTACCTCTTTGGGGCATATCGAAAAAAATAAAGTTAGACAGACGCGGAGGATATAAAAGAGCTCACCCTAATTGAGCACGACGAATTACAGTTTACGATTACGAGGTATTTTTTATTATTAGTCTAAGGCGTTTTTTTTAAATTTGTTTCTAATCTATAGTTTCGAAAGCCTCTCGTTCTTCTTCTTCTTCAAAGCTAGTTCCTTCTTTGTATTTGACGTGGATATGGTTGGATCAAACACCTTCCCGATATCCTCCGGAGCAATTCCTTCGTAAATGTTTGGATCTTCTGCCCATCTCTTCAGCTCTAACCAATGCCTATTCTGTAGCGTCCACTTGATAGACTTCGTTAAAGACGCCTCAAATCCATATGGAGGTACCCAACCCATTTTTGCCATTTTAGCCCCTGATAAACCGTAGCGCAAATCGTGACCGGGGCGATCGGCATGATGATTAACCATCTCATAAATCAATGGTTTCTGACAGACTTTTGCGATAAACGTCGCCAACTCTAAATTATCGACTTCTTTTTCACCAGTAATGTTATATTTCTCTCCTACGGAGCCTTTTTCCAGCAAAAATCCAACAGCCGCGGCGATATTTCTCGCGTGGATATAAAATCGAGTTCCTGCGCGTCGCTTGTCAGGATAACTGTGAACGTGTACCGTTTCTCCAGCTAATATTTTGCGGATGCACTTTGGTATAAATTTTTCAGGATGTTGTCTTTCACCGAACGCGTTCATGACGTTGACAATCATGAGAGGAATTTTGTACGTATTTTCGTATGAAATGCAAATATTCTCGGCGGCTGATTTTGAGGCCGAATATGGATTTGTTGGTTTATGACGGTCCCACTCGTCAAAAACTGTCGTACCCAATGCCGGGCCGTAAACCTCATCCGTGCTGAAATAAAAAAATCTCTTCAAATCGCAGCCACTTTTGAGTAAATTTCTCGTATATTCGAGAATTGAAATCGTGCTCTCCACGTTGTTGCGAATAAAAGGAACGGGATCTTTGATGGAATTATCGACGTGTGTTTCAGCCGCCATGTGCACGATAAACTCAATTCGATTCCCGAGCTCGTAAACAACACCTTCGGGGATTCCATTCACAAGGTCTGTCGCAAAAACTTGCACGCGGTCAATCACGCCGGTATCTCTCAAGCGGTCGTACCCGAGAGAGGCGTAAGATAACTTGTCGATAACCACGAGATCGCAATCCGTCGTTCGCGAAAAGTGCTCAACGACGTGATGACCAATAAAACCGCAACCGCCGGTGATGATGATTTTTCGGCGAGAAACGTGTCTCGGTATAGAAACTTTGTTGGTTGTCTCCTCTCCATACGAAATCGTCCATTTTCGTGAGATGGAAATGGAGTTTTTTTTATCGTGATGACGAAAAAAAAATTGAATGGAATGCGCGATGTATTCTCTTTGGTCGTTGGTCACCCACCAACCGCATGGGATAGCGACAAGCTTTCTTTCAACATCATCCAAGTTTGGGAGATGAGCTCGAAAAGGCGCGCACACCGAGTGCGTATCATTTCGCGCGTGCACTTGAGAAACAAAGACGCCTTTATTTTTCATATACTCCATGAAATCCGGTTTATTATTTTCAACGAATAACGAATACACCCAATACGAAGACAACGCGCCGTTTGGTGGATAAATCAGTCTAATTCCGTTTGTATTTCTCAAATTCTCATCGTAAAAGCGTGCATTTGCTCTGTGCCTTGCCAAATTTTTACCCAGAAATGGAAAATTTGCCAATCCCAGGCTCGCGTTCCAGTCGTTCATGTGAAATTTAAAGCCGTATTCTTTGACGTCGGATTCGAGACGGAAATCTTTATTCTTATGATTGTTTCTTTTTTTCCTGTCGATACCATACCAGCGTAAAAGTTTAGCTCTTTCGTAAAGTTCTTCGCTTGGGAGACAAAGCAATCCACCGTCTGAGGTTGTTATGTGCTTGATGGCTTGTAAGGAAAACGTCACGATGTTGCCTCTATCTAAAGCGCCAATTTTAATACCATGATACTCAGCGCCCATGGCGTGCGCCGCGTCTTCAATCACCGCAGGTCGAAATCCGAATATACTTTCGGCATAGTCTTGTACCTTTCTGACTCCGTCCAAGTCCGCAGGTGTCCCGCCCCAGTGGACGAAAACGATAACTTTTGTATTCTTCGTAATTTTTCTTTGTAAGTCTCTCACATCCATATTGCCCGTTGCTGGATCCACATCGACCCACTTAATCTTGAACCCGTTTGCTAAAATAGGAAAGTTTGTGGCTGTGCATGTCAATGCGGTGCTTAAAATTTCATCGCCTTTCTGTAACCCCGGCCAATTTGGTCCAGCTGGTTTTTTCAATAAGTGTAAAGCGAGATGATGCGCGGAAGTGGCTGAATTCAAAGCGAGAGTGTACGGGTTTTCCAAGTAATCCTTAAACTTCCTTTCAAATGCATCCACTTTAGGTCCTTGCGTGATGTATCCAGAGTGTAACGTTTTCCCCGTGATTTCAGTCGCGTTTGGAGCGATGAAAACTCGAAATAAGGGAATCTCATTTTTTGCAGAGTGTTGTTGTTCAATCATCATTTTCTTCTCTTTCCTTTTTAACAAAGATTAAACAGCGGCAAGGTGTAGACATTCGTAAGCTGCGACCCTCATTAGCACGCATCTTGTACCGATACTCATCATTCGCTCTTCTTTTTTTTTCTTTGCAAAGAACTATATCTGCGCAGAGCCCTCCTTTTTATGTTGAGCTGTGTGTGAGAGATTTGTTTGGGTTTGCGAGAACGACGAAACTCGTGCGTCGTCGGTGTGTGTGAGTGTGAGCAGAAGAATTTTTTCTTTTTTGTTCTTGGACGCGTGAGTTCAGTCTGTCCCCGTGTTCTTGAACGAAAGCGCCAGAGCGTCGCACCAAAAAGCGTCAAAAGAGCAACGAGTCAAAATAAAATAAAAAACCATCATCAAACTCTCATCAGGTAAATCCGAAAAGGTGAAAAGCAACTACGTGCGTTCTACGCAAGAAGGGCTGTTGATTTATTCACGATGCGTGCCAAGATTGTATCGCCTTGATCCTTACACGAATAATATATTATACGAAAGGCGTTTGATTGGGATGAAGTAAAAAGGTGTAAATCGGAAAACTGATGACACAGTATTTGTGCTAATAATCAAATGACTGAAAAAATATTACAGCAGTAGTTGCGCTACTTTATAAGTAAAAGAAAGGCGATTGATTCACTTCACTCATGCGTCTCCGGGAAGATGTCTGAACAACCAGCGGCAGCGGGAAAAGTCCACAACGGGTTCGGAGGACGACGAAAATTTAAAAAATGGAAGTCGCCTTTTTGTGTGCTTTTACTGTGTATGTCATCTGTTGTTGTGATATATTTTTATGCTATTTCCCGCTCTGGTAAGAAACAAAGTAGTGCCATGGTATTTACAATTTATCAGAGTGAATATGTGAGTCGAGCTAATATAAATCACTGGATGCTCGCTGTGAGTCAAATAAATGAAATTATTGCGCATAATTTACAAGGCGAAGCAGACGTTAACGCGCGAACGCTACAGAATAGAGTTGCCATCATACGACTTCAAGTTTCGAAAGAGAAGCAAAATTTCCTCAAACTGAGAAATAAAGTATTTTTTATACAAATGCGGTTAAAGCAAAGTCCTTATGTCCGCCTCACTCTTAGCGCGTTGTCAAAGCTGTATGACTGTAGTTTTTACTTTGAAAACGAACACAGGTATGGTTCTAGCACGAAGTCTTCAACTGAGATTGTCGTAAATCATGAGATCTTCGCAGACGGCGGTTTTGAAAAAAGCTATTCCAAGATGTATAATTTGAGTGAAAAAATTCTGGAAATTTGTAATTGTTCATTGAGAGAGGAGGAAGTGATTGATTTCTCTAAAACTGTTTTAGTCTATAACAGAAAAAAAACGAGGAGAATTATAGATGCAGATATTGAAAGATTGGAGAATCTGCTGACTCGTGAAAAATCAGGAACAAAAAAAAACGATTCTTTATTGAAAAATTTAAAAAGATATAAAGTTCAAAACAAGTTTATCGATGATCAAAACGCATGCGTACAGTTTTGCACGGTGTCTAGACCTTACAAGGCGATAATTTCTCCGCACGGGGCGCAATTTGCGACATTTTTTGCAACTTATCCAGAAACGTTGATAATTGAAGTCATTCCTGGATTTTACAACACTCGAGGATTTAACAATTACATCAGGCATTCTATTCGTAATCGATGGTTTTTAGTTCATGTTGGAGAAAGTGCTGTGATAGAATGTAACTCTAATATCGTTGAGGATTGCTACGAAAAATTTATCACAAAAACGAATTCTATTGGTTGTTTTAGTCGAAAATGTCAACACGAGACTAAAAATGTTCGTCAGTTACGTTTAAGTGATCGCGTCCTGTACAATATTAGTAGTGTTATGCTTTCTTCATGATGTAAATGAAGGATCATTTGATTTTAAACGATTCAATATACGCAGAAAGGCAGTATCCCCTGGAGCTCCTCCCGCCCCAGTCCGACTTCCAGGGCAAAATTTTTTTGAGGAAAAATTTTCACCCTTTCAGTGGACTCTTTCAGTGGACTGGACCGGTGGGGATAATGGTGAAAACGGTGTCGTGGCTGTTAGGGTTGTGACTCTTACAAATGGGCACCACTGAAAGGGTGAAAATTTTTCCTCAAAAAAATTTTGCCTGGAAGTCGGACTGGGGCGGGAGGAGCTCCAGGGGATAAACTCATATTTTCACTCTATGATAAGTTAGTAATAACTCAGAAACTCTCAAACTCACAAGTCATCTGTTGCAAGGAAGCACAACTTTCTTTATCCTCATATTATTTACAGAGGAACTTAGTCAGAGTCCTGGTTCTAAATTAGAAGAAACCATTACCTCTGTATAATCTCCTGATAAATTCTTTATTGTGTTCTTAAAAAGTGTTCTTAAAAAATGGTGCATATCCGTAAAAATGCTATTACTTGGCTAGCAGCAGCTTATATATACATATAATAAACTCTATTTTGTAAAACTGATGATTTTGCTAAATGACTTGTACTACCTCTAGAGATTTCCGACTCCTAAAGAAGCGAACGAGCCCGGCGAGCGTGAAGAATGCGCCCATAATCACCGCCGCGTATACGACAGAGTCCTGGAGCCTTTTCGCTTCAGTTGTCCTTTTTTCTTCGCCGCCGGGAAGAAGCAAGCCTCGCGGCGAAAACGTTCTGTTAAATATCTCGTCAATATTAGTCACCCCACCTTGTTTCAACGGCGACAGGTAATCCAGAGTTGTTCCGACGGTTGCCCCGCTATATACGTCGGAAACGGTTGCGCAATTTTTTATATTATCGCGACACCAAGACGTTAATGTACTAAGAACCGGGGCACACTTCGTGTGTTCGTAGTACTTTTTCTCTCGATCGAGCATTAAAGAAACCGACGAAAACGACGATGCGTCTTTGAATATTTCTGTAACATTCACGTGCATCCAAGTAGGCACACTTTGCATTTCTCTGAGATTATCTACAAATGCTTCACACATTTCAGCGCTACCAATTGATAACGAAGTGCACGCGCCAGAAGCCTTCAGTACTATGAGAGCCTCATCTCTAGAGTTGGACAGCAACAAAGATTCAACAGAAAACACTGGGACGTTTAAACTCTTCGCTACTGTTATGAGATGCCAGAAATGGAAGAAATGGCCCAAGCACTCTTGTATCCCTCTAATACCTGTTGTACCGGCAAAGATATGGTGATCTCGTTGTTTCACGATGGCGTCGAACACATATTTTGCGTAATTTCGAAGTCTGAGAAGATCTGCGCCCGCGGGAAGCATTCGTACACTTTCAGGTGTAGTAGATATCAACGATCGCCAAAAAGCAAAATGAATCCCCCCTCCCCCTCGATCCCTTGATGCGGGAAACGTATGTTCTGGTTTACGGAAAACGACGAACAAAGGATGCCCCCTTTTATACAAAGTCTTCAAATGCCATCCGTTCAAGTGTACATCTTTTGTAAATTTCCAACTTCCTAGATTTTGTGCTTCGTGGAACACGTTTTCTAAATCAGAGGACGAGCACGTATTCCACATTTCTGCTTTTTGCCTGTAGAGAGATGGGATACATTTAGCGTACAACTCCGCTCGATGATTACTCGTTTGGCACGCTGGATTTATGAGTTCCTTTGGACAAATCTTTTTTATGCCTACTTCAAACGTCTCGTTTAACGCTTTTCGCATCGCGCCAGAAACTAACGTTGAGCTTTGTTCGGGACCGGTGAGCATAATGAGAGGACGCCACTTGTTAAACATCCGCTGCCGTCTTCTGGGCATCAAATCATCATTTATATGGAGGCGCGAAAAATGCAATGCCAGCGAATCATTATTGTCTTCTGGAAGTTCAAAAAAAGTTTGGAAGAGCTTCGTCTCGCTCGTCTCGTTGTACCAACCAAGTGATATGTTAAGCAATTTAGAAGTTGGGATACATTCTCTCACCGATTGCTCATAATCTTCCAAATGTGCCAACCAAATCGATGACATCAGTGAGGTCAGATTATTCTTCTGAACTTCATCGCCTTTCTCTCCGCAAATTTTCGAGTGTTCATCACAAAACGTTTGAAAATACGAACCCCACGATAGTTCTCGCAACGCCTTATTATTCGCATTTAGACAGTTAATCGGCGCGTCCCATTTACAATGCATGCGAAGCACGGAATCAAAATGCTCCATCCTATCGCGGTGTATGTAAAGAAATCGTGCCTCAGGGTACTCCACGAGCAATCGGCACGGCATCCCTGGCATAAAAAATGGTACGTCCGTGAAAAATGTCAAGCCTTTTCTCTCGATGGCTTCATCGAGAGCACTTTCAAATCGCGCCTTCTTACGCGTCGTCGTCGTCGTCGTTGGATGATAATTTTGAGTAATCCCCTCAACGAACGATTCCACATCTTCCACTCGGGCTTCCCCGAACAGGTTATGTGCGCATCGCTGGTGCAGATATTTATTGAAAAGCAAGCACATGCTTCTCGTACTCGTTCGTCCTGGTGAAATCATAAACGTCAAGATTTTTTTTGGTCGTCCGGTATTTGTTGTTGACGAAGACGCGAGCAAATTCTTGTCTGCGAAAGCAGTCGCGATGAGAGAAAGTGATGTCATCAACGTCGTCGTCATCATCGCTAAATCCTTCCTCTGTATCTCTATAAGAATTGGTTTCGTGCTGTGAGCGTCAATAATGGCGTCTTTCGGACGAAAGAAAGACAAGCCTCAAACGAAAAATTAAAAGCATTTTCTAATAGAAGAAAATTCAACGGCGACATTACAAATTGGGACACGTGCAAACTATACTAAGGTCCGCAACTTCGGGAACTTTTTGCGACTTCGGGAAAAACGACGACGAAAAAAATCGGTTTCTATTTCTTTACTTACGAGTACTGCCGAAGGCGACTTCCGTTGATTAAGATGATTAATGAAGTAGATGAAGTATTGATACTCCTTTTTCCCGCGTTTAGGTACGAGTACTTGTTTTGAAGTGTGGTAGTACGCGCTTGAAAAGTGAGTTGTGGTGTAAGTTGTTTCGTTACAAAGACAGAAGTACTAATTTTCTAATTTTTCCTGATCTGTCCTCTATTACATATCCCCTGTGACGCCCAGTTCAAGAAAATCCTCCCCCCTCTTTTTTCAATAAAAATAAATTTTTCAAAAATTCGCCTTAGAACTGGGTGTTCAAACCGTCAGCAATTTTATTCAAACCGTAGCAGTTTTGTGATGGGGTATGAGTGCGCGCAGAGGAGCGCGCGAGAATGGATACGAACGGTCCTATTCTATGGAGAATAGTTTGTAGAGTCTGTAGATGGTCTTTTTTCTGGCGAATTATTGAAAAATTTATTTTATTGAAAAAAGAGGTGAGCCTTTGAACTGGGGGTCCCAGGGGATAACCATATATATTTTTTCGAGAGAATTCCCTCTCATCTCTCTCGTTTCACTTTTTTATTTACTTTTTGATGAAACAAAAAACACAACACACAATCACAAACGACAACAACAACGACAACAAAGTGAAGATATTTAGTCGGGTAAAGATTTCATTTTGTCGAAAAGACACACACACGACGAAAAGAATATGAGGACGGTGAACCAAAACTATGGCGAGAAAAATGTTTCAAGTGTAGCTTAGTTTGCTAGTTCGTTTACTACTTTGTTCGATCAGTAGTATCATACTATAGTACGTGTGATTATTTATATATAAATAAAAAATGTCTGTGCTCTACATCACAACGTTCAACAGCACGTGGACTTTGACTAGATCATCTCTGGTTCTTATTTAAAAGAGCGCGCAAGGCACTCATTTCAGCCTCAATATCTTTGCTCTCTTCGATTTGTTTCTCCCTGTGACGGCGATTTGATGACTTCGACCCATGTTGAGAAAACAACTTTTGGAATTTGAGCGCTTGCTGGATTTTCAAGCCTTTCGATTTGGAACGCAGAAGCGCTCGAGTTGCAACATATACCGATTTTTGAGGAGCACTTCTGTACCTTTTCACCTTTTCAATGGCCTCCTTCCATTTTTTCTCGTATGCATTTTCTGCTTCTCTTCGCATGGCTTGAAGTTCTCTCACCTTGGACTTAATGTTATGTTTATCGAAAGTTTCCTTCGTTACATCTTGTAACGCAATTTCAATATCCTCGGCGAGTTCTTTGATTCCCTTCCATCGAGTACCATTGGTTTCGGAACGTTTTGCCAATATTTCTTGATGGTGAGCATATAATTTCATTTCATCACGCGATTCATGTACCAATTTTTGAAATTGACGAAATATGTTTAACTTCATGCGTTGGATTATTTCTTTGTTTCGATTCAAATCTCTGTGAATGTCTTCCACTTTAGGTTTATTCTTTATAAGAGACGTGGCTATAAGTGTCGGTTCATACCTTCGCATATCAGAACTGGTTGAAAGCAGTTGCTCCTCAGGTGTAAATTGTTTCTCGACCACGTGAGTGACAATTGCAAGATTTGTTTCAAAATCACCCTCTTCTAAATTCTCGTCCAAACCGACTGAGACATCACAGGGGTCCTCCTCTTTCATAGTAACCCCTTCACTACGTTGAATCTCCAACGCTTCATTCAATAAATCAATCACGTCTTCAAATTTTGGCCATTTTTTTTTAAGCGTCATTACTTTATATTCTGTGAGCTTCGTGAAATCGTTTCCCAGCGTATCTCCGGTGGCTTCGATGTCATGTAAAATTTCTTTCTCCTCTCCAAAAGCATCACCCATAATTGCTAAGAAGAACTCAAATAATATCCATTGGAAAATTATCGGAATCAAGCCGCAGTAGAAAACCAAGAAGAATGTATCCATTGCATTTCCAGCTTGTCCCTCTGGATCAAACTCCGTAAAAGACGTCGCTCCAATGAGCAAAAGAAACAACAGTTCAAAAGCCCGAGGCACAGAAGATACACACTCAATCGATGCTCCAAACATGGCATTTCCCAAGGTCGCCGCCATTGCAAGAAGCACAAAATAAATCATCAGAAAGTGAGCCACATCTACGCTCGCTCGCTCTAACACTTTCGTGATGATGGCTAAGCGAGGCTGAAATTTCAATAGTAAAAGAAATCGAATAAAGAGCAATATTAGAACAATGCCAGTGATTGTGTTGTACGTAACGCTCAGCGTTGTCATAATATCAAGGTCCTGATACATTTCGAGTAAAGATACGTATCCACTGTCGTCCTCTGGTAACTCCCAGCCATATCTAGGAGTTTCAGGAACTCGATATGTCCCATTTACTACTCCCCCATTCGAAATTTCGTTTCCGGTTTGATCTTTAAAAGGCAACAAGAAATTAGAGTTGGGCTCGCCTACAGAGTTATACACATCGTAACGTAGCGAAGGTGAGAATCTGTACGCATACACACCTTGATGAATCCACCATACGACGAACGCACTCAATTGAAGCAAGAGAATTATTACTTCGATGATTATCGAGGTCGTAGAAACAACTTTTTTGGGTTGCATAGTTCGCATGACTGCGACATCTTCCGAGCGCCTTAGTATCAGAGAATCTGCCAATGCAGCGCGCGCAGTGTAAATAATCCAACACAACACGACAATTTCCACGGCAAGTAGAAGGGAGCCCGCTATGCCTTCGTACGCCCCCATGATAAGGACGCGCGACTTGGGTTTCACTTCCACGCTGCCGCCTTTCGAATATTCGAACTGAACTTCCGTATTTGTGAATCTTACTAACAATGGATTGAATGTTGCAAATTTCACAACTATAGACTTGGTCGAAGTATCGATGAAGTTCCCTTCCCGCATGTACGAAACTATCCGATTCGCTTGCTTATTACTCGACATTATATCGATGAATACAGAGAAGCCATTCCGGCCCTGTTCCAAATCAGAAGAGCGAACGCTGAAACCATTCGGGACACCTGAAAGTGGAAGCTCCGAAATGTTGTAATATTTTCCAATATTGTTCTCCAAGTCCACACCACCGAAAAGGCTGGAAGACCTAGAGAAGACGGGATCAACTCCGAATGGATCCACGCTCGGTTGATTGAAGTCTCGGCAAGTGGCAGTCAAAGTCGGGAATCGATTTGAGCACTGAGACCCATACATTAGTTTGGTGCGATGCTGCGTAATCAAAACACCCCCAATCAAAGTATTTTTCCCAAGAACTTTTCTCTCTGGAACGTACGTAACTTTCTTCTCAACTTCATTCTTGACCTTATACTCAACATCGTAGCCGAAATAGAACTTGCCAGAATTACCCGTCGTCATAATGTCACCATCTACAACACCATTAACGGAGTCTGTTTTGGAGTATTTCAAATCTCTCAAGAGTCGTCTAGCTTTCACTTTCTGGTCTTTGGCGCTTGCACAGCCGCCGTAGGCCATAACATATTCCGGCGCACATCCCGTCGGCACGTCAGGTGGATAGGGCGGTGGAGAAGGAGGAGGGGGTGGTGGAGGCGATGCAGGAAAATCGTCTGGTATGTAGGTGAATACGTTCGTTGCGTTGAAAAAAACGAGAAGTTCGCCTTTATCGCGCTTTGGACATGCACAAGAATTAATATTTTCGCATGCGGTTTCAGAGCCAGTCCCGTCTTCTCCAGAATCCATCGCATTCAATGTCTCAAGAGTGGATTCAAGTGCATTCTTCAACTCCACAGCTCTTTCTTGAAGCGTAATCAACACGTCGTTATTTGAAGTTTGCGCGCTAACAGTGGCATTAAGTAATTGAAAAGCTTCACTCGCGTACGCCGTCAACTCTGCATGTTCTTCTAAACTCGCCTCCATTGAAGTATCCCAGGCCTTTTCATTGAATGTCAAGTAACCTTCAAAATCGATATCATTGTTGATATTCGTTTGTACGCGTCTAACTGAAGTGCTTAGCGCGGAAAGGCGAGCTGAGATGCTTTCAACCGTCGCCTTCACGGCAGTCAGTTTGGAAGCTTCCAAATCAACAGTCTTTGTCACGGCAACTTTCGTCGTCATCACTTCTGGCGATACCAGTACGGACTCGACGCCAGCCGCGCTCGAAGCTGCCTCTAAAGACGATCCTAGCGTCCCACTAGAAGCCGCCGCAGTTAGGGATGCTTCGATCGAGGATAATGCGCCGTCAATTGCAGAAGCATCACTTTCTTCTTCCAACAAGATGCGGCGACGTTTCTTTGCAGTACTGGACGAAGACACCTTCCCAGTTGAAATGTAAATCTCACAGGTGATATAAATAGACCACGTACTTTTTGACGAGCGTGTTACCGCCGTGTAAACTACTGATACATCCGACGCTTCAAAAGATCCCGCGCCAGATGAAACAAGCGTTTGAGCGAGACCGGCTTCAATCGCCGCTCGCGCATTGCTTCCATCTTTCAAATAGTTGCCGGCGGCGACGTTCGCGGAATCTAAACTATAGTACGGTCCAACAGTAATTGTAGTATTCATCTTACCCAATTCTACAATCTCTACGATGATCTCCACGCTCGCCTCATTTAAATTAGAATCAGAAGCGGTGTAAGTGTACGAATACGTTCCAGGTATGCAGGAGCCTCGAGTGACGTCGCTTATGCCGCACGCTCCAGTGCTCAAATCAACATTCTGTGATGATAAAATCGAACTCGACACGTCTCCGTCTTCCTCATCAATTGCATACATCAAACAGTTCGAGCGATCCGAGTCCGACGCGCAGGCATTCAAAAAGATTGTGTCGTCCGTCTCACCATATGTGACTTCGTAAGAAACATTTCCCACGACATGAATGACTGGTGGCGCCGTATCTTCTTGAACAACTGACTCGGATAACTTGAGAAGCACGTCGCATTCCAACTCGCTGCACTGCCGCACGCCATTGACGATACAGAGATTCTGGCCCGTACCACACGGCTCGCTGATAACAATTGTGCGTTTCACAGAGACTTGCCTCGGAAATTGAACATTTTGCTCTAAAACAATAAATTCCATATCAAACGTAGTACCCGGTTTCGCGTTCACATTGATTGGGCAACCAATAACTCCTTTATTCTTAAAGTAATGGGCCGGGCAGGCAGGAATAAAGCCTAAGCAGTCAGGAGGCGGACAGGACAGAGCAAATTCTGAAATATCAATTGGATCTGCATAACCATCTTGGGGTTGCGTTACCAAAATCCCAGGTTCGCAAGGGACTTCAGCTGTTGGAATCTGATCGGCATCGCATTTATAGTACGGAGAGTATTGCTTGATCTGTATTACTTCACCATATCCTTCATACGTTTTCAAGGTGGCGACTGGAAGATCTGCTACTTCATCTTCCTCAATGTCGAAAAAACTTTCCAGCTCAACATCCTCTAAGCAAACTCCATCTACAGAACAGGGTGTATTTTTGCACGCCACTTCTCCCGGCGGACACGATGGAATAACGACCAGCTTCCTCGTGACAGTCTCGGATTGTAAACCGGAAGAATCCATCGCATAGAATGTGATATCGTACGTATCTGCAACATGAGTATCAATACTGCACCCAGATACTCCTCTTGTGGCGAAGGTCAAACCGCACGCAAATATTTGATCCGGGTTATTTGCGACTGAGATTGGACCGTCGAACTCACCTACTGCTCTCGCTCCATCATCGCAAGATTCTCCTGCAAGCTTTAGATCACCGCAAACTTTGTACACTTCGTATTGGTTGATCTCGATTCTTTTTGGACCAAGAAGCGTGATATTTGGTGGTTCAGGTGCTTTCACAATGAATGCTTCTTCGATCACGATATCTAAACCACAAATGCCATTTCGACTACAACTAACGGTCCCAGAAGCGTCCTTCGAGCAAGCAATTTCTTCAGTTACTCCATCTTCATGAAGCGTTCCCCTACACGGGTTCAAAACAAACACCTGTCGACGCACCTCCGTCGCACTCTTCGGGTTGAACGCATCTAAATCATCTACGCTGTACTTAATAGTAAATGGACGCGAAACCAGCACGTCGGTATTCACAAGACCTTTACCCGCGCTTCGGACCGACGTCGTGAGATTGCCGTCTTCGTTATCCCATGCTAATACTCCTGGATCAACGTACACATCGAATTGTTCAACGTACGTGCGCATGATTAGAATAGTTTCCAGTTCGCCATTCGCGTTGGTTTGCTCAACTTTGCCAAGTTCAGAAGTATAAGTGCCTTCCAAAAGTGTCAATACTGGTTTATACATGTTCTCCGGCGGCACGTACTCTTCGGCGACAAACTTTTCTTCAACAACATCAGCATCATCCGTAGGTGGAATACAATACGCGACTTTGGTATTTGGATCGACCCAGGCGCACACCATTGGTTCCAATTCTGTGCACAACCTTGAAAATTCAGGGCAAGGAGAATTGACTTGAACAGTTCTCTGGACGGTAGCTTTATTTCCGAGCACATCAGAGCACTCGAACGTAATGACGTAGGGTTCTACGGATGGAAGATCCGTATTAATACTCTCAATGCCGGTCACTGTAATCACTGAGATGGTGCCATCTGTGCCGTCTGAGCATGTTACCCCGGAATCTTTGTATGTTTCGAGCTGCTCCAAGTTCACATGCTTCGAACCAATGAGGGTAATAACTGGAGGAATATCATCAGGTGGAGGTGAGGGACTCGGTGGTGGCGGTAGTGGAGGCGGAATGATGAGAGGTGGAGGCGATGGTAGCGGCGGTGGTGCTGGTAAAGGTGGGTATTCCTCGAAGACTTTCAGAGGTGGAAGAGGCGGTGGACTAGGAGCAAACGGTGGGGGCATGTTCCTCGGCGGCGGAGATAAAATGGCCGGCGGTGGCGATGCAAGAACAGTCTCTTTAACTTGGTACACACGCACTGCAGTTAAACCAGAATCAGACATCGAACCTTTCAATGTATTTAGCAAGGCAATGTCATTGTATTTGAACATGTTTATAATTGTTTGAGTAACACTTCCAAACATAAGACTTGTTACAGCAGTGACTTCACAGAAGAGGCTCGTTGAAGACGCAGCTCTTATTTCTGTCACTCGAATATTATCTTTACTGATGCCAAATTTTTCAGAAATGACTTCAATCAAAGATCGTCGGATAACTTGGCGTCGAGTGCTCCCATCAGCTGACAATCCACGTTCGTCGATCTCCAGTAATTTCACATCCGAAATTTCAAAGATCATACTGTAAATGACAGAGTTGTCTCCAGCTGGCACGAGGGGAGGTGGGTTCGGCGGTGGGGAAGGGGGGGGTGACGGAAGAGGAGGAGGGGGAGGAGGAAAGGGAGGAGGGGGAGGAGGGGGAGGAGGAAAGGGAGGAGTGGGAGAAGGGGGAGGAGGAAAGGGAGGAGGAGGAGGACTTGGTATTCGTAGGACAAATGTTGACACTTTGACTTCGGTGACAGTCAAAGCGGTTTGTGCATTAAGTGCTGCAATCAGGGGGGCCAAGTCTTCGTCCACAAGTTTTTCTTGAAAAGTTGCTAAGTCTTCCTCTGGAATCGATTCAATATTCAATTGAAAGTCGACTTTGACAGCATTTGTCTCGGCTCTTAATCTTCGTCGATAGCCGTAATTCATGGGAGGTGTCCCATACTGTGGGTACTCATAATCACCGCTGGGAGGAGTTCCGTAACCATTCCAAGGAGGATAGTCGTAATTCATGGGAGGTGTCCCATACTGTGGGTATTCATAATCACCACTGGGAGGAGTTCCGTAACCATTCCAAGGAGGATAGTCGTAATTCATGGGAGGTGTCCCATACTGTGGGTATTCATAATCACCGCTGGGAGGAGTTCCGTAACCATTCCAAGGAGGATAGTCGTAATTCATGGGAGGTGTCCCATACTGTGGGAAATCGGTCGGCGGAGTTTCATCCTTATTCGAAGTGCCACTGAAGACGACGTCAGAAACATCTACAATAGTTAGCCGATCAACTTCGACACCTACATAAAAGGCCAAGCCTGCAAGAAAAGCGGCCTTTTCCTCATCCAAGAACGTTGCCACAGAATAGCCCAAAAGTTCTATCGAGAGTTCAACCTCCATAGAATTCCAAGGAGGATACCCATAATGCGGGTAATCGTACGGCGGAGCAGCTCCATTTTCATAATCACCGCTGGGAGGAGTTCCGTAACCATTCCAAGGAGGATAGCCATAATGCGGGTAATCGTACGGCGGAGCAGCTCCATTTTCATAATCATCGCTGGGAGGAGTTCCGTAACCATTCCAAGGAGGATAGCCATAATGCGGGTAATCGTACGGTGGAGCAGCTCCATTTTCATAATCACCGCTGGGAGGAGTTCCAGAACCATGCAGGTGCACTTTGACTTCGGTGACAGTCAAAGCGGTTTGTGCATTAAGTGCTGCAATCAGGGGGGCCAAGTCTTCGTCCACGAGTTTTTCTTCAAAAGTTGCTAAGTCTTCCTCTGGAATCGATTCAATATTCAATTGAAAGTCGACTTTGACAGCATTTGTCTCGGCTCTTAATCTTCGTCGATAGCCGTAATTCGTGGGAGGTGTCCCATACTGTGGGTATTCATAATCACCGCTGGGAGGAGTTCCGTAACCATTCCAAGGAGGATAGTCGTAATTCATGGGAGGTGTCCCATACTGTGGGTACTCATAATCACCGCTGGGAGGAGTTCCGTAACCATTCCAAGGAGGATAGTCGTAATTCATGGGAGGTGTCCCATACTGTGGGTATTCATAATCACCACTGGGAGGAGTTCCGTAACCATTCCAAGGAGGATAGTCGTAATTCATGGGAGGTGTCCCATACTGTGGGTATTCATAATCACCGCTGGGAGGAGTTCCGTAACCATTCCAAGGAGGATAGTCGTAATTCGTGGGAGGTGTCCCATACTGTGGGTATTCATAATCACCGCTGGGAGGAGTTCCGTAATCATTCCAAGGAGGATAGTCGTAATTCGTGGGAGGTGTCCCATACTGTGGGTAATCGGTCGGCGGAGTTTCATCCTTATTCGAAGTGCCACTGAAGACGACGTCAGAAACATCTACAATAGTTAGCCGATCAACTTCGACACCTACATAAAAGGCCAAGCCTGCAAGAAAAGCGGCCTTTTCCTCATCCAAGAACGTTGCCACAGAATAGCCCAAAAGTTCTATCGAGAGTTCAACCTCCATAGAATTCCAAGGAGGATAGCCATAATGCGGGTAATCGTACGGCGGAGCAGCTCCATTTTCATAATCACTGCTGGGAGGAGTTCCGTAACCATTCCAAGGAGGATAGTCGTAATTCGTGGGAGGTGTCCCATACTGTGGGTATTCATAATCATCGCTGGGAGGAGTTCCGTAACCATTCCAAGGAGGATAGTCGTAATTTATGGGAGGTGTCCCATACTGTGGGAAATCGGTCGGCGGAGCTACATAAGTACCAATAGGAGGATAGTTGTAATTCGTGGGAGGTGTCCCATACTGTGGGTAATCGGTCGGCGGAGTTCCATAAGTACTGTCAGGAGGATAGTCGTAACTCGTGGGAGGTGTCCCATACTGTGCGTACTAAAAATCACCGCTGGGAGGAGTTCCATAACCATTCCAAGGAGGATAGTCGTAATTCGTGGGAGGTGTCCCATACTGTGGGTAATCGGTCGGCGGAGTTCCATAAGTACTGTCAGGAGGATAGTCGTAACTCGTGGGAGGTGTCCCATACTGTGCGTATTCATAATCACCGCTGGGAGGAGTTCCATAACCATTCCAAGGAGGATAGTCGTAATTCGTGGGAGGTGTCCCATACTGTGGGTAATCGGTCGGCGGAGTTCCATAAGTACTGTCAGGAGGATAGTCGAAACTCGTGGGAGGTGTCCCATACTGTGCGTATTCATAATCACCGCTGGGAGGAGTTCCATAACCATTCCAAGGAGGATAGTCGTAACTCGTGGGAGGTGTCCCATACTGTGAGTAATCGGTAGGCGGAGTTCCATAAGTACTGTCTGGAGGATAGTCGTAATTCATGGGAGGAGCCCCGTAGTAGTCATAATAGTCATAGTGGTAGTCATTTGGACGTCTGGTTTCATTGCCTGGCTGGTTCCGTGAACTGTATGATTTTCTTCTTTCGGGTAAGTCACTATCATTCTTACTCGTTGATAATCTCGAGCGAACATTTTTGAAGAGTGACTTTTTTGTGCACGTGGACCACGAGGGTGATATCGGTGCAAGCGATAATTCACCGCTTTCTTCGACTCGATAGATTTTACCCTGAACGAGACCGAGATAATCTCCCTTGATGTGGACGTACCAATTGCCCTCAATTACATCAAAATTAACAAGTTTATTCGTGTTCACTTCGTCGAACTCCTGATCTTTATCATACCAACAAAGATGGGGTATATCATTTTCACTTCGACCAGGATCTTTCAAACACAAGTTCCATTTCGCTTGCGACATAAGCTCGAGGGCACCGATTGCTTGTGAATGATCAAATTTTGTTTGAATATGAAGCAAGACCCGTATCAAATTTGTTGCAATTCCACAGTCTACTTTACACCCGAACCTTCCATAGGACGGGAATTCATACGGCCTTTGACAAACGTTGTCTCCACATACAGAATCCGTCCAAATATGATTCACAACTTCTTGACTTAACCAATCATACACATAGCCCGTATCTAGTGTTGACCCCACCTTTGGATGTAAGATCCCAATAATTGACGACTGGACTCCGTAACTTTCAAATGGCATTGTTTGACGATACAACATCGTACAGTACAAAACGAAGAATAGGAAGAACTGGAGGATGTTAGTAAAGTGATTCATCTGACGAAGTTGTAAGTGCGCATAGGCTTTGAGCTTTCGAAGCACATCAACATACACCACATCCTCGTCCCTGTCGTTTGCGTCAACTTCATCATTGTCATTATCGTAACCGTCCTTAACCGGACCATGAATAAGCAACTCCTCCCCTCTATCTCGCATATCATCCCTTACTTGCATGTTCGCAGAGATTACTTTCGTGTTATCAATATTTTGAGGAGGAGGGAAAGGCTCGCTTTTCCTTTCCCACCCCCGAGAAAAAGCAGTTGGAACCGTTTCTCTTTCATCTCTTCTCTGCAGTTCATGATCTTCTCCCGTTTCAACTTTTCTTGGATGTGATTTGCCTCGAAATATTCTCTTATCCATATCATCTGTACGGTTAATATCCTGTTGTACAATCTTGTCGTCATCGGTTTCACCTCTAACTGTAGCGACAAAAATCTTCTCCTCGGTTTCTGTATCACGAAAATAAATATTTACCTCGGCGTTGATTTTAAATCCCACATGGTTGCGGTTGACAATGTATATTGGCCCTGTAGCTCCTTCCACTGGTAACGAAGATTGGCCACCATCATCATCAGTGCGTGAATATTTCCAGGCGTACTCAAGATAAAAATCGGGGAGATTTCCATCGCTAATTTTATGGGTCTTCCTGATTTTGTTGTTCATCATAGTCATCATCGAACTGTTTAAATCTCCCAGCAATACCGCTCGCAGGGCCTCTCCACATGCTGGATTTCCAACAACTCTCAGGCGTAGCCGCATTTTAAATGGTATCTGTATCCTCCTTGTTCTTTTTTTTCTAGTTTCGTTTTTCTGAGCAGGAATATTCAATAAGCAGGAATATTCAATAAGCAATAAGCAGGAGAAGTACCCGCGATGATTTGTATTCTCTACTTGATCAAATGCTCCACGATCCGCTGCAAGTTATTGACTGTGCTTTCGATCGCTGATCTATACAGAAAACCAACGTCGAAAGGAGCGCACGAGGCGTAATAACAAGCGGAGTTTCGTCGGTTTCTTGAAACGAATGCTTTTTCGAAGGGACGTAATTCTTTTTCGAAGGGACGTGTTTGAAGATATGAAGGATTGTGTGAATATACGGAAAGATGCCAAATTTGCTTTTTTTCAAAAAAAATGGCGCGTTGGAAACGTGTTTTTGGACAGTCTAGGGAAATGGATTATAAGTCCCCAGTATTGTTAGGGGAAAACCAGGAATTTTCGATTTTTTGGCCTAAAAATCGAGCCTTTTTCCCTATAACGACGGGGACTTATAAGTCCATTTCCCTGGACTGTTGGAGTTCTCGTCGACATCATTACGCATATTTTCAAGTAGATTTTTCATATCCTTGTAGCATTCAGTGAAAGGGTGAAAATTTTTCCTCAAAAAATTTTTGCCCTGGAAGTCGGACTGGGGCGGGAGGAGCTCCAGGGGATACATATGAATAATAAGAAAATACGATGAGCGTGTGAAAACGTGAGATCTTGAATGTGAGAGTCTGAATCTCTGAGGCAGACAGAAACGACAAACGAGGGGGAACAGTGTCTTTCCTCAAAATTCGAAGAATATCGGGTCTAAGCAGTCACTGCCACTGTTTGCTCGGCTACCGCTCTGCACTCTTCTTTTCTATGAAGAGGCGATTTTATACCAAAGCTTTCATCGTGTCCATAACATTTATTCTTTTAATTACTATCATGCAAAGCCTGTTTGTAGTAGATGAAAAAAGACTTTCCCGAAAGTCGCGTTCAAAAACATGCTCCCCAACTTCAAGTCCGCATGCAAAGTCAAGCTGGAATCTTAGCTCGGCACTACAAGCTGATAAAGAGTATGACTTTTCACTTTCTTCAAAAAGTACGGAAACTTTCACTGTCCTTATAAATACATTCAAGCGAAGAAGCTTATTGAAGCATGCGGTTGCGCACTATTCTAAGTGTGAAAATGTGTCAAACATAAGAGTGGTGTGGTCTGAACAGGTCAAGCCTCCATCAGCTTTAAATCAAACGGAGATGCATGATTATTTTGCTCGACACTTTGGGTTTGTGCAATATGATACTCACAGAACAACTTCTATTCAAAATCGCTATGCAAGACTCGTAAACTTAAAGACACAAGCTGTCTTCCACGTAGATGATGATGTGAGAATTCCATGTCATAGTTTGGAGAGTGGATTTCAACAATGGAAAAAACATAAGGATGCTCTTGTAGGCTTTGAGGTAAGAGCTCATGAATTAGTAGGGGATGGATGCATCAGCTTTCGCTATAATCACAATCGTTTTGATATTTGGTGGAAAAAAAGATATTCTATTACCCTCACAAAAGCTGCATTTTCACATGCAAAATATCTATTGCTATATGAAACAAATCTTCCGAGCGATGTTCGTTCCTACGTCGATCAACGCACGAATTGCGAAGATATTGCGATGCAAATGTTAGTTTCTTCTATTGTGCGGGGAAAGAGTCTCACTGAGCTCAAAAGTGCAACGGTTTATGTGCCAGCTTCTACTTTCTACAAGATTACTTCAAAATTAGAAAAAAGAAATATACAAGGGATCAGCTCGAATGTTGGACACATAGAAACAAGATCAAATTGTATCAGTGACTTATCAATTATGTTTATGGGAGATTCTTACCAAACTCCTTTATATTATGCAACTTGAGTACATTTTGTATAGTGTTTGTCGAGGTTTATTCTGATCCATGATGCGATGGATATTACTTTTCATCAAAATATTCTAACGATAAGCTTAGGCGCAAAATACTTGGAGCACTTGCGCATTTGTGTGATGATATCAAAGAACACCAGACGAGCTAAATAAAAGCAGATGTATTCTATTTATTGCCCATTTTTACTAAAAAGATTTTTCAAAAAGTTAATCTTTTTGGTTTCTTTTAAAATGGAAACGTAAATTCGCGACTGACTTTCACCGGATGTGCTTCGGTGTTGAATACCCACTCGTTCAAATCAATTTCATCGCCAGAGCCAAAAGTCAAATATAAATACTTGAGCGTTTCCGCAAAGAAAAACGTTTGCGTGATGTCGTCTCTATTTTGCGGCAACGCGGCTTCTTTTTTACGGACGTCGCGTATGCCGGTCCACCCAGTATCTGTGGCGTACATTTCCTTCATCGACTGGAATATTTCCCACGCCCATTTTCTATACTTTTCATCCCCGGTTTTCCGGTACATGTAAAATATAGCTTCAACGGTTTCCGGCCTCTGAATGTTTTGGTTGTGCGTCCCATACATCGAGCCGCTGGCTGAAGCGGCAACGACGACATCGGGCGATAATCCAGAAGCCTGTGCGTGATAAAAGTTGCGACATAGTGTCGTCATGTGTTCGGCAAGTGCCAAGTACCCTTTTACAATATCGTTCGGACTCGCGTGTTCTGCGCCAAGCACCAACGCTCCGGAAATGAAACACGCGAGATGATCCATGTTTAATACTTGACGTCCATTTTTTAAATCATTCAAAAACCACGCGTCGTGCAATTCTTTACTAGTTCCTTGCCACTTTAGTTTTGGGAATTTGGATACCATAAACTTGAGCACAGAATCCATAGAGTTGTCGAATTCAACTCGATATTTTGAACGTCCTTGAGCGTTTGGGAATGCGCGCCACGCTTTAATTAAATACTCATAAAAGCTATCGCCTAGAGCGCCTACTGCGTAACTTCTTTCCAACGTAAATTTTCCCGTGCTCGGATGGATGAATAAAGGATACAGTCCTAAAGGTGTCATAATTGAGTTTGGACTGATGGGTTTATAGCTCAAGATGACATCCATAGTTTTCTTTGCGTATTCGTACCATTTTCTATCCTTTGTTCTATCCGCGAGCGTAAAGAATTCCAGCTGAAGCGTACCCGCGTCTGCGAGAACTGCACTATTTTGATAAAAACTAAAACATTCGCCTTTTTTCGTAAACGGATTAATCATCGTGTAAGGAATGCCACTTTTTGTTTCAAACGCTGGCGCTATAGCGTTTGCGACTTGTACCGCTCTTTGCAAAAAATTTTCATCCGACGTCAAATCGTAAATGGATAATAATCCGCCTAAAACCCGAATGTTTGTTTCAAATACAGAAATTCCTTGATTCAGTCTCGACGAAGCTAAGTTTTCTAATCCAGACGTTTTGTCGTTCAACAGATGGGCGCGAGCGCGTTCGTATTCTTCTTCTAATTTCATTATTTTTAGTGTGTCTATGGCGTCGATAACAGAAGCGGAAACGCCGCCTTGATTGTTCGAACCACGTAAAGACTTAGGTTGTACCTCATCGAAACCGAAAGCATACTTCTCATACGCACCGTATGATGCACGCATGGCTTCTCTAATTTCATCTTGCTTTTGAGCGTCTTTGGTAATATTCGATGCCCAATATTGTAATAAAAAAGGCGAGGAAGAGGAAAAGGCGTAATCAATTTTTGAGGTGGGAACGGTACTTTTTTTTTCTCCCGTCTCGGATTCGATTCGATTTCTTAAAGAATCAATGACGCGTTCGTTCGGTTCTTCAATGCCACTTCTTACTCTTGCGCCATAATTATTCAATTTTTCTTCACTCAGAGCCTTTCTCAACTCCCGCGGCGCATTCGTATCGAACACATTTATTTTTTCTTTTTCAACCACTTGTAAATCTTTTCGAACGGACCATTCGCCGTCGCGTTTATGCAACTCCGCGTGCTTTTCGTGCAATTTAAAAACCAGAAGACTAGCAATCGACACGATTGCAAAAATAAATAATCTCTCCAGTGCACGCATTGGGACTAACTCCTTTCTAACGCAGTGCACGACGTAATGTGATGAGTGAATTTTTGTAATGCTGACCTTTTCATTTTTTCAACCTTTTCAAACGAGAAGATTTGGGTGTGCTTTTTTTTTTGGCAAAATTGTTTTGCAAACCCACAACATCGTTTTCAAACCCACTGAAACCCTCGCCAAGAATACAAAAAAAATACAAAAAAACGTCCCTGCGCGCGCGCGATATATCATCCGTATACTTTCAGCTCCACGCAATAACGTCGTTACAATACAGAGAGTGAGTTGCCACCCGGGGACCCCTCGCATGTTAGAGTACTAAAAGCGACTTTCCACCGGGGGACGCAACATTTTTTTGCGCGCGTTAGGGGTTTTTGTTTTTTTTGTATTCTTGGCGAGGGTTTCAGTGGGTTTGAAAACGATGTTGTGGGTTTGTGGTACAATTTTGCCTTTTTTTTTTGGCGATGACACTTAACCTTAAATCCGTACAAAAAATTGTGTCCAAAATACGAGAACAAAAACAACAAAATTAGGGGTTGAGAATCGCGCACAATATGCATCACAAAGACACTTATATGTGCTTAAAACAGACTCCAATCTCGCATCTATGCCCCGCAGGGAATATCACAGCTCCTGTGTGTGTCCCCTCGGAAGGGCCCCCGGAGGGAATACTAGACATGGTAGAGTACATTGTGTCTCGAGTTGTTTTTCTTCTCTTCTTGTTTTGGGGCTAAAATTTGTTTTCGGATGAGCACCATTTTTTACGGATTTAAGTGTCTGCACTGTAAACCACGGCGTAGAAAGATACGGATGGTACATCAAGCGCGCGCGGACCTTTTTTTTGTGATTCACTTTTTTCAAGTATGGGGAGTACTCGTATAGATGGTTTCGTTTTTACCAAAAAATGAGAATGGTAAAAAAAATGAGTGACTTTTTTGAATTTTCAGGAATATTAACTGTACCAAACCTTCGTGAGTCATTAGATAATGCATGAAGTTACGTTTATCACGAACGGAACACTTGATGTGATCTGAAATGTTGTTCTTCGCAAAATGTAATATATTTCCAGGTTCACCCATTGATGATAGTTTACCAAAAGTTGTTAAATCAAATCTACAAATTACATGTAATAATGACAGTGTGACCTTTGGAAGTTAGAATAGGAAACTCAATTATTCCAAAAGCATTTATTTTATGTTTGTCGGATTTACCAACTTCTACAGTATTTATCTGAGAAGAAGTTGGAATTGTAGTAATTGTATTCGGTATGAATAATTTTTCTTGTAACAGGTACCGAAGCATGCAAAAGAGTATGCAAAAATTAGAACAAATGGTCAAATTCTATGGAGAATAGGTTGCGGAGCTCGTCGATGTTCCTTTTTCTCATTTTTATGCGCATTCAGATAATTTTCGTTCGTGAATTCAATTTCGACAGTCGTATTTGCACCTCTCAGGAAAGGTGCCTTGAAAATACAAAATAATCATTCTCGTGATTTTGAATGCGCGCTAAAATGGGAAACAAACACAGTTAACTTTTTAGCACTCTCCTTTCGCGCCGCCTCTCACTTTACCGCCACTCTGTTTGTTCGGCTCAAAGACATATTTAATCAAACTGTCTTTGATGTTAAGAATTTGCGGCCACGCGGATTTAATCTTCTTATCGCACAACTCGTTGTTACTTCTCGGAGCGGCTAAGATTTTATCTTGCTCCTCTAATGTAAAGTTTTTCCACGTGTAATTCGGTGAACAGTAATCTTTATACAGTTGCAAAACTTCGTTGTGCGAGATTGCTCCTGGGTTGGTAAAGTTGTAAATCCCGGTAAGCTTTCTCAACGCGCCATCGATGGCGTACGGAACGAGTTCATCCAAAACCGTCATCGAGTTCGGCACGTCGACGACGCAGTCGTAGTTTGCAATTTTAAAGATGAAGTTTCTCGGGTTATCCAACTGGTTATCGATGGGCATTCTCAGACGAAATTGCAAGATGTTCTCGTAGTTTTTGAGCAAGTCTTCCACCATCCCTTTCGTGTGCGAATAATAGGAACCGCCAAAGTTTGGTGGATCGTCCTCGGTAAAACCTGGACCTCCAATTGGATGTTTTTCGTCGTAGGAATAAATGCAACCGGTGGCGAAGTTGGTGACGTGGATGCCGTTCTTATCCGCGAGATCGACCAAGGTCAAAATACCGGTAACGTTCGTTTGAACCGTTTCTTTCTTGTGCGATTCGCACCAATCGACGTTCGGTCTACCAGTGATACCGGCAGCGTTCAAAATATGGGTCGGTTTGCATCGAGCAATGTCCTCCTCCACGGCTTTCCTATCGTGTAATCTCGCAGCGCCGTAATAGAACTTGTGTCCTTCTTCTTCCAAGAGGCGACCAAGCATACCGCCGATCCAACCAGTTCGACCGTAAATTAAGAATACTGGTCTGTTCGCTTCCGCTGAATCTTCGGCATTTCCTTCCGCCGTACTTCCCGCGATTTCTTCAAAGACATTCGGCGATACCGTGACGTGCCCACCTGTAGGGTGGGCAACCAACGCAGCCGAAAGATTGCCCCAATAATCGTTTTCGCCGTTCCTCTCGTACCACGCGATGGTTTCTCTCAAACCGTCTTCCCAAGATTTTTCTTGCTTCCATCCCAACGCGAGGAGCTTCGAGCAATCGATAAAGTATCTTCTATCGTTAAACTGACGGTCTTGAACGTGCGTGACGACATCGTCAGCGTTCAAATTCAATTCTTTGCAAATATCTTTTGCAACTGAGCGAATGGTTCGTTCTTCTTGCGCGCCAATGTTATACACACCTCGATCTTCGCCGTGGTGCAAGATGATATCAAACGCACTCACGGCATCCGCGACGTGCATGTAGGATCTCGTCGCCATCCCGTCCCCGTGCAAAGGAATTTGCAAACCTCTTTTCGCTAACATGATAAATTTAGGAATTGCTTTTTCCGGAAATTGATGCGGTCCATAGACGTTGTTTCCTCTGGTGATGAGATACGGCAAGTCGTAAGAACGTCCGTACGCCATGACAAGCATTTCCGCGCCCGCTTTCGTCGCTGAATACGGATTCGTCGGTTCTAGTAAACTCGCGTGCTCGGTGTTTGAGGCATTCAACTCGTACGAGCTTTCCCCGTACACTTCGTCCGTGGAGACATGCAAGAAGCGTTTGATGGTGCCAAGCATTTTGCACGACTCTAGCAACACGTGCGTGCCCAAAATGTTGTTTTTCGTGAAAGCAAAGGAATTCCCGAACGAGTTATCCACGTGCGTTTGCGCCGCGAAGTGCATGATGGTATCGATATTTTCGTTTCGTAAAATGTACGAGACTAAATCTGCCGATTGAATATCGCCCATGATAAACTTAAAATTTAACAAGTGCGAGAGTTCGCTCAAGTGTTTCACATTGGCGCAATAATCGAGCTTGTCGAGAACGACAATCTGTGCATTAATTTAATAGCAGACGTAACGTCGAATAATGCGTCAGATTCATTTCAACAGATAAACCAAGAACGTTTTTAAAGAAGGAGAACAACAAGAAGAAGAAGAACAACAACAAATCTTATCGATCGGTCAGTGCATCGAACAAGGCGGAGGAGCGTTGCCGTCCACAGAAAATCAGAAAATAAAAATAAAAAGAGCACGCTTTTTGCATTTTGCGCACGACAAATCGATCGACGGCGATGAATTCACACAACGAACCTTGCAGTGCGGGTACTTTTTCGCCAATAGAATGGCAGCGTGGGAGGCGATAAAGCCAGCCCCACCGGTGATTAAGATATTTTTCGGCTCGTACGGCATCTCCTGATTTTTTTTTGTTGGGAGTTGTGGGTTATATGTTTGTGCGATATGGTGTAATTTGTTTCATACAAAGACAGAAGTAATATGTATGTTTTCGTGATCTGTGCTCTACAGTAGATTGTGATTTTTGGGAGAGAATTCTCTCAACTTTCACGTTTCACTTTTTTATTTACCACTTTTATGCACACGTTGTTGTTGTTGTTGTTGTTGTTGTGTAATTTGTTTCATTACAAAGACAGAAGTATTATTTTTCCTGATCTATGCTCTAATAAAGATAGTGAGGCCTAAAGGACGACGAAAGCGACCGTGCATTGCAAACGAAAATTGGTGTTGAACGTAATGGATGACGTGCGTTTCGTGAAAGAAAAAAAAGGAAAAAAAAATCACACATGCGTCTCCCATACATGCCCTAAGATGAAGAGAAACGGTAAACTTCAATGCCACGCTAAAACGACTAAATTGAACTTGCTCATCAAATCATTTTTTGCGTTTTCAGCGATCTGTTTTTTAAACTGGAGGATAGTTGAGAGACAAAGTAATGTTGGGGGAAACTGTGAATTTTCTGATGCGAAAACCTGTAAATTTGAACTTTGTCAACATAGTAATATAACACGAAGAAAGGGTCTTAAAATACTTATCCACTACATCTATTATGAGACTGAAGATATGCTGGTGCCAGTCAAGATAAACAAAAGGGTAAATTTATTGACCTTTATAAAAGGTGCTGTTGAATCTAGAACAAGGGTAGTTGATTTCTTTTTCACTCTAAGTGGAAGTTTTCCAACTGTTCGTGATTTCTATGATTCAGTTGGTGTTCAAACATCAGCCCAAGAAGTATTTCCGAACTATCCTAACGTCAAAGTGTTTGGAGCTCCTAGCAATAAAAATAAAGTTTCAGACTTGTGTCATCATGCAAAGTTTATACGTTCGCAGCATGAAGAAGTCAAGAACTATGACTACTTTATATTTACAAATGATGGAGTGCGAGGACCATTTTACAACAAAAAAGATGAAACAGATATGTCTGATACTTCTCTACCATATTGGTTGAGCAAATTTGTAAATCCGTTTGTTGATAGTAAAAATCTTTGTATGGTTGGCCCGGCGATGAGTTGTGAGATTCGATTTCATTTACAAAGCTGGTGGCTTACGCTGTCAAATTTTTATTTCTCTGATTATCTAGCCATCACAGAAGAAACTTGTGAATCGTACATGCCTTGGTCGGAAGCTATCAAAAGAGAGTTGAGACTTTCAGAAAATTGCCTTAAAAAAGGAGGCGCAATAGCTAGTTATCATCCGATGATTTACAACTTTACAAAAAATGATGAAGATGTTCTTAATAACGATACAAGTAGTTGTATGGAACTTTTTTCGCACTGTAGGAATCCAACTATCACATTTGAAGCAAGTGTAGAAGCGCTCCAATCGCAAGTTTTCATAAAATATGGTGGCGAGCCATGGCGAAGAAAGCAGTATTCGAATGCTCAGGTAGGAATTATTGAAAGGGAAACGAGAGATATCTTGGGGGAATACGCTGAATATTCAAACTCTGATAGACCAGCGCTTCATTTCTGAAGTTGAACATAATAGCATATGAAGCAGAGCTTGGAAGAGCAGGCGTCATGGAAATTCTTTCCGTTTTCTTCTTTTCACAGCTCTTTACTTTTTTGTAGAAGTCAGTGTTTGAGTGAAACTCTCGCAGAACTTTGTAGTTCAAGAGTTTGATTAACCGAAGAGTATGTCACTTGTGTCACCAATGTAGCAACCATCTTGTGGAACATCTGGTCTCAGTGTACCATTCTTACCTGATGTACCCCCAATACTTATGCCATTCTCGTATCCCAATCTATCAAAAGTTCCCTCCGTGCCGTCATAATCATTTGAAAGTTGCAAGAGCCATTTTGAGGTGACTGCAACTTCTTTTGCGCGGACACACCACGTTATTTTGACGAAAATGGCTTCATAAATGTTTACAGAGATATCACCTTCCAGTGCACCACGTCGACTGGAATGTCGGTTATCGTTACAACTGTGGTGCACTTTACGTGTCCAGTCAATGTTGGCGCGGTAGCGGGCCAATAACGTATCTGCAGACCAGCCACGTGATAAAATCTCACTGAGTAAGCGATATTCGCTCGACAAAATTGAATCCCTTTTCGCTTTTTGGGGATCAAATATTCCTACACTTACGAGATGTGCAAGGGATAGATAATCGAGGGCAAAAAACAAGGATTCCATGACCGGACCTGGCTTAGGCTCAATCTCCGGAAGACAAGATATATATGAACCCATAAGCTTGAGATTTTCATTTTTACGCATTCTGTCGATGAGAACGTCTGTAAAATGAAAATTTTCTGGGGTCCATTTAGGCATGAAAGGACCTCGAAGGGAACTGTTCAAGAATATGTAATATTTGTACTTACCACGCCGATACATCTGTATCCATTGAATTGCATACATAAAACCACCAAAATCCATACCTAAATTTCTTCTTCTCAAAACTGTAACCCAACCACTTTCCTTTCCGCGTAGTTCAGGGAGACTCAGTACTTTAGGAAGGATATTGTCACACGGGGTACATTTGTATCCATTTGCTACTATGATATAATCAACTTTATCATTTGGATCGCGCGTTCCAGGAACATTTCCTCTAATACCCACCTGAATCAGAAACGAAAGATTAGACTCATCGATAATGCCACCGTTGCCTAAATTTTCTCCATATGAATATATAACGGCAATTTTTTCACTTTGGAACTCACGTAAATTCCCGTCTTTTGGAGATACATATTTCCGCATCGTCAAAAACAGAAATAAAGTTGCAAGAATATAGGGTACGGAAATAAATCGAGAATGAAGGTTCTTGTATAGAAGTGCTATGTTTCGCATTTTCATTTACTACTTTGCCCTCGTTCTTGCCCTCATTCTGCTTGTCTTTGAAGTAGAGAGAACAAGACTCCGCTGTTTTTGGGTTACCAATTTTTTCGACAAAACGGGGAGGGAACAGGCGATGGACAATTTATGGTGCCTATGTACCAAAAAATTAAGCAAAAAACTATTCCTAAAATCACCAGTTTGATGTATCTTTCATACGTATCCCCTGGGACGCCCAGTTTAGAATTTTGATTTTTTTTTTGTTTTTTTCCACTAAACTGGGCGGTTAAACTTGAGAATTTCCGGTTAAACTTGAGAATGAATTCATTAGTGGTACCCTACTGAGCGCAGAAGCGCGCGCGAGTAGCTAAAAAGCGTCCTATTCTATGGAGAATAGTTCGTGGAGCTCGTAGAACTTCTTTTTTGTAATTTTTGAGCGCATTTGTATATCACTTTAGCGCGCATTCTAAATCCAAGGTCGTATTTTGTACTCTGTTAAAAGCGTGCCTTCTTCCAATTTTCAAAATACCACGTCCATCATTCTCTTGATTCAGAATGTGCGCTAAAATAGTATGCAAAAACACTTATACGTTTGAAAAAAGATCCTGAACTAAACCAAACTGTCATATTACATAGAATAGGACGCTTTTTAGCTACTCTCGCGCGCTTGTGCGCTCAGTAGGGTACCACTAATGAATTCATTCTCAAGTTTAACCGGAAATTCTCAAGTTTAACCGCCCAGTTTAGTGGAAAAAAACAAAAAAAAAATCAAAATTCTAAACTGGGCGTCCCAGGGGATATACAGCGATTTCGCCAGAAAATACAAAAAAACAAAACCCCTAGCGCGCGTAAAAAAATGTTGCGTTCCCCGGTGGCAAGTCGCTCCTAGTACTCTAACATGCGAGGGGTCTCCGGGTGGCAACTCACTCGCTGTATTGTAACGACGTTTATTGCGTGGAGCTGAAAGTATACGGATGATATATCGTGTGCGCGCAGGGACGTTTTTTTGTGTTTTTTGTGTATTTTCTGCGAAGTCACTACGTGTGATAGATAGATACATCAAATTGGTGACATAGGAATAGTTTTTTCAAAAATTAATGCCATTGTTCTGACATTGAACTTGATTTTTTGTGCCCTAAAGCTCGCGAAAAGATTCGTATACATACATCTCGGGTCAGTAAATTCGTTTAAAATTAAGTACTACTAGTTAAGGGAAAACAAATTTAGACATAAATATTATAGCCTCCAAAGTGTAATGCTCCTTTCAAAAAGATGCATTGCACTCTGGTTGACATCGTTATTTATCCTTTATTGGATATCTCTTTCATTACCAGCTCTTAGAAGAAAGCTCTTTCGCTGTGAACTATCAAAAGTAGGACAGTTCGCACTTTACTCATACAATTTCGGGAACTATCGTAACGAGCTCCACGGAATACAAGATATACTTTTATCGTTCAATAAGTATGGAATAGATTCGTATTTCTTCACAAATCGACAAATACCCCCTGTGAATGGTTGGGAAATTATTGTGATCGATACGAATAAAGAGTTTACTAATCGTAGTGCAGGAAAAAAGCTTAAATTTCAGTTCCATCCAAAGCTTGAAAAATATCGGTACTTGATACATACTGATGCCAGAGATGCTCGACTGTTACAAATGCGAAAATGGCTGTCAAATGGACTCATGTATTTCGTATTAGATAATCCCCAGTACGCTCTTTTTGTTGGTGAGCATCCGGATAGGAAGAATATTGAAGAAGAAGTGAATGTTTTATTTGGGCACGGAGGTATACAACCACAAGCGGAACTTGAAAATTGGAAGAAATTTCTTAGCGAGGAATTTGTTACATTAAATGAAGTTAGGTTACCGGAGTTATGTACATGGATTTTAGACACGCATGACAGGGTTTTTGTGGACCACTGGTCTAGAATTTATGACTTGCTTAATAAACACGGTTTGTGGAGAGATCAAGTAGTTTTCAGCTATGCCATGGTAACCCAAGCACTGAAAATAAAGTACATCGGCGTGAAGGCAACACATCATTCGGCGTGGGAAGATTGATATTGCTTTTCACAAGTGTATACAATGGAAAATGCTACTTCTTTTTTTATTTAGTATGTTTTTTCCACCTGTTGATTAGTAGCATCAAGGTCAAGAGAAGAACAAGAACTTATTACTTACTAGTAATGTACTCTACTATTTTTAATATTCCCCTCGAGCCCCTCCCTGGATGGCACCGCATAAACTGTGACACATTCTCTGTGGAGCATAGGTGAGGGACTGGAGGCAATTTTTAAACGCAGGTAAATGCTGTGTGCTACATCTTGTGCGCAAGTCTCAACCCCTATTTTTCTTGTTTTATTCGCCGTATTTTCTTCCTAGATAGCCAGAATGATTTGGGGAATGTACTTGTACTCTTTTTTTTGGGGGGGTGTCTGTAAAGTGCTTTCGCCAATTTAAGGAATGAGGTTACTGCTGATCCATTCACCTCCCTGGTCCATCAGAGGGTCAACCAAGACACTTAAAAAAGCTGTTCGATTATACTCGCCCGAAGAAAATGATGCTTCAGGACTTCGTTTAGTATGAAATGTCTGTGAGAGTGCATGACGACCATAACTGTTGTTCCAACATACTGCCGAAACTTGAACGTAATATTAGGCACCCAGTATCATCAAGCTTCAACACCCTTGTACCCTCTGAAGTCAGTATGAACGGATGCGAACACCAATGGGAATAGCATTGCAAAACCTGATAGAGAGACAAGTTAGAAATATGTAAACCTTGTTTGTTGCCATGAAGTACGAAATATTTTGAATTTGAAAGTCTTCGTTTGAATTGAAATGAAGTCAAAAGATGGTTTCGGAACCACTTTAAAAAATGGCTTTTGCTCTTTTCCGTTGACCACAAAAGTTCTGCTTGGAAGTTGTATATATAAAGAAAACCTCGCTCATCAATCAAAGCTTGAAATCTTGAATTCATGGTTTCAAGTCTCGCGCAACCGGTGATGTGCATTTTGGAACTGAAATATATTTCATCACCTATTGGCGGAAATGCAAGAGTGTGATGCTTCTTTCTATGCAGAATACACTGAAAAATGTTTGCGTATTTCTTTGAAACTGAATTAAACGGACCAGCACTTCGCATATTTGTAATGAAAGCAAGCTGCACTTTGTGATAATGGAAATGGTCCGTTCTATTTGTCCGTGAACAGCTGCAAATATCCTCACAATTTTGATGCATGTATGAAGGTCTCAACAAACACTCTCCATAATTTGCATAGAGAAAACACATTGCAGTAGCATTTGAAGACTCTCTGCATTCTTCATAGTGGAAAGTATTGTGAAAACATTTTGTCTCATCCATACTACTCAAATCCATATCTTTTGGCAATATCATGTTAGCATGATTTTGATTTTGATCGAGAAACTGAAGTGCAATCGATCTCCCAGATAAAAAAGGTAGATAAAAGAAAATCCGTTCCCAGGCATGCTCAACTTGTCCATCAGCTAGAATACCACGTTGATGGTGAGCTACTATGCTATTTCCAGGAGTATGTCTTTTCCATGTATTGAAGCGATAATAATAAGATTGTTTTACTGCTATTGAGTCTCCTGTAATACGAGCCATTATTCTGAACCAATTCAAGTCTAGAGTATTGGGGTCGTTCAATTCAAACAAAACTTTTTTAATCTTTTCTGCTGGCAAAACTTCGCTCAACATTACACCATTTATACCAAACATAGAACCTGCATGAAACATTCTTTTATGTCTAGGTACCCGTGCTCCAAATTTTTCCAGAATCTTATCTTCATGTGGCATAGTTGATGATAAATGATCTATGTCACCTAATGCATATCCAAAGAACAATCGGTCAGACAATTTTACAGAGCAGTTAAAGGGATGTGTAGGTAGTCCAGCCACTATCCCGATCTTATTTGATTCATTCAAGAAGGTGTTCAGTAAAGTAGCAACTGCAGCAGAATTGCCAACGAGAGGATGTACAGCATTTCTTAACCAGTTCTGATCTTCTTTTGAATGAAGCTTTAAAATCAATTTGTAAATTCTGCACCTTTGTGAAATAGCCAACATGGAATTGAAAAATCCACCAATATCCATACCGGCATTGTTACGTTGCAATGTGTAGATGGGATGCAAATTTCTGCATTTCTTCCAAATATCAAATACTTTAATTTCCTCGAGCTGCGAAATTTGGCGGATATTGACATAAACGTCCACTTTTCCTATCAAAGCAATCGTGCCGACTGTTTTGAGAACAGCATAAATAATACCACCTTGTCTCAGCGAGTTTGTTCTGTCTCCAAGATGAACAGCTATTGCGAAATCTTTGACCTCGAATGACTTCGCACAATATCCAGTAAGTTTATTGAGAACATGTTCACAGTCTCCAAGAGCACTCTCAACAAGAAAAGCTGACCCAGAGGCTGCACTATTCCACTCTGTTTTAAAGCAACTTTCAGAGTAGGAAGAGTACGCACGAAAAAGGCAGAAATGTACCATAAATATACTTAGGAGCAACCATATTATTTTCCTCTTCCTTCGTATCAACTTCAACAAACGGCAACGTTGCATGTCTACACCTTTTTGTTCTAATTCCCTTGACAAAACTCCTGTATAGAAAACATGTGGCACACTCTTACATGGCTGGTGACTAACTCTTCACGAAAAAAGGCGGGCGAAGGAACTTGCTACCTGTTAGTCGCTCCCAAAATAGGCAGTGGTAAAAAAAAACTGTCAGTTCTGGCACTTCGTGTAAATGGCGAAAACATGGGAAATTCCGGAAAAAAATCCCTTTTAAATAAACAAATTTATCTTTTTTATGGCAAAAAAACTGGCACGTTGTTGGTTTATTGTCTTGCCAGCTCTGACAAAGTTTGAGAGCATATGCACGCGTAGATAAGTATATGTGATGTAATCAATTAAAAATCTACCCTGTCTCAGCATTACACACTCAAAATATTTGATTTACATAAGTCTATAAAAGGAAGAATTGCCTTTTTCCAACGGAAGTTATGCAAGCTGAGGTGGCGTTGAAGGGCTTCAGTTGACTTTGAGGAGGAACGAAGGAAACTGTCGGACACTTAAAAGAAAAGATGACCTCGCACAAGTCAAGCTTAATTTTGTGTATATTCTGTTCCTTTGTGTTAAAGAATTGCGCTTCTTCAAGTGACTTAGAGTTCACTACTGATGTCAGATATGATGAGGCTGTTTCTAAAGCTCAATACTCTAAAACTGTAGCTACTGAAGATAAGAACAAAGCTGAGTTAGCAGATTTTACCTTGGAATCTGTCACCGTATTTGCTTTTGCACGACCAGATTTGATCAAATATCACTTAGAATCTATCGATCATGATGTCAAGCAAGTTTTCGTAGTTTTAAATAAGTTTTCTATCGAGGTTACGTTTCAAATGCGTGAAATTTTGAAACTTTTTGATTGCAGATACTCGAACCGTCTGCCACATACAAGCACACAAACTGAAAAGTTTAGGTGTCTCAATCCTTTTATAAAACAAATAATTCTGCTTGAAAGCGACAGCAATAATGTTGGCTTTGCCGGTTCATTCAACATGATAGCGAAAAAAATGCTTCAAGGGAATGTTTCATATACAATAATCTCGAATGATGATACAAGATTCCGACCAGGATCACTATTGAATATTGCAATATTATTTGAGGCGAAGCCCCACGTTTGCCTCTATCTTTTTTCTCATTTTTCGTCTTTTGGAATCAGAGCATCAACATTAAAAAGAATTGGTGTGATGGATGAGCATTTTTGGCCCGCCTATTCGGAAGATATTGACTACTTCTTTCGATCAATATTACAAGGTTGTCATATTTTCCTAGCTTCCAGCCAAGATGAAAAACTTTTTGTTAGTCATGGAGAAAGTCTTAGTATTCCAGCTGCCAGTGCGACGTTGAAATCTAGCAAAGACTATAGAAAGTTAATAGAGAATACCAAGCATATCCAATATGGGAGAGATGCATACTTGTGCAAGAAATGGGGAGGATGCGCAAAAAACGGACGTGATTTTTTGAACTCCAATAAGGTTTTTAAAGCTTTATTCCGTCGGATTCACAAGGATCACGAAATACTTCATTTCGGCGGCGCCAATTTTTCTTCTTTCGGTGAGAAGCTGTTCAATTTTCCTTTTAACCGAGCAAATTTTCACGTTTCATGGTGGGATAATGATGAAAGAACACAAATGTCGATAAGATCTCCGCGATTGATCAATATGCAAAATGCACCATCAGAGTTTGTGTGGAAGTTACAGGATCAAAAAGCTTTTTTGGAAACTCTGGAAATCTAATTTATTCAACTCTAAGCAGATGGAGAGCAGTCGCAAAAATCTTCGCGGCACATTATTTGATGAGGTTCAAAAGAAATGTTCAACACGAATCCATTTATACACATACTCCAACACCTCTCTACGTTTTTTTTATCTGGATTGCCTATTTCTTCCGACTTCACAAAGTCAAAATTGAGCTGAACCGAACTTGAAAACTCGATATCTCCGCTTCTTCTGACTCTTGAGATGTAATCCTCATAGTAATGTCTTCTGGCAGTTTTAATTGGTCTGGTTAAGGTCTTGATGTAACTCCCTCTTACCCAGAAAAAATTATACCAAATAAAGCCAGATTTAGATGCAGCGTAACCAGCCAAGTTCAGTTTCCTATTTTCTTTAAATCTTCTTTCGACTTCTTGCCATGGTTTGATGACAGTCAAAAAAAGAGGTTTGTATTTTTTGTTCGCTGCCAGACTGTTACCGTGATTCACCATACCTTTACTATGGAAGTAAAGAAATAAGCTCTGCGGACCTTTAACTCTTCCAAGTTTCCAGAGATTTGCAATGCCAGGATATTCATAAAAATTCCCTAAAGTCAGGTCATATTTAGCCGTTTTATGTGTAATTTCATCTATAATTTGTATTGCCTCTTGAAACTGTAATGTTTGAGCTAGATAGTTGAACTTGGAATCAGTTGTTTCATTTACTTCTGCGCTGATGGATACATGCAATTCTGCTCTTTCTAATAAGCCAATATCTGCAATGTCTTGCATTTGCTTTCTCAACAAAGGTCTCCAATCTCGACGTGTTGGCAAATAAACGTTATAAACGATTACTATCTCATGGTCACCCTTAATCTCATGGTCACCCTTAATCTCATGGTCACCCTTAATCTCAAGGTCAGCCTTACTTTCTAACAGACCTCTAGACACTTGCGTGTACCTCTTCAATACAAAAGAAAGGAAAATAGTCCCCAAAACCACAACACTCCACCAACTTTTCTTTCTAAAAGAACGAGAAGTCATGATCTGCTTTTGTATCTTTCTTATCTACCACGAGACACCGAGCTGCACATCCGCGACTTACAATTCTGGAGCGGTTATTGCATCTCAAATTTTCTTCGTCTCTCTTATCTTTGTTATCGCTGGAATTTTGTTGACACTTGACACTTGGGAAAAAATTTTCCTGGACCTTCTTTTTCTTTCCTTGGCCCCCGGTTCACTTCATCAGAGAAGAGCATGAGAGAAAAGGCAGAAAGACCCAAAACTAACTCTTACTCCAAACTTACTCCTGCAGCTCCTTCTCCTAGAACGTAAATGGACTTTAGTCTTTTGGCGATGAATATCCCCTGGGACGCCCAGTTCAAAGGCTCACCCCTCTTTTTTAAATAAAAATAAAAATTTCAAAAATTCGCCTTAGAACTGGGTGTTCAAACTGGATCAATTCTGTTCAAACTGGATCTCTTTTTGTAATGGGGTATGGGTGCGCGTAGAGGAGCGCGCGAGAATGGATACGAACGGTCCTATTCTATTTAGAATAGTTTGTAGAGTCTGCAGATGGTCTTGTTTCAAATTTTAAACTGTGTTTGTATACCACTTCAGCGCGCATTCGAAATCAGGAGAATGTGGAGCTTCGTATTTTTAAGGCACCTTTTCTGAGAGGTGCCAAATACAACTGTCCAAATTAAATGTGCGAGTGAAAAGTGCATGAATGTGCATAAAAATCAGAAAGGTCCTCAGGACCCTTCCCCCTCGAGGTCGAAAAATTGCCCAAAAACAATAAATTTTACACTCGTAGTTTATTCACCCTTTTTCTTCGAGACAGAAGCAAAAATCACGAATAAACGAAAAACGAGTTTTATCGTTTATTGATTCTGTCGACGAATAAACAATAAACGACCCACATTTATTGTTCATTCATCGCCAGAATCAATAAACTTGTTGACGCGTATACCCGCGCGCGCGCGCACATTTCGAAGGAGAAAATGAACGAAAACGACGAGAATGTTGATCCCATGCGTGATGCTGCTCCGGATGTCGAACATTTGCGTCTAGAAATAAGTGAAAACGGAGAAGTGTTTTATCGCATTGATGATGTTACATTGATGATGTTACGAAGGTGCCAACAACTCCTTTTTTCTTTTTTTTTTGTGAGGAAGAGAGAGGAAGAGAAGGCGAAGGATTTTTTTTGTTTTTTCAAAGTGGTTCTCTTCGAGGCAGCTAGGGGGTTTCTGGTGTTCCTTTCCGAATAAACGAAAAACAATAAACAGTAAACAATAAAATGGGTCAGTTTATTGATTATTGGCAATTTTCGACCTCGAGAAAGCGTCAAAGTGTTCAAAGTGCAAAGTGCTCAAAGTGTTGCCCAAAAAAACGACTACCTCAAACACCTCCTTTTTGCCCCCCCAAAAGGGTTGTAAAACACGAAAAGAACATAAAAAAAATCGCTGCTTGGTATGACTTTGGTGACTTCAACATGCTATTTTAAGTGCAAGGCTGAGCGAAGAGGAGTCGAACACCGATCATCGTTGGAACTTCAGTAACTTCACGAATGAATCATGAATAGCGCAAAGTACAAAGTTCTTGAAAGCGATCCAGCTCAAGGAGAATGGTATTTCAGTTGGTGAGACTTTCACTGGAGCAAAGTTTGTGCACATTGCATCTTTCGATGGGCTTTCAGAGTCTATAGGAAAAGACTAAAGCAATCTTGCCATTATCCTTCTCATTCGTTATAACACTCCTACTTAACAGCTTCCATCCCATATTTTGTACCTGAATAGAGAATTTGTCCACATTTCCTCTTAAATCTCGCACTGACCACTCGTCAGGGCTATTTTGATCTAGATCTAATAGAAGAAGACTACCTTGCTTAGCTACACGAGAAACCTCGCGGAAAAATATATCAATATCCTGTATGTGATCCAGAATATTTGAGTAAAGCATATCAAACACTCCCGAGGCAAATTGCAAATCTGTCGCACTTCCATATAAGACGTGCTTATTCTTCTCTCCTGGATTGAAATCTATACCTACTGCAAGGGCACCAAGATCCTGCAATGCTCGCACTTCTCCTCCTAAACGGGAACCAATGCAAAGAGCTGCCCTACCTTGGACCTCAAACCCATGCTCTTTGAATACACTCTTAAATCTCTCGCGCAGTTGCGTTTGTATTTCCGCATCCATCTTTTGAATAAGTTCGAAATGTTTTCGTAGCTTTGAACTCTGCATTTTTTCATATTCGGATTCTTGTTCGGGTTCGACAACCCTTTCAATCTGGACTAGAGAGCGCTCAGAGAGGAGAGATATACACAGGAAAACGCTACTAAGTATAAATGCAAGCAAGAAAGTTTTAGTTCTCGCTGTCGGCATTTTGAACAAAGGTGCTTAAAACTGGCCCAGCGAACTGCAGTCTGATCTCTGCTATTCTTTTTTTTCCACTTATCCCCTGGACCTCCACACCTCCTCCCGGCCCGGTGAGTTCCAGCTAGCCCAGTTCTTTCTTTTCAAATAGGGATGGTGCCAAAGCGATTTGAGCCAAAAAATTATTATGGTTCCAAAGCGCTTCGAGCCAAAAAATTTTCGCCAAAGCGAATTTAAAGCGGCAAAGCGCAAAGCGAATCCAAGCGATCCAAAAAAACAACCAAAAACGACTATGGCCATATGCATACCCTCGAACACCTCGGAAGAAAAAGGTAATAAATAAACTAAAATTTATTGTGGTAGTTTTGCAACCAAAAACTCGGTTCATCTCGGACGGTTTAGGGTGAAAAACGCTACGGTTAGGGCCGGAAAACGGTTACACTACGGTTTACGGCTGTAAACGCGACTGTTTGGGGTTGGAAACGCGACTTTTTGGGGTTGGAAACGCGACTTTATGGGGTTTTGTAATATCATATTTGAGGTTGTATTTTTGCTTTTTGCTTTTTGAGTTTGTACTTTTGAGGGTAGTTTTTGCACCTGTCTAAGTTTATTTTTGCAACTGTTTCAGTTTATTTTTGCACCTGTCTGAGTTTTCTGTTTTGACTTTTTTTGGCGGGAAAAAAAATGTCTTGGTTTGATTTTTTGACTTTTCACGGTTTACGGTTTACGGTTCAAGGATTATAGTGGTTTAGCACTGCAGAGGCTTTTGTTTCAACTGACAGATTTTTCCCGCGGTAAAAGATGCGACACAAAAAGGAATAGAAATCTCTTCGAAGTTGTCTTAAAGTTGTCTGGAAGTTGTCTGTGCCGGAATATATTTTGACCTTAAAAAATTGATAGTAATGCCTTAGTACGAAGGGGGGTACTCTCATACTTTAAACTAACTGAAAACCCTAAATGTATTTGTTGAAACATTTTTCTCGCCAGATAGTTTTGGTTTGGCCTCCTCCTTCTTTTTCTCGTTTGTCTTTTGGATACGAATCTTTTACCGAATAAATATCCTCACTTTTCAAGCGCGTACGACATCACTTCAAAACAAGTACTCGTACCTAAACGTGGCAAAAAGAAGTATCAACTAGGTCTCTTCAGGGCACTTCACAGGCACAGCA